TTAATAAAAGAATTATTATAATATATATATATATATATATATATATTAATTTCTAAAGCTTTAATAAAAGCTTTTTATTTAATTTATATTTAATATTTTAAAAACTAATATTATTTTTTATTAATAATTATAAAAAAAAATATAGAATTTCTAAAATATTTAATTAAAATATATTTAAAGCTTATTAAAGTTATAATAAGTATTCTATATTTTATTAGAATTAGAATATAATTTCTTTGAATAAAAATATAATTCTAAAAGCTAATAGTATTAATTCGAACTATTTTTATTTATATAAGAATTAATTAGAATAAAAGTATTTATTAGAAATATAAATAATCTTAAAATTCTTTAAGAAATATAAATTAGTATTTTCTTATAGTTTGTTTTAATATAAACTAGCTAGTTATTAAAAATAGTATAATTTTTAATAAAGAGAATTAGATTTAAAAGCTTAGTAATTCTAGTATCTTTAAAGAAAATATAAAATATAAAGAATTCTAGATAGAAATAAATAGAAAATAGTTCGGAATTCTTTAAAAAGAAGTTTAAAATAGCCGGAATTATAGAGATAATAAAAGTAAATAAAATAAAAGTAATTAAAGCTATTATAAACCGATTTATTATAGCTATATAGCATTTAATATTCTTTTTGAATTTAGTATTATAAAGCTTAATATTTTCGAAAATAGCTTTATTATAGCTATAAATATTTTTATATAAAAGAGCTTTCTAAATATTCTTCTAATAGCTCTTTATAATAATATTAATATTTGAGAATAAGATATTAGACTTTCTAGTCTATTTATATAACTCTTTAGTAATAATATAATTATTAGTATTTAAAAGCTTTATAATAAAAATAAAGAATTTTATTTCTATAAACTTATTTATAAATTTTCCAGAAATACTAACGAGATATTTAATTTAGGAAAAGCTACTAATTAAATAACCTGAATTAATAAAAGCTCTAAAAGCCTTAATAGAAATTAATATAATTCCTGGTTATATAATATTTTGGGAAATTAATTTATTATATTCTTTTTCTATTATATTTTTTCTAATAGTTTTATTACTAATATATATATAGAACTAATAAGATTATAGAATAGAGCTTGAGAATAATAGTTAGATTACTAGCCTATAAATGCCTATTATTCTAGAACTTAATTAAAGAATAGCCTTTATATAAAATTCTTTAGTTTTTAGGGTTTTCGGAAAAGTTTCTAATATATTATTAATATATATTTATAAAAATATAAATATCTGATTTTTCTAAAAGTTTTAAAGCTTTTTGCTTTTATTATTCTAGAATCTATTACTTGTATTTCTAAGGTTCTATTATTTTAGTAATACCTATATTTCTAAATTAGTTTATTTGAAATTCTTTATAGAATTAAAAAAAAGTAAGCTTTAAATATTATTATAAATATAATATTTAGAACTTAAAAAGCAAAATAGAAGATTTTTTATAAAAATGATTTAAAGCTAAAAAAAAGAGAAAATTAGAATATAAAAGGCTATAAAGAATAAATATATTTTATAATATACTAGTTTATAAGAAACTTATAAGGTATTTATTAATAAGTAATAAAATAATAGAATAAATTAGTAAGTTATAAAACTATAGTATTAAATTTAGTATAGAACTAATTTCTATTTTTCTTATAAGGTTTAGGGAAGCCTTTTCTAAATAGAAGACCCTAATAATATATATATAATTAGTAATTTATAAGCCTAATACTTATAATATAAATAACGGAATATAAATAATGAAATATAAATAACGAGATATAGATAATAGAATATATATAACGGGATATAAATAACTAGATATAAATAACTATCCCTTCGTCTGTCGGAAACTGTCCAGCGCTAGCAGGGGGGGTGTGGCTGCACGCAAGCCCCACCTCGCTTTGTTACGCTTCAAGAGGCTTGCGTGCAGCCACACCCCCCCTGCTAGCGCTGGACAGTTTCCGACAGACGAAGGGATATTAGATAATTATATTAGCTAATAAGGTTAAAAGCTAAATTATAATAATTTTCTCTTCTAAAAGTAATATAAATATAATATATATTATTAGATATAAAGTTTATTTAATTTTCTAATTAGTTTATAAATTTTATTTTAGCCTTTATTTATAAATAAATTATTATTTTATAGGCCTAAAAGCTTAAAAAAGTTAATCTAATCTTTTCGTTTATTTATAAATTCTTTCTTTAAAATTTTTTGAATATTTCTAATATATAGCCGGTTCTGAATTTGTAATTACTATTTAGGAAAAAAGTATTATAAAAAGACTTCTTTTTTTCTATTAATTAACTTTCTTTTCCTTTAATTATAATATTATATTTAGTTTCTTTTTATTTCTTGCTCTTCTTTTTTAAGTCTTTTTTAAGCCTTTTTTAAGCTCTTTTAAGCTTTTTTAAGCTTTTTTAATATTTCCTTTTATTTCTTTATTTATTAAAATAAATTCTTTTCTTAATACTTATTAGTCTATTATTAATTATTTGGCTAATACTTATATAGCCTTAATTCGCCTTTATTATTTTTAATATTTCAAGAATATTATTAAGTTTCCTGATTTTACTTATATTAAAAATAATTATTATTTAATATATAATTACTATTATTTCAAAAATAAGAAATATTATTTTATAACTTATAATTTCTCTTTTTTATTCCCGATTCTAATATTATTTAAGGTTTCTTAAATATATATAATATTATTAAACCGCTTTTTTTAAACTATAAATATATATAAATATCTTTTTTATTTTTTATTTAAATTAAAAAAGGCTTTTTTCTTTCTTTCTTTCTTTCTTTCTTTCTTTCTTTCTTTCTTTCTTTCTTTCTTTCTTTCTTTCTATTTATTAAGCTTTATATACTTTTTATATTAAAGCTATTATTTGAGGCTAGTAAATTCTTTTAATAATTTAAATATAAATTAAATAACTTTTATTAGCTTAATATAAATATAAAATACTTTTAAAAATATAATTAATATTAAATAATATTAAATAAGCTTATTTCTTCTTTATTTTTTACTAATAACTAATAACTTTTTAAGTTAATTTACTATTTATTTCTCGAGAGAATTTTAATAATAATAATAATAATAATAATAATAGTAGTAGTAGTAGTAGTAGTAATAGTAATAATAGTAATAATAATAAAGTTACTTATAATAATATTATAACTTAATAAAAGCCTTTCTTAATTTATATAAAGGTTATATAATAGTTCTTAGCCTTTTAATAATATAATTAACAGAAGCCTTTCTTAATTTATATAAAGGTTATATAATAGTTCTTAGCCTTTTAATAATATACTTAACAGAAGCCTTTATAAAATAATAAGAATATATAGGAATTAGCTTATTTAGAAACGAGTTGAATTATTTTATTACTATCTATTTCAGATTCCTGAAATAAATTAGTAGAAACTAATTAGTTCGAAATTTTACTAAGCCTATAATAGTATAACTATTTCTTAATACAAACTATATAATATTACTTCTAGCTAATCTACTAATATCTTATATATAAATCCCTCGGTATTACTATATTATAATATATAGGGTTACTATTATAATAATAATAAAACAAGTAAATAAAGATTAATCTAAATATTAAATACTTTTAATAAAAAGTCAAAAAGCGAGCTTATTATAATATATTATTATAATATCTTTTTCTTTTAATTATATAATTAATAATATAAGTAATATAAGTAATATAAGTAATATAAGTAATATAAGTAATATAAGTAATATAAGTAATATAAGTAATATAAGTAATATAAGTAATATATAAGTATATGTTAAGTATATATAAATAATATAAGTAAAAATACAGTAATATAAATAAGGTATATAAGTAATATAAGTAAATTATAAGTAATATAAGTAATATAAGTAATATAAGTAATATAAGTAATATAAGTAATATAAGTAATATAAGTAATATAAGTAATATAAGTAATATAATTATAATTATAAAAGTATTAATTAATTATAAAAAAAACTATTTCTTTTCTTTATTACTTATATAATAATATTAGAAATTGCCTAAAATCTAAAATACTTATAAAGTATAGCTTAGTATATTATAATAATATAATAAGGATTTTAATTTCATAATTATATAATATTTAGAAATTCGCAAATTGTAATTTATATATAACTTTGCTTCTTTTTGCTCTTTTTTAGAAATTAACTAACCTTTATTCTTTAATCTGGTTGGCGTACGGAGGACGCAGTAAGTACTATTAATCGAGCGATTTAAGAGTGAAGCAAGAGAGCTTAGAGGGAGAGGTTTAATGTCCACCCTAAAAAAAAAGGGGGGCGAAGCTAGACCCAATCAGGACCCCCTGGAGACAACCATTTTTCACGTGGGCTGACCATCAACCTCTCTTTTCGCCTTTACCTGACAGCCTCAATCAAAACGATGATAGTTACTTGCTCAGCATGTGCCGATCTCTCAGTGACTCAACTCCGCAAGACGGATCACAATAGCCCGTATACGCATCATACCAACGTGGAAGAGCTCATAGCATGCGCGGAGGTTTCGACTTGCGGGACTTGCGTCTTATTATGGCGCACTATGGACGAGCTCACGCAACTCAATTCCTCCAAGCCTGCTATCCGAGATCACCCCAACGAGACATACGCACTGTACGGTCAATTCTATGATGATTTTGATTTCAAATTCGGGGGCCCAACGGAAAGCGGCGAACCCGTCTCTTTTGAGAGTGCAATCAAGATTGAGGCTAAGTTTCTGACGTATAATATTGGTTTGAGGAGGATAAGATTACGTCTCTTTGCTCTCGAGGGTGAGTTGACTGTCTACAAGGTTTCCTTACTCTAACCATGCTTGTCGAGCCGAGACTGGCATCTCATCCTACTCGAAAATACGCATCCTACATAGGCAGCCCGACTGCTCGCTTCCAGGTTGCTCTTAATTCATATACCCACAGTGCTAACTATCTCTAGGTAAGCCAGCTGCACAGTATTTCTCAGAGCGGTGCACTTATTTCGATCCAGCTCCGGATCTCAGTATTCAGCTGGGTCGGAGTGGCTCGGGACCTGTTTTACACACCACGAAAAGTGCCGCCCGATTTCTTCTGCTATGCCTACACGCGTGATCGCTCTCGGGATTCCTAGTACCAAGCTACCTCGGCTTCTCGTTACGAACGGTCTACATGAGCCATATGTAACTTTATCCTATTGCTGGGGTCAAGGGGCCACCAAGTCGCTCATGCTACGCGACGAGAACCTCGAGTCAATGCAGGAAGGGATCCACGAAAATAACCTAGCCAAGACGTACTGTGAAACACTCCAAGTAGCTCGCGATCTGGGCTTCTTGTACACCTGGATAGACACACTGTGCATACTTCAAGAAAACAAGTGTGACTCGGAGTACGAGTCAACGAGGATGGGAGAAGTATATGGAAACGCCTCCTTAACTCTCGTGGCAGCGAGAAGTAGCGATGATATGAGCGGGTTTCTGCGAAATGACTTCAACCCTGTGGCAGACCCGTGTCCATTCCCATATGGCAAGGCCGATGAGAACGGCCATGAAATCAATGGACTGTACGTCGGTCTGGATAGAGCTTGGTTCAAGGATACGCTTGATCTTGACCCAGTGAAGACTCGGGGCTGGTGCCTGCAAGAAGCGGAGTTGAGCAGAAGAACACTTATTTATGGACGCAATGGTGTCTCTTTTCAGTGCAAGACAGCCAACTTCTTCGAGGACGAGACCTATAAATTCTACCACAAACGCGTTTTTGATCCCAAGCCAGAGGCTGCCAGGCTCGGCAAAAATACCTAAATTTCAGGTATCGATATGTATCGATGCCAGAATCGTAAGGTATCGATAGTATCGATAGTAGTATCGATTCCCCGAGCCTAATTTTCCCCTTTAATTATAATTAACTTTAGAACCACTCGTTTTATAAGAAAACTTCTGGTAGCGCAAATATTCTACTTAGTTCAGGCTTTCTATTTAGCTACTTATCTTATACTTTAGACCAAAACTCATCTCAATGCGGCTATTTCAAGTAAAAATAAGCTTTTAAGATTTTCGTAAAGCTCGCCTATATTTAGCGTCCTAATAAGAAATACGAATACGAGGCATAATTCTCCGAATACGAGGGCTATTTCAATTTTAAGATATTATTAACTTTTATTAATAATTATAAATAACTTTTTTAATAGAAAGACTAGAAATTAAAGGAATTATATATAAATATATTTTTATATAAATTAAATAATAAAATAATGAGATAATTTTTAGGGGTAAGAATCGATTTTGGTATCGATACCTATCGATTCTTACGATACCTGAAAAATACCTAATACTATCGATACTGGTATCGATGCCTCAGGTATTTTTGCCGAGCCTGGAGGCTGCCCTTGGCCCAGTCCCCGGCCGACGACCCCCTGACGGACTAGAACTGCTGAATCACTGGTATGCAGGTGTTCTACCAGATTACACAGCCAGCGCACTCACAAACCGTAGCGATATCTTTGCGGCGATCGCAAGCCTTGCAAAGTTGGCGAAGCAGACAATTGGCGGCCGCTATTTAGCAGGCGCCTGGGAAAGCGATCTTCCACGTGGTTTACTTTGGAAACCCCGATACCAGACCCGCTGGATGGTAGACCCGTCAAAGACTGAGACCAATCTGGTACCCCTCAGGAGATCTCGCCCTTCCCAAGCTCCATCGTGGTCATGGGCTGCAGTTGAAGGGCCAATCTCACACGGCTGGGACAACCGGAAGAGATGGCCACCATATCCCACAGAAGGCCGCCCTGACGCTTTCTTGGTGCGGCCGGCACATCAAGGTCATACTCGGTGGACAACCCAAGATAGCTGTGATGCAGATGTGCTCTACATGCCGCGGTGTGAACTCCAAATGCATGGTCGGCTACGACGACTTCGCTCCACGGCAATTCCGCAGGCGAGGCTGCTGGATTGGTATCGTGAACAGGGTGTAAAGGCTCGCCAGCGGCCTGACGACTTGCCTCCCCAAGTACGAGACGTAGTCTTGTTCGAACCCTTGACTGTGCTTGAAAATGAGGCCTCTCTGCTTGAAGACAGTGTGTCAAATGATTAGATTAGATTAGATTAATGGCCATTAATCTAATCTAATCACGAAATATACTCATTAATCATATTCTATTCATGTATTAATTAGATTAATCATGATTAATTTGATTAATCTGATTAATACAGACGTGATCTTACACGTGACATGGCTAGCCGAATATGGTAACGCTCCTGTCCGCTCTAGCTCTAGCGCTACACTAATCAGGGGCGGCAATGCTTAGTAAGCGACCTGAAGCTAAATTAAAAAGGGGAATATAGGAAAATAACTAGTTTATTATTGAAAGCTAGTATTTAGCTACTATTATATAAGCCCTAGCTTAGTTTAACTAGGGCTACTTAATAGGTGCCTTAGTTATTTAATACTTATTAAGTAAATAGTGATTTATTACAGTCACGTGACAGATTAATTAGATTAATCATGATTAATCTGTTTAATTATTCTAATCTAATCAAAAAAAATCTGAATTACATTAATCATAATCTAATCACCTTAATTAATTAATTAATTGATTAATTTGATTAACGTGATTAATCCTTTGACACACTGCTTGAAGAGGGCTGCCCATTCAATCAAGTCATGGCTTTCGGCGTCTTTGACATTGCCGAGGAGCTTGTTGAGAATATATGGGCGTTGCCGACCACTCGAGATCTGGGCCTGATTCTAGATCGGAAAGAAGATAGGCCTTTCCACCGTCTGGGCATCTTCCATCTTTTGAATCTCTAGTGGTTCGAAGCTGGCGAAGAGGAACTGGTGAGGCTGGTATGAGATCTTGAAAGTAGAAGGAAGCGTTCCTCGAGCTTGGTCTCCTAGGCCAATATGAAGGCAATCTGGTTCAAATCAAGCCGAAAATACATCCCTGGTGGAAATGATCAGAACGGGGGTTGACTTGACAGAGAAGGGAATAGTCTTATATGGTGTTGTGGTAGAGATCAGTGTGTCAAAAAAAAATCAAGGCTAGTTAATTATGATTTGATTCAGTAGATTTTGATTATAATCAATTATAATTAACTATAATTATCACGTAATACTAAGAAAACTTGAATTTCTCAAGTAATTTAAAAGATTATTAAATAACTAATAGCTATATTAATAAAATATAAACAAGACTTATAAAACATATATAAGAGTACAAAACTAGTCCAAATCTGGAATAAAAAACTAGTTATCCTCCTTAGAAACCTTCTCTTTATCTTTTTTATCCTTATTTTCTTCTCTTTTTATTTCTTCTTCCTCGTTTATAAATACCCCCCAGCTCTTAAAACATATAATCTTCTTAAAGATACTCTTATTAAGTCAATTACGTAGTTTAGTATTAATAAGAGCCCCTTGTGAGAAGAAACGCTTGCTAGTAGCAAACGAAGCGGGTATTCCTAAGTACTTCCTTGCTATAAGGGATAAAATAGGAAATCTAGCTTTATTAGCTTTCCAATATTCTAAGGGCCGAATCTATTACTAAATTAGTACTTATATATAAAGAAATTATAATAAAGGAATTAGTAGTTCCTAAGAAAATTTGAAGTAAAGTAAGTAAATTTTATATATCTTTTTATCTGCTCTCTTTTCTTCTAAATACGTTATTAATTTGTTTTCTATTATATTCTCTTAATTATTTATATAAATATTAAGTTCGTCTTTATTAAAATCTTCTATAGACATATTAGAACTAGAGTCTTAAGGATTAGCTATTAAATAGTCTCGTTTATACCTATATAAAAATTAGTAATTTGAAAATTTGAAAATTTAAATAAAAACATATACTTATATGTTATAATCTATTTCAAGCCTATTATATATATTAGATACCATTCCGGGAGCTAATCTAATTCCGGCTAGTCCTGCTCTTTTAATTTGAGGATTAAGAATAAGAGCTAAATATAAAGCTTTACTTTTATTATCTAAAATGCCGGTTTTAGGATAATATTTTCGAAGCTTAGCTATTCCTTTATTAATAGCATTTTCGAAGGTTTTATCCTATTTAAAATTAGTATATTTATTAATATAATAAGAAATAAAGAAGGAAGACTTATTTTAAACTCTCTTTTAAAACCTTTAAGTTTATTATATATTTTATATACTTCAGATATAATATAATATATAATAGGGTAGTTTTCGGCTTATAACTTAGTTATAGCCTTAATAAATATTGAAATTATATTTAAAATATTATTTAAATAAGTAATTTCAATATTAGTTAAAACTAGACTTTTATTTTTAAAAGCCTTTAATTTCGAGCTATTAATTACTACTTTAATAGCTTCATATAGTAGAAACTCGCTATAATAATCCCCGATATAGCAATATCCTTAGTAATACGATACGGCCGTACGGTCCCGTGCTTTTTTAGCCTTAGGCTTACGATATCCTTAGTAATACGATTATCGTTAGGTTTTTCGGTCCCAACCCTTGATTTTTGGTAGTATATCATTCTAAATTAGCCTGAGTAATAGATTAATTTATCGATATTCCAGAGCCCTCAGGGCTATCCGCTCCCTCTCAGGCTCTTACCTCTGGCTCTCTAGCCCCCGAATAGCCTAAAAAACGACGAAGAGGCTTGATAGAAGCTGATTGCCGAGCTCTACAGAGGCACAAGTAATCCTATCCTAAAGCTATATATACTAATCTTATTAAGTGGTTCCAGGACGAGTTTAACTATAAGATTAACTAGTCGACTGTTTCCCTTAGCCTTAGCCCTTAATTCGATTACCTCGATACCGATATACGAAAAGATACGAGCCTTACGCTTTAATATTTAAGCCAATCTAATTGGCCTGATCTTGAAGCGGCACTCTTTGAATAGTAATAGAAGATATAAGGGCAGAAGGTAGTAATTACGGGCGATACTCTTAAGCAGAAGGCATACGAGATCTGGTACCTTCTCCCTTAATATTACGAGTAACCAGAGCCTAAATGGTCTAATGGATGGTTAACTAATTTCAAGAATCGCTTCTATATCAAGGAATACGTCTGCTATAGCGAAGGGGGTATGGCAGATATCGATAGCCCTGAGAATATTAAGCAAATGCAGGAAAATCGAGACTTGGCAGCCATATATCCTCCTGAAAATATCTTAAATATGGATAAGACTGGTTTATTCTGGAAACTGTTACTAAACCGTATACTAGTAACTGAGGCTAGTAATAGAGGCAGAAAGAGTAAAGACCGAATTACTCTTACTCTTACGGTTAATACTACGGGTACTAATAAGTAGGAGCCTTGGTTAATTGGAAAGAGCGAAAACCCTCGGTGTTTTAAGCATATTAATCGATAACTCTTGGGTATATAATACCGGTATAATAACTCTAAGTGGATAACTGGTATTATCTATATAGAATACCTCTACTGGGTTAATCGCAAGTACTTTACTCAAGGCCGGTATGTTCTTCTATTTATGGATAACTTCTCAGGGTACTAATATAGTATTAATCTCGTTAGTGGAAAACAAGCTCTCTTATATATATAAGTAGAATGGCTACCTCCTAATATAATATTATACTAGTAACCGGCAGATCAAGGTATTATTAGTGCCTTTAAGCTTTATTATTGCAAGTAGTAGGTTAGCTATATAATTAAGTAATTTGAGACGGATAAGGATCCCAATAAGATAGTTACTCTCCTCCATACGGTTAACTGGATAGTATATGCCTGGAATAATTACGTTAAAGCTTTTACGATTACGAATTACTGGTATAAATCAAGCCTTATTATAAAACCTCTCTTTGGTAGAGATCTCGATACCTACGGCGAAATTGATCTAGAATAGGCTACTCAGTAAGCAAAGAATCGAGAGATAATCAAAATCCTCTAATCGACTATTTAGTATACTACTTAATTTAATAATCCTCTCCCTATTAGCTAGTTTATTGTACTAATTAACGAGGAAATCGTAGAGGATAAGAGTATGACTCTGGAGGTGATTGTGAATTGCTATATATAGGGAGGTTCAAGGGATACTCAGTCTGATATAGAGGAGCAGGAAAAGTAGGAGGAGATTAGGGAAGTGAAGTTAGTTGAAGCGATAGCTGTACTTGATTTACTAAATCTATATGAGAAATAATAGGAGGATAGACAAAGTGAGATTATATATAAGCTTGATGCTATAAAAGCTATGTATATCCAAAGGAAGGCAGTAAAGGCAAGGCAAGCTTATATGGAGTTCTCAGGAGGTTCTTTGCAAGTAGTGAGGCATTAGGGTTAAGAGGTTCTTTATATATCTTCAGTTCCTTCTATATTTAGTATATATGCATGTGATCCTTAATTAAATGATGCCTCGGTGTATCGTAAGAAAATGGCACTAAAAATGGTATCGTTATAGCGAGCTTCTACTATATATATATAAAAAGTCTTTTAATATATAATAAGTCGAAGACTACTGTGTTTTTTAATCTATAAATAATTAGTATTAATTAATAATTAATTAATTAATAATTAATTAATTAATTACTTACTAAGTTAAGGAAACCGAGCATTTTCTATATTAAAAGCTTTAATTTGAGCTTCTAATAGCCATTGATTTTCCTAATTATATTTAAGACCTATAATAGTCTTTCTAATCTTTTTCCAAATTAATAAATCTATAATTTATTAATAAATCTCTTATAAATTATATAAGAAACTTACTTGTTATTTATTCTACTCTTTCTCCTTCTTCTCTTTCTTTAAGTTCGTTCTTTTCTTGCTCGTATAAATCCATAGAATAAGAAGTATTATAATTATTCTTAATAAGAGCTTTTAAGATATCTTAAATTACTAAGTTTAATACATAAGCTATATAAGGAATATCTCCTTGAAATTTAATACCTTTCTTATTATAATGCTTTATAAAAGCTTGTAATAAGGTATTATTTGAGCTAGTATTATCTCGAGTAATACTAAATAAAATATATTAGTAATTATTTTTAAAAAAACAAGATTTATATTACTTACCTAGTAATATTATATTTAATACCATAAGCTTTTAAAGCTTCTAATAGAACCGAATTCATATATTTACTACTATAAATATCTTTTAAATCTTTTATAGCTAATAAATAAGATTTTAATTTAAAATCTTTATTTATAAAATATCTAAAAATTAAATTAGTAAATTTTTTATTAATTATTATTAATAAGAATAACTTATATAGTAATTCCTAAATAAGCCTTCTGATTTATAGCTACCTAAGTATCTAAAGTAATAGAAAAAGCACCGTTCGATAAAATATTATTTGATAATTCTTCTTTTATAAGATTACTATTATTATTATATCTTAAAGTAAGCTTATCCGTAAGTACTTTAGAATATAAAGGCGGTACTTTATTATATAAATGTTAGTTATTTATTAATATAAGTAATTTTTAAATAAAACTTACTAGTTTAAATATTAAAGTAGCTTTTTAAAGCTCGGAGTAGTAATAGCTCTAAAAGAAATATTATTATTAACTATAAAGTCTAATAATAATCTTTTAAAGTGAACTATAGTAAAGCCTTTACTAGTTTGACTAGTAGCTTTACTAAATAATTCGGTAATAGATATTTGATTTGAGTCTTGAAAAGTAGCTATAAAAATTATTAGTTATTATTTTATAAATTAATATTAATTACTTATAAAGCTTATTGCCCTTTAATATAGTATCTATATTAACTGACTTATAATTATTAAGATAATGGCTCTTATAATTACTTATTGATTTTCCGATTCTTTGTTTTGTGAATTTTTTACTAAAAATATATTAGTTATTTTATAATTAAATTAAATTAAATTAAAAATATATACTACTTACTTATAGCCCTTAAATAAGTATAATACAGTAATTATTCGATAGTTATTAAGGTTCTCTGGATTAGCTTTAGGAGGGTCTAGAGTCTTTCTCATATAGCCAAGCTTAAAGATAGGAGCTTATCTTAAAAGTGGTTCTAGCTCAAAATCCTTCTTATTTTGAAGGATATTAAGGTTAATTGAGGATTACTGAGACATTTTCGAATATATCGAGTAAATATAAGTAGGTTTATAGTCGAAAGCTTCTTAATTAGAGCTATAGTTATTGAGATATTTATATATAAAGTAAGGAGAGAAGAAAGTAATTTGAGGGAAATTACTTATTTATATATAAATTCTCTAGAATCTAGAAGATTCTTTAATAAGCGTCTGATTAGTAATAGCCCCCTAATTTCAAAGCATTTATTTATAAGAGGGTTTATTTTTAGCTATTTTATTTATAATAATAAGATTTATAAGGTGGTAAGGAATTACTAGAAAATCGAGTAGGTTCTAGCGCCTTCGGCTCGTCCCGCTTCGCTTACCAAGCGGCGCGATACCTGATTTAGTAAGGAGCGCCTGAAGCGATACCGGATATAGGCTAGCCTAAACCTTATTTTAGCCTCATCACGCTTTCTAACCTCCGAGCGCACGTGCACGGTCACGTGACTAAATAATTAACTATAATCAACTATAGTTGATTATAGTTGATTATGATTTGATTAAGTAGATTTTGACTTGATTTGATTTGATTCAGAGGCGATAATCAAATCAAGCTAAATCATTTGACACACTGGTAGAGATCAAAGTCGCGACTAGAAGCCCAATGCCTGAGGCGGCGTTTAGTGCACTTGCTACGTCAAAACATCAGCGAAAAGGATATTTAAATCCAGTCTCCCGTCTCGCCTCTTATCCACCAGATACAAAAACGCGGGCTATGCGCCGTTTGCGGGTTTACAATCAACTATGACAGGCTGGCGCTCTGATCCAGCTGTCGTAACATGCTTCGTATGTGTCGAATCTTGCAAGCGATCTGTTGCATTATGCTTTGGCTGCCTGTGGTGCTCAGTTCACTAGCGGTAGAGATCAGAGGGTTCAAAGGGACAGTTGACAACAAAGTGACAGCTGACAACACGGAGGTGTGGAAGTCAACAGTTTATGGCCACATAATCTCGATGTCACAAAACAGAAGTTCTTTGATTGCTTGAAAGGTGCCAAATATAACAGCAGAAGAAGTTACTATAAGAACACTAAAGCTGGCTCGCCTGGACGCTGGTGTGTTCTCGAAGTGTTTCTCTGCTTCCCACCTTTTTAACAAAACTAGTATTTATATTCCTTGTTCAAAAGCTGATTATCACCTTTGGTCAAAGAACTCGAACCTGAATGTCAACTTCCTCGACCTATCAACTAAACATAGAGCAACACAACTATGCGGCCCATCATAACTTGCCCCAACAAAGTCTAGAGCGAGGAGAAGGTATATAAAACCCCCACTTAGGGTTCTCACTCCCCCAAGACTCAGACACGCAAGTACTCCGAGAAGAAGCATGAGATGGCGCAGGATGTCGACGTATTATTAGCCCAACACCGCAAAGCTAGACTGAGAAGGGAAGAAGAATTCAATAAGAGTCTGCGATACTTAAAGCTGACTGAGGAGGGGGGAAGTAGTAGATGGGACGAAATGGGTGTTCTTTGACAACAATGGGATACTTGATAGCGACAAGATCCTTGACAGCAAAAGACTGGGAAGAAGGGAATGAATCTCAAAGCAGCACGTCAAAAGAAGTAGCGCAAATGCAACCCTAAGAAATATAAGAGGATCGAGCAATATGTTGTACTGGGAATGACTGACGGGTGCCGACTCGGTCCTCACGCCTCCATGGACGCATGACGTTTGTTTTCAAATTCAATTCCACCTGGATGTTCACACGAATACTTGCGCATTCGAAACCTCTCACTCCCCGTTCACCAAAGCTCAACACCGGGAGGGACTGAGTGAGTAAGAAAGTGTGAACTGGATTCTCTAACTATCCCCAATACACTATAACCAAGCACTCAATGCAATGCAATGCCCTCATTCCACAAAGCCACGTATATGGATGTGGAAGAAACAACACCCCAACGCCCAACAATGAGTTGTCTTCTTGCAGCAATATCGAAAACAAGTGGACCGTACCCCAACCCAATCAATGAGCCAAACACCGAATATACAAGTACACCTGACGTAAATACCAACATCTCCCTTCGTCATCACGCTCTACCTCTTCCGCCTCTCATCTTCATCTTCACTCTCCTCTTCCTTCGCCATCAGTCTCTCCCGATCACTCGTACTCGCGCTCCCCACGACCGTCGGGCTGCTCTCCCCATCAAAAAGCGGATCGTAATCCTTATGCCCCGTCTTCAACCCCTTCCTGCTGCTGCCCCCACTAAACCTCTTACTTTCCTTAACCTTCGATTTCGCCCTCTTCAACTCCTCTTCCTTCGCCATCACCTCCTCGTCCTCCTCATCCCCACTATGAATCTCATCACTGCTGCCACTCCTCCCATCCTCGAACGGTTGATGGCTTTGAACTTCCGCATCTGCGTCCGAGTCTGGTATCCGCTCATGCTCTGGTTTCTGGTTCTTAATAAAAGAATCGATGATATAGTATTGCGTCGCATTCATAATGACTGGGAAAACCAACATGACGAAGATGACTTGTAGTGCCTCGTCGCCCTCTGTCCATTTCAAAGCCCAGTCACCAACGCGTGATATCCAGGGGAGCACGAGAAAGATGATCAGGACGCAGACCTTCATGCCCATCAGGCCGATGAAGTAGATTATGGATTGTTTGAACCACCACCATGCGCGAGGCGGGCTGCCGTAGTTCCCAGACTCGATAGATTCGCGCGGGTTGCCGATAGGGGTTAGTGCGAAGAGGGCGGTGAGGATGCGTAGGAGGAAGATGAGGATTGGGATGCCTATCGTCGTCTGCGTATCAAACCATCAGCAAAAATTCCTACATTCTCAGCAAGGGATAGGACTTACATCGATAGCCAAATTCAACAAGTAAAACGAACACGGATTCGGCCTGTAATTCCCATGTTCATCCGTCATTCTCCCTGCCAACCCTCTCGTCACGATATTCGGATCCAGCTTTATCGAAAACTGCCCACTCGACAGCATGCTCATCAACAGATTCGCAATATGTACCAACACACTTCCCACAACTTGTTTTGAGACATCGAAGGACCAGATCTTAATAGGTCTTTGCGGCCGTTCTCGCCATCGTTTGTATACCAGTGCTAGGAGAGCGAAGCAGCCTAAGGCGCCTTGTACGAAGATGGCGAAGGGACCGAGGAGGCGGCATTCGCCGTTGTCTGGTTCTTTCGGGGAAGAGGAGATGGCTGTTGCGGTGGAGAGGACGGCCGAGGTGATGGTGGGGAAGTCGACGCCGAGGGAGTGGAGGGAGGTGGCTGTTGCTATCGCGTCGGAGAGGAGGGATGTGGGTGTTGCATCTTGGAGGAGGGAGGCGAGTGAGGGCTCCAAGCCCGGTGGTGGAAGCATCAAGATCTTGTGCCCTTGTCGTTGCCTTTGTATTCGGGGCTTGAGGCAGCAGGGAGTATGGAATGTGCGGGTCGAAGGTTATAAGGCTGTCATTCGTGATTGTATCGCGCCTCCAGTGTGATGCAATGCGAAGAGGGTGGTGATGTTTCTGAATCAAGGTCTGGTCAAGCTCAATCTTGCGATTCTCGTGAATAGGCAAGCAGTAGTAAATCCCGCAAGAATATGGTCTGGAGGTGAGGCAAAGAAAAAGGGCGTGGAAGAATCAAATGAGGTTGAGAAGTGAAGTTGTTGAAAACGATGACATGGTACATAAAAGCTGTGCAGCCAGGCTGTGTTGAGGTTGCCTTGTGATGGGGTAAAGCAGCCTAGCGTCGTTTGGTGGCGAAATCTTGATTTAGTGGTGCACCATGATGTACCTTAATCTTGATTAGTCATCACCCTTAACTTCGACTCCGAGAACTTTCTTGGGACTTGGAGCTGGGAACGTCAAAAAATATCAAATCATACAAAGGTAGTTCGGCCGAGGCCGTGTTTGGCCCTGAGAGCTGAAAGGGGGCATAGAATTTTATACACTGAAACATCCTCTCCCTGATTTTCAGTCCCTCAATCTACTATGCTGCTTGGTACAATCTTGGGTCTTGAAGCCGCCGGAAGTGGAGCTGCTCGGTACAATCTTGGGTGTTCACGCCTTTGGAAGTGGGAAGTCTACACCGGATACAACCAAACAAAGAGCACAATATCACAATATCACCGCCCCCTTTGCGGCCAGTATCTCTGTTCCAAAGCCCCTCCCACGATCTCGTCCGCGGCTGCCCCGTCTCATCCCCATGTCTTACTTTTCGCCGCCAAAGTGTTCCCGCGGAACACATCCGACAGTCTCCTTGGCCAGAATACCTCAACCAGGGTTGTTGACTTGAAGTGAAACACGAAGCCCACGATGTCAGTGTTGAAAGACAGGCTCAGCAGGTTCTGGCAGTTTATATACGCCTGGCTGCATTCCTTGCTTACAGAGGAGGGTGTTCCCAGATGAGCGATGGTCGGCGTTCTCCACACGCAGTAGGGTCTCGATATAGAAAGGGAGAAGCTTGCCGGAAGAAAACCCAGTGTTGGCCTCACGAATTGTACGTGGGTAGTGTAAAGCATTGCATGCATCCATTCCTCATTGACACAAAGAACGTTATCCCTATCCTCCAAACCATGCACTGAACTGTCCCACCAACATCCCATTCAGGCATTTCCCTTCCTATGCAGCAACCATGAAAGAGTGAAGCCCCAACCCGGCCTAAAATCAACAAGAAAGCAACGCGCAAGGAATTTACCCTCCCGAGCCCATCAAACCAAGACCCGTCATATCAACAGTCTCGCATGGTAGTTGTTAGAGCCTCGGAGAAGAAGGAGAGAGGACGAGGCTGGCTGGTTGAGGAGGGGTTTAGTTGGGGCAGGACTGTGTCTCTGTCAGCTTTCTGTATGCGCAAGAGGCAATAAAGATGGAGGAAGCGGATGGTGAAAGTGGAGGGAGGAGAAATTGATGGTGAAGGGAGAGAGGGGATGGGGCACATACAGCACCACAGCTAGTGCAGCTCTTTGAGCTGCCATCAGAGCTAGCACCGCATTTAGGGCAGTCAGCGCCGTGCATGTTTGTTATCGAGGCCTTTGAAGTTCTGTCTTTTGACGAGGACTAGTATTTGTGTGCGAGTTGATGTTGATGTTGTCAGATGGTTGCTTTGAGGTTGAAGAGAGAGGGTGATAAGGAAGGGTGGGGAAGCGGGGCTTATATCCTCGAGACGATAAGGCGGCACGGAATCTCGCACGTGGACATTACGAGGCTGCATCCGGATAGGCGCATCGTGTCGGCTTAGCTCTTTGGTGTGTCTGTCACGTTTCGGAGAAGCGTTGATCCCACGGAATAACTTCGAGGTGGTGGAAAGGGGTGGGTAATGTTGGATGTCAACAATGCGGTTTTCGTCGCAGCTGGACAAGGGAAATTATAGATGGGGGGCGGTACGACTGATGGCTTTGGTTTTGGATACCAATCACAGTCAAGGAAGGAATATTCTTATTTTGAAGGAGAAGAAGAGGATTGCCTGACCGCGCCAAGGGCTGCACAAGTGTCAATTTAGCAAGCCACGACAGTAAAGCTCATGAAGAAACCGATTGCAAAGACCGCCACCGAATCACTGCCATTCGCTGGTCTCCGTGCCTTATCAACGCCGTTTGGAAAACAGTCCCCCAAAGAAAGTAGCAAAGAAAGAAGAGTTGTTGGTATTTACGCCCGTTCTCGCCCCCTCCCCGTGTTTGGTGCCGGAAGAAGAGATCACGCTCCCTTTCCTCGTAGACGGGCCTACAGATCTCGATTTTGTAGAAGCTTTCCTAGCCTTTTTGGTGTTGGAAGTTGTGCTCGCCAACGCATTTCGAGGTGTGTGTGCTGGTGTAGGTGCTTGTGCTTGATCCGCAGGCCCGTCTGGTCGTTATTCGATACCGTGCTGCTTCTTGAGCTGCTCTAAATTCTCCTTGCGCTCCTCGAGGTCCTGTTTTGACTTGACCATCTTGTCTGGCTGGTGGTAGAGGACTGGGGATATTAGTAATGTTTGCAGAGGTGGGGAGGTCGACGTACCGACGAGGTAGCGATTTTGGAAGTTAAAGCCGTTCAGCTTGTCACACGCCTGCTTCGCATCCATCACGTCTTCGTAGACAACGAAGGCCGTGCCCTTGGTGCCGCTGGCAATTCCCTGGCGGATTTGGCTACCTTGTTAGCATGCTGCGAGAAGTCAAGCCTTGGTGAACATACCGGATTGGACCAAACTTGCCGAAGAGGTCGAAGAGCTCCTCAGGAGTGACGTTGTAGCTGTTACCCGTCAGTACACTTCTTCAATACATCATCCCAGGTCGATCTGCCATCGCTATCTCGAGTATATGGACGAACCTTAGATTCTTGACGAACAAAGCTCTGCCGTGATCCTGTTAGCAATTGCCCCTGTCATGCATTAACTCCAGGTAGAGGGAAGAACGCACCGATTGACCTCGGGTGCGAGTTTACCGCCTCGACTCATAGCTTGGCTACGGTTTTCTCGAATTGTCTGGTTGTTTTGGTTGTAGGAAATGGGAGGTTCCCAAGATGGAGATCGAAGGAGGGGCTCGTTGATTAACAGAGACTTGAAGAAGGCGTGGCACGACACCTTGCCGCATCCGGTTAGGGCCAGGTAGAAACGCCACACCATTTCCTTTGCAACGACGACATCGCTTGCTCACTCTCTTTCAACACTCACTCATCAAGGACATTCCAGAAATGACTAGAGGTTACAATGCCAACTCAATTATTGTACTTTGAAACACGATTATGCTTTAATTCCCTCCATCGTTTACACCAGCGAGCTTCGGAGATGTCACGTCACACGGACGTACCATGAGGATCTTCGGTGACCGTCGGTTTTAAAGGATATGCCCATTTCCGGAGCGATTCCACATAGACTGTTCTTTCAATTGTTATTCCATGTGGTTCCCAAATTTTGTGGCCTTCAAAATAAGTACCGAGGCTGAACTTTTGCGCCGGAGTCGAGTATTTTGTCATGAAACAGATCAGCTGCAAGCTCGGGCCTACTCCCAGATTTGCACCATTGTACCAAATTCCCTTCGAACATTGCCGTTACTATTTCATTACAATCTACACATATGCCTTACTTGATCTTTCTCTGGTATCTTACGGTCTAGTGACAGGTCCTGGCCAAAATTTCAAATTATAGCGGGATATTGTTTTTAATGACCTGAAAAAGTCGCTATACTCTTAATATATCATTTGCTAATATATTGATAATATCCAAAGTTGCTATAAAATATTTAATTCTTCCTTTCACGAGCTGACTTAAAGATTCTTAACCTTTTTTGAGCTAGTAATACTCCTTAAAGCTGTGGTGTGTGTGGATAGGCTTATGCACACGCTAACTGAGCCAAAAGACTAAAGTATTCACTCCAGGAGTGAATACGCCTACCACGCTTCATAAGGCTTGTGTCAAGTCACGTGACATGTCACAGAAGCTCTTAAGGAATTTTTCCTTAAAACTTCTTTATTTCCTTTATTAAAAGTAAGATTTTGACTTGTCAAAGCGAAGTTTTAGTTACGTGTGGCAAAAACTCACGTGATTGCGAAAAAGCGCAATTATATGATTTGTAAAATTAAAAAACTTAAAGAAAGCTAAGGGGAGGTTTGGGGGATCTCTCCCTAAGATTCATACGCTGACAGGTTCCTCCTTCAGATCAGGAATGTCGTCCCGGCAGCGCATGCCTTGGCGTCCCAGGAAGGAGCTGTGACTCAGGCTGTGACGTCCTATTCTCATTTAGAAATCGTCATTGACTCGGGCAAGGAATTCGAAACTGACGCACAGGGAGGCTCTTCTGAACATATGCGATCTTATTTGTAGTCATCTGGTGTTTCGGCTATGCAAATACGCTGGAAGTTTAGCGACCTTTAACGATCATTCTTCACTGAGTTCGCTGAAGCGATCCACTACTATCCCCCCCTTGAATACACAGTGGGTCCTTTAGTAACGCCACCCTGAAACCTCGTTTATAACCCCCAACTAGGAAATATCAGGTGCTCTCCAGAATCGCCATTGGTCATACACCCTTGAGTTGGTCAGTGCAGGAGTGGTGTTATCCCAGGACCCGCTGTAAGTATTCAAGGGGGGGGATAGTAATCGTTCGGCGTTTCCACGCCGAACGGCTATACGGACGTAAAACATAAAGTTCCAGCGCACCTAGGTCGCTAAAACGCCACACGAGCAGGAGCGCCACGATTTGGAAAATTCCCCTGCAAAGGGATACTCCGCTGAGAATTAGTAGTGTAGGGCGCGCTGGCCCGTCCTAGTGCACTCCGGTGGCTTGCGTTTCCGGTATGACCACCTTACTGGAGGCAGTTAAATGAATAAACCAACCAACCAACCACCTGCTTCCTTACCGATCATGTGATATATCGCTCTACTCTTACGTTTCTACTTTGGTTCGTGACTTGGTTCGGATACCTGCAGTCCTCTAAACGCAAACCCCACAGTAATGGGAATGAGTCAAACGTGGACGCGCAGACGCCTAGAACCGATATTAGGGCAAGACAATTATCAAACCTTAACGCTTTAATGAATAATCTGTATAATTTAAAAAGTATTGTATTATAATGCTTAATAATCATCTGTTTAAATTTCTAGTCATTTTATATAGTTGCAGTGTTATATATTATTGAACACTAGAGCTTTTTCTTGGTTGCATGCGCACAGATGTGGCCGTTTGGACCGGAGTGGTCGCTTGACCGGGAATTCTTCTAGCTCTGATACCTTCTAGTGGAATTCTCCGTTTCCAGTCTTCTACTCGACGCCACGTTAGTCGCTTCGCTAAGCTTTCCAATTGTTCCTCGTACACGCACACCACGGCTCGGCTCTTCTTGCTTTTCCAGTCAGCCTTCTAACTCTTCTCCAGCTTCGAAATTTTGAAAGGCTCGGGGCTCTACAGCTTAGAAAAAGGCTCGTTGACTTGGCTGCTTCTTCTCTCAGCTAGCCATTCTTTCCTTCTTATCATCTCCCCGTCCTGAATCGAGTCCTGTTTCTTGATCCTCATTTCTTGGCATGGTCTCCACATTACATGTTGGATCTCTGTATCTTTTAGCCAAGATTTCTCACATCGTCATTTCCAGTTCGAGATATTGATTTCTGCATCTTTCAGCCCGCCATTCGTTCGTTCTTCTCATTGCTACGACCTCAAACTTCTTTCTGCGTTTCTAAGTCGTCCAATACACATCGTCTCATCATTTCCGTATCTTAGAACTGTATTGTGTATCTTTCGGCTAGCCATTTTTCGTCTTCCCCGCATTCTGGAGCCGACCTAGGGGTGCTCCTGCCCTCTGTCAGCCATGACGCTTGGTGTCAATGGCCAGCAACTATGGGTATCAGCTTAGCCTAATGTCTGGTCAGCACGCCTCTTCTTCGGGGATGTGGTAAACGCCCTTCACTATGTCTGACAGGATTGTCTTAAGAAAGCAATAGATCACCATGGCCGACAATGAAACCGCTGGATACAGCTGATGTCTAGTCAGCCATCTTGTTGCGAGCTCTTTTCCCTCGAAAACTTAGAGCTTGCCAACCAGTCACTCGTTCCCGTGCGTCAATCAACGTGCCGAATTTTTCAGCTTTCAGCATCTAAGGTTCGTTGCGGAGAGCTATGGTCTCGTACTGATTGAGCATGTCGCCGCTCATTTTTTCGTCCTTAAGAATCATCGTGCCCGATACAGACTGCTATCGAGGTATAAGTACAGCCTCATCCTACGGACGTTCAAATTATACAGCATCAACTTCGAACCAACATCAAAAGCAACTCTTCAACACTCCTACCATTGGGTCTATAAGTCTTTATCGGTGAAGTCCCACTATCAATGTCGAGGAAGATCTATACTGACTTCTCACTAGCCTTTCATCCATTCTACAAGACACTGTCTGTAGACCCAGTCACAACTGAGGTATCCAAAGCTCAGCCAACAACTACAAGCCATGGGCTGGTTCAATCACTTCTACGAGGGCGTCAGCTCTGTAGTCCATAGTATTGCCACCACCGCCAAAATGGTTGGTGATGTGGCCACCACCATAGGCACGGTCGCCAGTAAGATTGCACCACAGTCAGCACATGAGGACATCCTGGCCATCAATGACGGTCCTACCATTGAAGTTCTGAGCAGCAATGTCGAAGTGGTTTCAGCAGCCATTCAAGCAGCGGCTGACGCCGAATTGGCCGCTATTCATCCCGGCCAACCGGCAGATTTCAAGGTCGCAAAATCGTACCGAATCAAGGGTTTCACAATGAATCGAAAGATCCTCTCGCTCAAAGAAGCCGAAGACCGAAAGGGAAATCCATCGACAAACGCAACCCCTTTCATGTACGGAGACATGACCAACCTGCTCGCACAGAAGGGATTGCCAATTTCAGGTATGTACAATGGGCAAAAGCTGGACAATGCCCAGCTCGCTTTGAACCTGTTGTACCTCAACGATGTCGAGGTCAACGTAACGCGGAGCCTGCGGACATACTCGACAAAAGCCATATGCTTATTAACGACATGTCGGGTTTTCCTATCTACAAGATCGCTCACGTAAGCTACAACCTTAAGATGGACGATACTGGGACCAATAATGTCACTCACTCTGCCTTCTCCCACGGGTGGGGCCTAAGCCAAGCAGACATCGTGAAAGCTCGCCAGCTACGCAGCAAAGAAGGTTTGGACATTGTCACTCCTTCGACGGTTCCCGAAGGTCAGTTGCCTGGCTACAGAAGTGTAGTCAAAGTCGGGACCCGAACTGCAGACACCACGCGCGGCCTAACCACGGGTATCCAAGGATTGGCAGCACACCAAGGATGGAAGATCACGTCTTTGACGCCGAACGGGGCCGATGCCACCCTTACCATCGAGACCAGAGATCCGCCTATTGACATTCAGATTTTCATCGTTGATTGGGTTTCTGGGCGACTTGATCCCACTCCGGTGCCAGTCCCTGAAAATGTTCACCTCGATCTGTGCAAGATCAACTCGGCTGTGCCGTGCCTCGTGGCTGCTGCCTAAGTCAACTGGTAACTTTGAAGGAGGAAGAAGGGAAGAAGTTCGCTGGAAATTTGGGTTTTGGACAATCAGTGCAGGCTCGGCAAAAATACCTGAGGCATCGATACCGGTATTGATAGTATTAGTATCGTAAGAATCGATACGTATCGATACCTTATCGATTCTTACCCCTAAAAATTATCTCTCTATTTTATTATTTTATTTATATAAGAATATATTCATATATAATTCCTTTAATTTCTAGTCTTTCTATTAAAAAATTTATTTACTATTATTAATAAAATTTAATAATATCTTAAATTTAAAATACCTCTCGTATTCGGAGAATTAAGCCCCGTATTCGTATTTCTTATCAAGGCACTAAATATATAAGCGAGCCTCACGAAAATCTCAAAAGCTCATTTTTACTTAAAATGGCCGCATTGAGATTAGTTTTAGCCTAAAATATAAGATAAGTAGCTAGATAGAAAGCCTAAATTAAGGAGAATATTTGCGCTACCAAAAATTTTCTTACAAGAGAAGTAGTTCGAAAGTTAATTGTGATTAAAGAGGAAAATTAGGTTCAGGGAATCGATACCGGAAATTTAGGTATTTTTGCCGAGCCTGAATCAGTGACGACAGGATTCTTTTTTTACACTTTTCTAAATTGTCCCTTACTGCTGTATGGTTTTCGCACAGTCTTTACTATCATACTGTTATGTTATCGATTTTGAGCTTGGACAATGGAATATTACGCACGCTAGTCTAGCATAGGCAGTTCTGAATCTACGATTTATGCAGGCACGAAGCTTCTCCATGCCCAGACTCGTAACTCAAGGATATACACGCTCCTTGTGACTTTCTAAATAGTGGAAATCGTGATGATTGGCAAGTCGTATCTGTAATACTATCGATCCGATCCAATACCGATCCAGTAGCGATCCGGTATCAATACCTCAGGTATCATTGCCAAGCCTGAATTCTTTATTCGATTGCTGTTGCCATTGGCCATCTTCAAGACCGGCGGCTGGTCAAGGCTTGGAAGGTGTGAATAGTGGATACGTTCGTTATTCCAGGCAGAATCCTCTGCAAGATGTGGAATTCAAGGGCACGCTGTTTAGTTTAGGGCTATAGAAGCACTAAATACAGGGCAAAACCACCCTAAAACTCCGGACCCTGAGGGAACAGCACTGTTTTCAGCCTCCTACATTTGATCTCTTACATCCTTAATACTCTCTATTTGTGTATTTTACTAGCCGCACACAGGAACAGATCCTAGAAGCTGACTCGGATCCTCTTAAAATCTACTTAGAATATGTGAAAACAATGCGGGTGAGTTAGACTTACTAGCACATATCTTTGAACAACATGCATGCGGATTAGACATATCACATTGCACTACAAAATAATGTTAGAGCAAATCAACTTGTAGGATAACACAAGACATACCGCCAGAGGGGAAACATCTTCGAACTTCTAACGACGGCTCTTCAAATGAAGGCACTGTAAGTGCCAGGGGCAATAAGCAAAGCAGGTAATAGAACTTCATATTCAAGAGTTATGACAGATTAAAGTTGAATGGACACGGTGATAGAAACTCGAACAAGAAGGTTTTCATAATCACAATTCCGACTGATCACTGTTTAACTCTTATATCAGTCAACTTAAACTTTTTACTTTAGATTGGACTGCGGGGTGTACTAAAGAGAAGTTGTTTCACTAGCAAACGCCTGATTTTGGTAGGCTCCACCTCGCTAGGGCACCCAACCAATTATATAACTCGTAGTCAAAGTCATTTCCCGGCTCCAAGCACCGCAAAACCGGGACCAGGCGTGGGCAGCCTGTGAGAGCTACAGAGTGACACGTGCGCTAACAGCTTTTGATTCATTTCCTCTTTTGGAGGGGCCACCGGAGAGGCTAATTAGGCTTAAAAGGGCCGAGGAGGGAGGTCTCGCTTCGCCCTTCTTCGCCAAACTTCCCTGCTCGGCCCTTTTCTCTTCCGGCCTCCCTTCCCCAATAGTTTCCCCCTTAAAGATGCTTAGAAAACGTAGATTTATGTCGGAATACACTCTATTTTCCGAGGGGTTCGTTTTGCGTGTCGAATTAATACATCGTTTTTTATCTGCCTTCGCGTCGCTAAATCAGCCCGTAGTCGCTCCACTCATTCTTTATCTCGATTTATGTATTATTTTAATTTAAAGTACACGAATTTCACCTTTTGCGGCCTTGACCTGAATCTAAAATAAAGGTATTCCCAACTATCTATACTGAGACTACTACTAATCAGACGACAATTGAGTTCACCGAAGCCCACATCCGTCCTTGCACCTAAGCAGTCGGGGCTCTAACCTGAGCCGAGCCCTGAGTCCTGAGCACGCTAGGGAGTCAGCCGGATTACACTCAGGGGTTCCCCTTCTAGCTCCTCAAGAATCGGTTGCAGTTTCCATATTATCATATAGAATTTTGCGAATCCTATTGCCTGTAATATAGCCACCTCTTTGGGCCTATCAAGATATTATGACGGTAGCCGTTCTCGCTCCCCTATCACGCTTATTAAGTGTCTTGCCGGAGCCGAGTTGGGCTCCCCTTTTTAGCCGAAAATTCGCGACTCGAAGGCGCCCCGCTTAAATGGCCCTCGAGACCTCCTCAACTCCCCCAAACAACCCAACTCGCATACGAGTGTACGACTTCAATATTCTAAGAGTCTATTTAATTTGGACACTCCAAGACTTCGCTCCGCAATTATAAGAAGAGCAAGTGTGTTTCTTGAGCATTGTAGGACGTATACACAGTGAAATTGCATAAGTAACATGATTCATACCAAGGTGAGATCCCTGCAATCGCGATGCCGTATTAAGTAGGAGTCACATCACGGTCCAGTAGCTTTGAGAGATCCATCCAAATCCTAGTAAGGCAGAATTGTGTCGGCGTTAATACTGAAACTATAGTAGCTGAGTATAGGAGAGATGTCTAGCGGCGATGCCGTGTTAGCAAGGAGTCGCCAAGGTCTACGGCTCTGTAGTGGCTTTGAGAGATTCGCGTAGATCCCAGCAAGGTAGAATTGAATCAGCACTAAATGGCCAGTGGCACTTACCGTGGAGGCACGGGAAGGCATAGTCACTGATACCACCAGCGAAGTTTTTGGTAACACCGATAAAGATGGTGGTAGATGAGGTAGATGTTATTGGATCGAAAGCGATTGTTAAGTGTAGCTGGTGTGCAACGCAGAAGAATGGGAAGCCTTATAATCATATGTAGGTTCGCCTGCCACTTTCCCAGAGCTGAGCTATGAGGTGGACGAACTTGGGGGGAGGAAGACCAGCGACCCGGGTGAATCCCAGGTTTTGTTGGATTTTCATCTTTAATGAGAAGACGGGCAGGGTGGTTAAGATTCGGAAATATCTTACTGCGCTTGTGAGAGAGGTCGCACTGGGGAGTTGTGGGTGAGTGGACTATTGCATATAAAAGTAAGGGAAGACCGTGGAGTCAGAGTCAAAGCGGAGCGTTTGTGCAAGATATCTTAGATATTGTGAAATGCGCACTTGTGCAGTTGAAATGGGTGATCATTCCTCCTTTCCTGAGGACTACATGAGGAGGGCAGGGTTGAACGAATACGAGATGCTGAAAGCATGCTCATCGGGATCTTCGGGGTCCTCGGGACAATCGTGCATGGTTCTGGAGCGGGGCAGTCAGGGGCAGTCAGGGGCAGAGTCGCTAGTTCAGGGGCATCGGCCTCGGCACTAGTAGCTGCCGCGCCCCAGCCAAGTTTCTACACCGTACTCCGTCACCCTCACTTCTCTCCTACCTCGCGGCCTTCTTCGCCTCAACCTCAAGCCCGTGGATGCAAAGACTGGCCCCGGATTGTTAACGCATAGACTTCGGGTCTCATGATATCGGAAGCGTGCAGGATATGGCTGGCTCAACATTCCGAATCTGGCCACATATCGCTCAGCCAGGCCTTTGAGAGCCACAAGTAGCCGAGAAGCTGCACCACCTCTTCGGCAAATCCGCCGAGGCTTGCAAATGCCCAATAGACTCCTCTCTATTAATCCATGCCAATACCTCTCCACCGTGCTTCAGAGACAAAGCGGTCCCTGATGCACGACAAGTGGCAGACTCGAGACATACTTCAAGTCTCGAGCGCCTTCTGCATGTCGAGCTGAATCAAAACTGCATCAAGCAGTGCAACCCTCTCGATATTGGCTACTTCGTAGCACCATGTGGGGCGTCTCACAGGATATGCTGTACATCTCGAGTGGCTGAGCGTTCTCGTGTTCAATTGCAGTTTTCTCTTGTTCGAATTGAGATATGATCACCAAAGCGTCTTCTCACCCGAAGTTTGGCTGAGCGTTCTCATGCTCAATGGCAGTTGCTTTTGTTCGAATTCAAGAATATCATCGCCAAAGGGGCTTCTCGTCCGAAGTTTGGCTGAGCTGGAATAGCTTCAGGTAAGCCAATCCTACAGGTTGCGAGGATAGGGGAATAATGCGTGCGGTGATGCCGAGAATCTCCTTTCATGAGTGCAATCGAGACTCAACCGTGGCTCTATATCTAAGCTTGCATTCCTCTTGTTTGATTATCTCCAGTTTTTCCTGCATCAAGCAAAGCAACAGCATCTTCTTCTACTGAATAACTACAATCACCTTCGAATTTACTTCTACCAATCTCAACATGGGCCTCGATCCTGGAAACTGGATGTCCCATCTGCAGGGTGACATTCGAGTCATCGATTCCTACATACCTGGTAGCCATGATGCTTCGGCTTACCTGATCTGAAATCGAGACGCAGATCTGAGAAACGAAGCGGTCGGCGCCATCACACAATGTGGAAGCTATACAGCTCAGCTTAACGCAGGATCTAGATACTTCGACATGAGATAGTCAGTATTTATATCACTAATTTGCTCTTTTTTATATGGGAGACAGAAGCCTGGATGACTCAGGAGCCACCGTAATTTCTTTTTCTGTCTGATCTTCTTGAGAAGCTCACAAGTTTCTACTCTAACGAAAATTTTACTTGAAACAAATTGCTAATGATATGGCAGCGTTCCTCACGGTGACGATGAAACGATCTATATGAAGCACGCGGACTATCTCTTTCAGACACTTGAAGATGTGCTCAAGCAAATCTATAAGTTTCACTTGAGTCATCCCGAGGAGTTTTTCTTTCTCGACTTTGACTTCGACGGTGACCTAGCCCTGAGCAACAAAATTGCAGATATTGGTAAAACTCCCGCCCACAATATGGTGCATGTCCCGAATATGGCGCTACACCCCTTTTCTGTGAACGTTGCTTTATGGGAATGTGCTGACTCCGTGGCCTTCTAGTTGAGAGCATCTTGAACGTGCCAAAACTCGCCTATGGGCATGTCGAAACTACCCGTGGCGGTTACAACACAGCCTTGACACTTGGCAGATGCTCCGAGACAAGAAAGCTCCGTTCATTTGCTTGTGGAGCTTAGGAGGGAGTGGGAGATATTGGCAGGCCAAGAACTCTGCGATCTACATTGATCTCTACGACAGTTTTGATCAAAAGACCCCAGAACAGATCATCCAATCTCTGGATTCTATGCTGGCTGCTTGGGTCAAAGAGTACGACCCAACGGTACATTATGGCCCGGATGGCAAGCCACTCGACAACAACACTGGCAAGTTGGTCGCAAGCCAACTTGTCAACACGCCCAAATGGTCGCCTATCACCAACCCCGGCAACCGAGACCTGGTCGCATTAGATACCTTCCGTAACTGGCTGTTTACCAAAACCCCGGGCTCGAATATTGGTATCGTCAAATTGGACTTCATCAACGTGGGCTACAAACGAGGGTTAATTGACCACATCATCATGATGAACAAGTTCACTACACCACCAAACCTTCCCTCGTTGACCGAGCCAATCTACTACCAAGATAAAATTCGCCTTAGAACTCAAGACAACCGCTACGTTTGCCAAACTTGGGAAGGTGAATCAACTATAAACGCCGGCACCATTACTATATCTGCTCCGAGCCCATTCGTCTCTGACATGAAGCGACAACGCAGACTGACTCTCGTCGATACCCCCACCGAAGCCTGCAACTTCATCCTTCGCGACTACGACTTCTCATCAGTCAAGCCCCTCCCCTACAGCGGCAACCTCGCAGCAGACACCCACGACGCGCGTGGAAACTTCCGTATGATCCCCGTCGATGTGCAACCAACCAGCAGCCAAGCGCTCCCCGGAAACACCACCATCTCCGCAAACCTGGATCTCGGCAGCCTCCTCTACTGGGGCGTCTCCTGGGACGGGGCCAACAACCAAGAAACCTTCGCCTTCTTTGACCCCAACAACATGAGCAACGACGGCCAGCTTTACAACGGCTCCCGCGTCCTCGTCCGCGCCATGGTCAACGCAACCGACAACAATTTCCTCAAGGCCTTCGACGCCTTCGCAGAAGGCACTGTACGGCTCCTGCCCTTCGCGGGCGATGGTCTCGCCGATGCGTTGAGGAAAGATCCCAGCCATCAGATCTTCTGGACCATTGGGAAGGACCCGGACCGGGCAGAGGTGCCGCGGATTTTCGCGGCGAGTCCGGGGACCTTGTTGACGAATGAGTTTGTGATTGGGCTGGTTCCGGGAGCGGGACCGCGCTGATGACAGATGTCTTTGGCACCATCGGGAATATTGTGAGTGGACTAGCGAACAGTGGGGTCTTAAAGTAGTCTTAGGGCAGGTTTTTAGGGGGTAAAGGATCAGAATTGATAAATGAGAAACACTGTGAAATGCAAAATTGCGAAAGTACTTGAATTTAGGGGTAGAACTATACTGAAAGATTAAGTATACTCGCTAACGAATTTTCCCTTTAATTGATCCCTTATGCTTATGTCTAGTATCTTTATAAAGAGTTTGAATCCAAAGGCTGTGAGAGGCGGGATGCGGTTAGTAACGACGCAGCGAGGATACATTGGTAAAGCGCATCCTCAGATACAGAAAGGTGACCATATTTGCCTTTTAGAAGGGATGTCAGGGAGGATCATCCCGCGCCCCTATGAAGGAACTGCCGAGGAGGTGCAAAGCGCAAAACAACCCGTGATAGCTTTGCAGCAAAAGAATTTCTGGACCATGTGACTGTGACTAATTATTCAGAGGGATATCAGGTTGTTGCAGAGGCGTATATCAAGGTCATCAAGAGCGAGAGTCTTGGTGGGACCTTTCGTTCATCCACCTTCTTCGTCCACTGATGATCGGCCACTGCCTCTTTGCCTAACATTCTCAAGCCTAACGTTTTAATAATAATTATTTGTTTTGTGCTAAATACTAAATGGATGCTTAGAAGAAATATTTGAGATTAATTATTCTGGCACCTTAATTATAAGTAGTCTATATTATTATATAATTGATTATGCCTTTATTTTACAAGGTACTAACAAGGGCCGAGGACTTTATATCGGGCTTAGTAGCTAGAGGAGAATATAAGTTGATACCCTAGGGAATTGCAGCAATATTAAGGCTCGCGGCACATCTACGAAGATTCTACCTTCTAGATTGACTTGGGGGTATAGCTGCAACGCTGGGTGTATTTCGGGGAGAATAGTTAATGACAGAATCCAAGCCAGAGAACTCTATGTCTCTTGGACTTTATTACTGCAAGTCACTGTCTTGGAGTCTAGGAATTTCCCTCGCAAGCAGACGGCTCTTGTGCACGCCAATCAATGCGGTGACAATAATGGTTAGTCTTGGGGGTTGGGAAATCCGCCCCTATGGCCTGGCTGCTGTGGATCCCGCGTATTTCTGCACGCTTGCAGCTTCTATTGATTTGAAATACATCAGATGCTCCGGCCCTTCAAATAACCCATTTTAAAGCACATGAAGAACCCGAGGCTCTGGCATCCAAGAATGCGGTCGTTATCCCTCCAGCATATCCAAACACGAGCCTATGAGTTGGCTGAGCTGCTGTCGATGTTTACGCTGAAAACCCTTTCTTGCCCACGTAAGGGCCCCATGAACATCGCCGTCACACACACGAACGACTCGCATTGCTCCTGGCACACCCTCACGCAGAAGCTGCCACGCAATCAAAAAGGCCTTATACGCGTAGAGAATAAGCCACGGCGGCTCGGCGTCGAATGTAGGCGCGGTATCGAGGTAGTGCAAGAACCAGTCGATATGAGGCTGAACAGCATTCTTGGTAGACGGTTCGTGTATAGATTGGTAGGAGGACGCAAGATAAGTAGATTGGGTCAGGAATGTGTCTACGCTCCCTCCCACGATGCCAGATGTATGCGATGGTGACCAAACTAGGAGCTCAAGCATGGCCATCTCCCATGTAGCCTCACAGGACGCCGCATGTGTTGACTTTGCTGTCTCCCCTTGAGGGCGGATCAAACGTTCGAGTGCAACAAGTGATGACTGCAGAGGCTCAAATCTCTCTAAGCTGAGCCTCCCCGTCATTGTGGACCAACCCGACACCTCGCGGGCACTAGAAAGTAGGAATTGTGCAATATTGATGGCTCCGTACAGATCGAATTCTGGAAGAGAGTCGATATCAGGACCGGGGGATAAGAAAATTCGAACGGCATCTGAGTATGGCACCAGGGGAATAGACTGCCTTGCGGCCAATTGTCGATGTGCCCATAGAGCAGAGGAGAACGCCGTCCAGCAATCTTCTCGACATGGCAAGTCGTGCTTGATTTCGAGATGTGAGAGCGACCGCGGAATGGAAAATAATTGGTACCATAGCGCATCGAGTTGGTGAACAGCAAGAAGCGTCCGCTTTTGCGATTCGGCCTTGATGAACTCTCGCCATAGATCATCCAGATCTTCGGTCGCTGTAGACTCGACTGGTATTGGTTGCGTCAGCCCTCCAAAGCGAGTGAGGGAAATCATTCTGGAGTGCATCTTGTGGCCGTATGCCGAGTCGGCTCCGCAGAGGTACATCATCACATACACTTGGAGCATCCAGTACGTCTGAACTAAACTAATCGTATGAGCCAAGTCACCCTCCCGCTCTTCCTCGGACGCAGCGACGACACGAGCTCGGTGAAAGCAACGCTGAGACAACCTTGCGCCCGAGCCTGCTTCTTCGCCGCAGTCTGGGTCCTCGCCGTGCTGATACGCTAGGCAAAGCATGCTGAGCCCTAAGTGGCGGGGGGTTTCAGTGGCGTCGAAGGTTGGTCGATGAAGAAAGGGAGCAAATTGCGAGACATGACTGAAGTAGAGATGATATCCTCTCGCAGATTGCGAAGGCGACGGGAACCAGTCATCCTGAAGGTATGATACGTCCCTTGAGGACAAGCCGAGAGGGATATACGAAGCGGGGCTGCTGCCGCTCGGAGATGCTGCAGTGAAAACAGACTGCGAATCCGAATGTACTCGGCCGTCGAAGTGATATGTGGAGTCGAAGCCGGATGGCTCCAGTGATAAACTTCGTCCGAAGCCAACTGTCTCTTGTGCAAAGGGATCAATGTGTCTCGGCTCGCTCGTTGATGGCTGTTGAACCAGCCCGCTGGTGGAATTGTGTGTAGCCTCTTCGCTTCTCGTAACTAGGCTCGTCGAAGGATTGATTATGTGAGAGGGACTTAGCTGGTCCAGAGCACCGTGATCGAGCTGTGGTTGCGTTTGTGGCAAATCCATCCGGCCAACCCAGTTGTCCATCTCCACCTCCATGCCCTTGAGCGAATGCTGGGGCTGCAGGCTGAATGGTATCTCTGAGGGTAACGCAGAAAAAGACACGCTTTCTTGTAATCTCGAGCTCTCTCTCGATTTTCTAGCAACCGCTGGATCCTCCTCGCGCCCGTTTGCAGCCCGACGTTCTAGTTGGTCCGGGTGCTTCCTCTTCATGTGTCGAAATCGCAAATCACGGCGCGAGAAGGTGGTCTGGCAATAGTCGCAGGGGAGAGAGGCCTCACCCCCACCCCGAGAATGAATAGCTGCATGTCGCTTGAGATTCTCGTGTCGGGTGAAGCGACAGCCACAGACATGACATTGGAATGGCTGAAGCCGTGAGGATGGTGCCGCTGGCTCTGCGTTTGCGACAGAGGCAGACATAACGGCAGTCTGGTGCGGATGGAGAGAGGGTGGGAGAAGGGAGCAATCGTGGGACGCGCGACGTTGGGCTAAGGTTACTGGGCGGGGGGGCTTATCTCGAATGCGGGGAAGTGCCGAGCTGACCAAAATAATGCCGTCGAACGGAGATCACATGACTTCATAGCCTCTGCTCTACTCTATTGTTCAATGGTATAGAAATGGCGAGTATATTCGAAGCGGAGTCTGCACAGGTGGGTAAGAAGCTCTATTTGGGGATCTGGATGAGAACCGTTTTCAATTACAGAAATCGCGGCATAAAATCATCGACTTTAGTGCATGTGCCCTGTAATGCTTGCAGCCATAGCGCCACACTGTTGGCACGGTGACTATCCGTTCAGCTGCTGCCAGGTGCGCCTTGGCCTGTGCACCTCTAAGCGAACTTGATCAACAAATCATATTGTCGAATTCCTTATTTTAAATCCTCTGATTCGCTATAATTTTGCGGTACATTTCATCATGGAAAAGCGCACCTGGCAGCAGCTGAACGGATAGCGCTTAGACGCTGGAACTTGGAGGTCTTATAGGTCACTTTAGCGACCAACCCCCTATACTTGCAAGGGCATTCCCTTGAAATGTCTTTTAATCCTTAAAATGCCTGTCAGGGCTCGAGCCTATAGTTATAGGGACTTCTAGCATCTGCCTCTACTATAAACTAAACCTGTAGTGGATAAATAGTGTATCTCGGCCAAGTATGTCCTGAAGTCGCATGACATTATGCCGCGATTTCCATACGTCGCCCTCGATTCCATCCCCCATCCTATATCGTCCTTTGCTGAAAACGGTGTGTCAAAGGAATACTCAGACTACTAAGTTGCTTAAGTATATACTCAATGTTATTGAGTAGAGTACGAGTAAGACCCACTATTGTACTCGAGAAACAAATCTTAAACGCTGAGCGGGGACTCTCTTATGATCCCTTGCGACTCGAAAAGAGATATCAATAGCACCTAAGTACGCAGTAGCAATATCTTAGAACTGCGAGTTCATCGCAAAACGATGTCGTTTGAAAGGATGAGTGTCCCCAGATTATGGTCTTCAAGACAAAGACGAAGACTGGCTTAACCTCTTGAAACACCAGGATGCAGGGACTCCTGATTGATGTATATATATATAATTCTCACGCAAACGCGGAGTTGGAGCACATTTTCACACTTCTTGCCAGCCGCCTAAAATGGCAAGACAACCTTAACGCCTCTTTCATGATGACACCCCGAACCCGTTGCTACAGGCGTCCTCCGACGCTTACACAATCCCAACACGCACGACCTCTCGCTGGTGCGCGAGCGTTTGCGCTACTCAAGTTAAACGGGCAGTACAACTTTGACACCCATGTACTCTCGTTGCTGCATAAGCTTACCGTCAATCAGAACCTGATCAGCACCAATGCGGTTGCGCACGGTATCTGTTGGGTCTGTGGCCGTAGAAATCTGCATCTCGCGCCACTGGCGGTTGGTGGGTACAAGCTGGCCGGCGCTCATACGCTTGGCGTACTCTTTATACACGCCCTGCTCTTCAACGCAGCCTTCACGGTGGATGAGGGGCGAAGACGCCGCAGGAGTCATGCGCAAATCACCAACGGAGCTGTTGAACAGAACCAGCGAGAGTCGCTCCTCCTGGAGCTGGTCCACGGGAGGTCTGTATACGCGGTGACGAGTAGCCTTAAAGTGGCCGCCGGACACAATCTCGAGCGTGTCGCCGATATTGATGACGAGCGCTCCCGGTTTGTAGGGGACGTAGTACCACTGTTCGTCGCGGCCCCAGATCTGCAGGCACGAGATGGGGACAGAAAACAGCAGAGTCGTGAGGCCGAAGTCGGTGTGGCCGTGCATGCGGAGGCCCTTGGATGCTGCCTCGGTGGTCTTCTCGACTGGGCGGAAGAGGGCGTGGCGGAAGTAGCCCTCGCCAGTTGGACCGCCGTGTGACTGGACGTTGTCCCAGAGGTAGTTGTCGGGAAGCTCGAGCACGCGCGAGAAGAGGGTGAGAAGGCGGCGATTAACGGAGCCAGTCAGGTAGGCGCAGAAGGCTTCGATCTCGTCTATGAAGGGGCGCAAGCAGTTGGGAGTACGGTTGATGTCTTCCCAGTCATCCTTGTACCAGTTGAATTGCTCAATGCCATCGGGAATGGCACGCGTTTTCTGAACGAAGGCGGTTTAGTCTCGAGCAGATGAGTTGTAAAGAAGAGGGCAGTTTCAGCTTACCTTGAATCCATATGGGTGCTTGTAGCCGGACCATCTGCCCGTCTCAGGGTCGAAGAGCAGGCGCGACTTGTCCTCTTCACTGATGTTGTGGTAAAGATATTGAGCAATAGCGAATTGACGATGCAGCTAATACCGACTGTCAGCGGTCTCAGACTTCTCGTATTGAGGCATGTTTTCTTACCTGCTCGAGAGAAATCCCGTAGTTCTCAAGGAAAAGGAAACCGTCGTCGCGGATGGCAGTCTTGACCTGCTGAACAAGGTCCTCAACTACAGCTGGGTCCTCTGAGTCCATCAAGGACAGATCAATGGATTTCAGCTTCGCGAAGTTGTGAGTTTCCTTTGTCACCGGTGGCGGGACCCATTCTGGGACTGAGGGTTTACCGGGAAGACTGGCTGATGGTGGGTTGAAGGGGGTGGCTTTCGGCATTATGTGATGGGTATGTAGCGGTGGGAATGAAGAAGAGATGTCTGAATTCATGCCTCGAAAGGAACCCTGGCATATGTCTTGAAGGATATTGGCGATGACAGGAGAGATGTGCATGTGAGTGGAGCTGGTGACGGTGATAGGGGAGACGATATGTCTTCTTATATGGAGACGCTTGCACTTCGAAGGTGTTGCAACTTCCTCCCTTCGGGCTACACGTGATGTGGTGCATCCTGCCCCTAGCTGGACGTCCCCGTCGTGTCTCCTCCTCGTCTCGTCGATGCTGCGAGCTCCTCCTCCGTCCGAAGCGGGTCACGGGCCTCGCTATATATCCGCTAAGCTCTAAACGTCGAAGCACGTGATCGGCGGGCGATCCCTGGCAGGAGCTCCTCCCACCCAACACCACCACAGGCATGCGGGACCGAACCGGCTTATCCGACTGCTGAGGGTTGTGGACGAGCTCCTCCACCTCCGTCTCGGCATAAGCCTTCTTGCACAATGAGAACTCATTGAAGGCTACGTCAGTTTTGAATGGCTGTTCGGCGAAGAGGTTAGTATGCGGAGTTGTTTTTCTTCTTAACTCCCTGCTCGCCAACTGCTACTTCTTGGTCCTTTCTCGTTCGTTCCTGCTTATCATCTCATCATTGACTTGCTCTCATTCCACTCCTTACACTTCCAAGCTCTCGACTCTCTCTGTACCAACTTTCTTCCTTTTCACATCAGACGCAAATATGTCGCGCCAACTCATTTCCAGCGAGAAGTTCCCAACCAAGCCGCACAACTGTAAGTTCCTGCATGGATTCTGGCGAAAGAGCACAGAGTTGATAATCCACGTCCCAGGCCCCGCGGTCAAAGTCCCCGGCCTCGTCTTCTGCGCCGGCCAGACCGCAACAGGCGAGATCGGAGCCGCAACCGTTCGTCTTTCTTCTTTCCCGTGTCCGATTGATCTTCTATTCCGCTAATAACGCGCGGCAACAGAGAACAGTTCTCCGGAACTTGAAGGAGGTCCTCGAGCTTGCCGGCTCCTCGCTCGAGCAGGTCGTCAAGTATAACGTCTATCTCGCCGACATGAAGGACTTCGCCGCCATGAATGAGGTGTACATTGATTTCCTCCCGCAGCCGATGCCAGCGCGCTCGTGCTTGCAGGCTGTTGCGCCGGGAAACGGCACGGTGATTGAGATTGAATGTATCGCACAGGCTTAAATTTAGATGGCTTCGAGGGGGGTTCATTGCATGGTGTATATAGATGGGATAAAAGTATTCAACAGTATCCTCTTTTCGGTCGGTTCCTGCTTCTCGTATGAAGGTTTTCCGTGATACTCGAGTGCATGCTCTTGAAGATGTGGCACAAAGTTCTTGATAAGTTACAACTTTACAGCCAGTCTTTAGACATTGCCACAGGTATAATGTATTTTATGGCGAAAACAATGCCGATAAAACCTTGGGAGACGAATCGCGTTCCTCTTTTAAACTGTGAGGGTGGGGTATGAACACTAGACAGCTCCCACGTAAACTTTGTCATTGCCAAAGAGACTGCACTGAGGAGCCGTTGTACGATATTTACGCACAATATTTAACACAATTCATTAAAGAAATTGAGGCACCAAATTAGAAAGTTTCCCATTTTGTATATATCCACTCTAAAATTTCCCAGAAGCAATGCAATCTTATTTCAATTTCACGACTTGGCAATATCAATCTCCGCCATATACCAGTTCTGAATCGCCTTCGTATCCCCCGTCATAGCCACTGTATCGTACTTCTTCCGTCCTTCCCTCGCAGTGACGCCGTTATTCACCATACGTGCAGCCCACTTGCCATGCTTCTTCGCCGCCGCGACAATCTTATCCATCGCCTCTATAAACTCCGGCTCATCACCTCGAGCGGGCGTATAGCCCAGCAAAGCTTGTGCCAGGTCGTTGGGGCCGATAAACACAACATCCACACCGGGCACCGCTGCAATGGCATCGACGTTCTCTACGCCTGCCCGCGTCTCGATCTGGATCATGGTGATGATCGTCTCGTTCGCGCTCTTCATGTACTCGGGCGTCGTCAGCCCATGGCCGATAGCAGGGAAGGCAGAGCCCTGCCCTCGCACGCCCTGTGGCGGAAACTTGCTCGACGCGACAATGGCTGCGGCTTCCTCGGCCGTACTGACCTGGGGCACCATGACGCCGTGCGCGCCAGTATCAAGGGCGCGCTTGAGAATGTCATGTGCGGGGCCGCGGATGCGGATGATGGGTGATACACCCAGGGCTGAGATGGCCGCGACGGAGTTGTGCATGGAGTCATCGGAGATGTGACCGTGCTCACAATCGATGATGATGCCGTCAAGACCGGTCAGGGCAACCACTTGGGCTTGGCGGACAGAGGGGATGGCCATGAAAGTCATGAGAGGGTACTCTCCATCGCGGAGCTTGTTGAGGAGACGCAGACGGGGGTTCTGGACTCTGGTTGTGTGGGCGTTTGGGTAGGTGATGCCATTGGAGATGGTCATTTTGACGGTGTGGAGGCAGTTGGAACAGGAGGAGGTGCGGGTAAGAAGAGGGCGGTTCTTCCAGAAGTATGATCTTGACAACAGCTCGAAGAAGATGAAATACTGCCAGTGAGAAAGCCAAAAAAGACGCGGAGTTAAGAGGAAGAAGTTATGCGAGAAAGATGGGATCCTGACGGGGAAAGGGTTTCAAAGGAGGGAAGACAGCTTCCTTAGTACAGTGAGTGCAGCTTGCTACTCGCTGTACTCGGTAACTTGTGCCCGTCTGGACCTCACCTAGTACGGATATGTCGTCTAAGCAAAGTGTCTCCATAGTTGGAGGAGGAGGAGGAGCGCCATCGCTGGCCGCCCTTGTATGCAGGAGGGATGCAGCACAAGAGGGGAGGAGGAGGTGTCTACCGGCAGCGTCCAACCTGCTGTGAGGGATGTTCTCACATTTCGGCAGCCACTAAACGCCGAACTGAGACTACCTGCTCCTCCTTGCCCCATTCTTTGGTGTACAAGATCGAGAACGTATTTACAGCCTGTAAGCCTAATAGAACATATCACATACCCTGGTTGCAAGGAAGACCCCGAGACCCCCTTGCTAGCGCCGCACTCTTGCTTTTGGGCTGACTCGTACCCTCCATAGAATGTTCCAAGTATGCAAGTGGTGCTTCTTTCACCTTGTCTCATCTCACATTAGCGTTGGGTGGGAATTTGCCGTGTGCGGGGCTCCTCCCGCTCCTCCCGCCGTGTACGCGTGTTGTTTCCTCGTCTCCCTTTACAGTATCTTGACCTCAATCATATCTCACAACATCAATGCGAAAGATGGGGCTCCTCCCTCTTGATTTGTTCCCAGCTATCAAGTTCAGTAGTCCTGGCTTGATAGAAGGTCGGCCAATCACGACTCTGGGATATATCTTTTCCTTATGAATACCTACTCCCTGATCGACGACAGGCAGTCCGACATCTATATAACTACACCTCCGACGGTATCAAGTGCACAATCAGACAGTCGCCTCTCACCTTTCCTCCCCCTTCTCACCGCATTTATCATGGAATTCTCGCGCCGTGACTCCGCTTCGGCGACCAGCCAGGACCTGCACAAAGACAACGTCAAGTCGACTCCCCTCACGGGCATAAACTCGGTCTCCCCAGGCGAGATGGCCGAAGTCAGCCGCATGCCTGAGTCCCTCCGTGAGCTCGGCGCCGACGAGGTGGCGTGCCTCAATAAGAAGCTCGTCCGCAAGATGGACTTGGTCATCCTGCCAATCATCGGCATCCTGTATATCCTCAACTACATCGACCGGCAGAACTTGTCGGCCGCCAAGCTGCAAGGCATCACCAATGACCTCCACATGACCACCCAAGAATTCGCCACTGCCATCTCCATCCTCTTCGTCGGCTACTTGCCTTTCCAGATCCCATCCAACCTGCTCATCACCAAGATCCCTCGCCCCGGGTTGTATATTTGTACCGCGACTGTCATCTGGGGCAGCATCTCGGCTGCGACAGCAGCTGTACAGAGTTATGGCCAGCTACTCGCCGTTCGCATCATCCTCGGCGTCGTCGAAGCAGTCTTCTTCCCAGGCGCCGTTTACTTCCTCTCAACCTGGTACACCAAGAAAGAGCTCGGCAAGCGTCTCGCAGGCCTCTACATCGCGCAGCAAGTCGGCAACGCCTTCGGCGGTCTCTTCGCAGCCGCCATCTTTCAGCTCGATGGCGCACACGGCATCGCAGGCTGGCGCTGGCTCTTCATCATCGAAGGGTCCGCCACCGTTGGCATAGGCTCGATCTGTGCTTTCTTCATGCCCGAGTACCCCCACAATGCCCGCATGCTGACCCAGTTCGAGAAGGATCTTGCTGTATGGCGCATCGAGTCCGAGGCGGGCGCTGCTGAGGGGACTGAGAATGAGAAGGTGCTGAAATCTTTCGTACAGGCGCTTGCAGACCCCAAGCTCGTCCTGCTCATCTTCTGCAACATGATGTCCCAGGCCCAGGGCTCCATTGCCAACTACTTCCCCACGCTCGTCGCATCTCTTGGCTACTCCAAAACCATCTCATTGTTGCTGACCGCACCGCCATACATCCTCGCCGGCTTCGTATACTACGGCATCACCTTCTACTCGGATCGCAAGAACACCGTGTACCGGATCATTATGTGCTGCATCGCGATCGCGTGCACGATGTACATCATCCCCATGGCCACCACCAACGTCGGCGCCAGGTATTTCTCCATGATGGTTCTGCCTTTCTCCTCGGTTGGCCCGCAAATCCTGCTATACAAGACCATCAACCTTCACTTGGCGCGGCCGACAGCTAAGAGAGCAGCGGCCTCTGCCCTAGTCAACTGCATCGGCGGAACGGTCAATATCTGGGCCTCTTATCTGTACTATGCACCACCTCGGTTCTTCGCAGCTATGGGCACGCTCATGGGGTGCGCTGTCTTGTTTGCATGCACGCTGACGTTCTACCGCTGGTTCGTCAGGCGCGAGAACAAACGCCTTGATTCCAAAAACCCGGTTGAGATCGCAAAGGTCATTAAGGGAGGCGTTACACAGGAGATGGTGGACTTGGGCTGGCGTTATGAAATGTACTGATGATACTGGAGGTTGCTTGAACGTTGTTTTTTGTTCTCGTTTTTTGCAAGATGTTTTCGGACGATAGATAATAAGAATGGCGCAAGATTCACAGGAGCCTCAGACGAGAGAATTAATTTAGGGCTCAAATATAGCAGACGGGATGGGATATTGTTCTCTTCGTTTGTAACAATAATAAATTGATTCCTGCAAGTTATATCATACCTTTTGCGACCCAAGCATTTATACTCGTATCGCCACGTTGGATATATGGTTTTCGGCTATAATTAACTCTAGTGCTAGCTGTCCCCCCCCCCCGCGTTCGTCAATACGAGCGATTGATTAATCGGAGAGATTACGATTCGGGCTAAAGTGCTAAGGGGGCTAAAACTTTTTGCATACTAGTTCGTCCTAAATATATCCTCAATTCTATATTCTTTACTTTACTTAAGCCTTACTCTTTATATTATAATATCCCTTCCTCCGGTGAGACATTGCCACATTAGCGGCCGCACATGAATATCCCTATTTCGGCCAGAACATAATCCGAATTGGCGATATTCATGTGCGGCCGCTAATGTGGCAATGTCTCACCGGACGAAGGGATAGCTTTATTATAATTAATATTATATAATTATTTAATTTATTCTAGATATTAAAAAAGCAAAAATACTTCTCTTGTAACGGCAGGAACAAACCGATGGAACGAGGCACAAAGATTAATGATTTCAATGTCTTGAGAATTTAAAGCTAAGGAGAGAAGGAGTGAGGTGTGGCAGTGGATAAGTAGGTATGGCCAAGATCACTGAAACGCCGAGCTTTGGAAGCGACCTTGGTTTGAACCATAGCTTGGAACCTTAGCTGAAACCAATCATGTGACACCAGCCGTCACAATATTATATAATATATTTCTTAAGTTTTAAAAAGCTTTTAATAATTATTATAATTCAAGTAAATATAAAAAAGACTATTATAAACTTAAATATATTAAGAATTAATTAAAGAACCTATTTCTTTTATATAATAAGTCTTTTAATAATACTTGATATAACGGCGCTAGCTGGGGTCACGTGGGCTGGCTGTCACCTGACTGGTTTCACCTGTCAAGCCAGCGTTTCAGTTGTTTTAGTTAGTACTTCTTCTCCTTTCTTTCCTCTCTCTCTCTCTCTCTCTTCTTCTCTTTAGCTTAGTATTTTCAATACATGAGATTCTTGGATCTTTGAGCCCTGGCCATTGCCTCGATCCCGCCGTCACACTTAACTTACTAATTATATGAGCTTATATTTCAATTCTAATAGCAATATATATAAAATACTAAAATTATATATTTTGCCTTTTCTAATTAACTTTAATAGAAGTAAATGAAAGTCTAACTATTAAAGATACGCTTTGTGATTTCAAAGCGTGATAAAAAATTGATTGGCACACGAGATTACATAACACAGGCATGTGACCCAAATGACAGCTTCGCTTACTCCTTCTCGGTTGCCGCAAGGTATTTAAGGTATTGTCCTACCTTAAAAATAAAAAAATCTATCTTCTTCTCTTATTTCATACGGGTAACAACCAGGCTTCCTTTAAGAAAATCGGCTTCCAGGCGCAGGCCCTTCATTCAATTTGACTCGGGAGCCCGAATTTTAGTTCAATTGGCTTGTTAAAGCACCACTTTCCTACCCAACTCTTTTCACTGCCATGTCAAATAGCCTCGATGATGTGGCCACCACGACACCAACGGTTGCAAGCGTGAAGAGCCTCAAACAGGATAATACTGATCCTATTACCACGGTCGGCAATGGCGAACCTCCTCACAATGTTGTTGCGCCTCTTGATAATGATCATCATACCGATAGCTCTAAAACAGCTCAGCCAGCCCCATCCGCTGAGCCCCAGGCAGATGTCCAAAAACTGTCGGGCGCCGCCATCGCTTTGACCATGACGCCGCTCTGCCTTTCTGTCATGCTCTCATCGCTGGACCTCACCATATTAACACCAGCTATCCCCACCATCGTGAGTTCCTTCAACTCGGTGTCTGGGTATGTCTGGATTGGCACAGCCTTCATCCTGGCCAGCACGGCCATCGCGCCGGTCTGGGGGACCGTGGCGGACATCTGGGGCCGGAAACCAATCATGCTGATTGCGTTGACTATTTTCCTCGGTGGCAGCCTGCTTTGCGCCTTGGCTCCGCGAATGAATGCTCTGATTGCTGGCCGTGCCGTCCAGGGTCTTGGTGCTTCGGGCATGGGCACGATGGTCAATGTCATCATCTGCGACACCTTCTCGTTAAGGGATCGCGGTTTGTATCTTGCCATCACTTCTTTGGTTTGGGCTGTAGGAAGCGCCGTTGGACCCGTTATCGGCGGTATTTTTACAACTCGGTCAGAGTGAGTTTACCAAAAAAGCTTCCTCTCTACTTTTTATTTCAATACTTACAAGTGAGCAGCTGGAGATGGTGTTTTTGGATCAACTGTGAGTTATGGCCCGTTATATCCAGTCCGGATCTGACAAACCTTCCAGTGCCTATAGGTGCTATCGTGTTTTTCGTATTGCTCTTCTTCTTGAAGCTTCCCTCGCCGAACACGCCTGTCCTGAGTGGCCTTAAGGCTATTGACTGGATTGGTGGCGCACTCATCGTCGGTGCCGTGTTGATGATTTTACTTGGTCTGGAATTTGGAGACGTCACATTCCCATGGTCGTCAGTTACTGTTATTTGCCTCATCCTATTTGGTGCTGTTGTTATCGGCATTTTCGTTGTCAACGAATGGAAGTTTGTTATGAATCCCGTTATGCCGCTACGGCTATTTTCTAAGAGATCTTCAGTGGCTGCTTATGTTGTCTTCGCCTGCAATTTTTACGTCCTTATCGGCTTGTCTTTCTATTTACCTCTGTACTCTCAATCTGTGTTTGGGGTTAATGCTTTGCAATCCGGTGTTTATCTCGTTCCCCTCATTGTTTCAAGTTCTCTGGCGGCTGCCTGCGCTGGAATATTCATTCAGCAGACCGGCGTATACCTTCCCGTAATGTACTTGTCCCAAGTGTTATTGACACTTGGTGTCGGGCTTTTTATTAACCTTAAATTTGAGGAAGGCCTGGCCAAACTGTTCATATTCGAGATCATCGCTGGTATAGGCATTGGCATGAATATAGAGCCACCACTTCTCGCAGCGTTAGCCGCATCGACGGTGCTAGATACCGCTACTATCAATGCAGCGATGAGCTTTTTTCGATCTATCGCAACCGCCGTTGCAATCGTCCTTGGTGGCGTTATATTTCAAAACCAAATGAATGCAGCCAACCAAGGTCTGGCTGACCAATTCGGCGGCCAGCTCGCCATAAATTTCAACGGCGACCATGCCACGGCAAACGTTGAACTGATTGAATCTTTGCCGGCAGGCCAGCAGGCTGTTATCCGACGAGTATATTTTGAAGCGCTGAGGTCAGTGTGGATTATGGTATATGTTGGATTCCTTTCAGAAATCTTGATCTTTAACTAACACATTTATAGTACGTTGCCGCCGCGGGCATATCGTTGGTTTCGACCCTATTTGTCCGTGCTCATCATCTGGGCCTTGACACCAAGAGTACAGTGCTTGGACTGGATAGGGCAAGGCGAGCCGAACAGTAGTCGAATAATTCACCCCGAGGCCGTTCCATCGAACTTACTGGGCATTAGGAGGATATGATCCGGTCGTGGTGGTGGTCATACCTCTTTACGGAAAACCCAACTCTGGCTGCGAAATTGCAAAATCATTTCATGAGATTTATATACTATGTTACGAACCTGCAACTGTATTTCTAAATAGGAGTGGGACTCTCTTCTATATGAGGTAGAGTTCGGTTATTGAAATGAGATAATCGTTGTGATTGGTTAGGATTTGAGAATTGTATTGAGAAACGAGTATACTAGAGAATAGTGTTTGGAGGATTGTGGATGTCTTCTTCCTGTTAGTTCGGGCACTGGTGGCACGGATGTTCCGGGGGACTCTTATACAGTAGTGGGCTTAAGCATGGTGTCATTATGAGTTTTGTGTGAGAACGAGCAGTGGAAGCTTTGTGGGCTTTTTCATGGCTGTATATTATTTATCTGCGGTATCAAGTATACATCCAGAAGTTGAAATCATACACTCGCCTTAAATACTTCTCAACGAACAACATACACCGCTTTTCAAACTCGAGATTGTTTGATAATACAAGACTGGTTTTGCGAAATTGCGGGAAGCTTTGCGTATTGGAAAATGGGGTTGACACCCCCTAACACCACCCCCACTTCTTTAACCCGGATCATATCCGGATTTCAACCATTGAACCTCCACTACATGGCCATTCTGATCTCCTCTCTTATGGGGATGAATCACGAATATTCATAGTCATTAAGTCCCCTCTAACAGGCTACGCAATTATGACAGTTGTTCTTCGAGCAGCCCGCCTCCTCATCGACAGCTCATCCGAATTAATTGAAGATGGGCTCGTAATCATAAATGACGGCCGGATAACCAAAGCTGGCTCATTTCGAACCCTTAATGGACTGGTTACAATTTCACAAGGGATTCGGGATCTCGGAAATGTGACTCTGATGCCCGGGCTATTCGACTGCCACGTAAGTGGCAAGCTATAGTTGAAGCACAGACTCATTGTATAAATCACTTACAAATGTCAGGTCCATATCACATTAGACCCTTCAAAAGTCAATACTACCACAGCGTCATCCTCCCTCACAGATAAAGAAACGACTGCCCTCATGATCTCAAACTGCTCGAAGCTCCTCGACGCCGGAATCACCACCGCTCGAGATCTGGGCTCCAAAGGCCTTCTAGGCGTCAAGATCCGAGACCTCATCAATGCCGGCTCTCTGTTTGGTCCCCGTCTTCAAGTAGCACACGCACCAATCACCGTGCCCGGAGGCCACGCTCACGCTATGGGCGGCGTTGCCCAGGGTATTGAAGGTGTTCGTGTCGAAGTGAGGAAGCGTGCAAACGAGGGCGCAGATTTGATCAAGGTTATGTCTACAGGAGGATTTATGACTGCTGGGAGCCATCCGAGCCAAGCGAGGTATACTGTTAAGGAGCTGGAGGCAATTAAGGACGAGGCGGTGAAGTTTGGGATGAAGGTTACTACGCATGCTACAGGAACGCAGGGGATTGCACGGGCGGTGGATGCGAGACTGGATTCGATTGAGCATTGTGCTTGGATTAACGGTGAGCTTTTTCAAATTTTCAGTGATGGGTTGTGTTTTAGCTGACTAGAAACAGGTCAAAATACGAAGTTTGAGGAGTCTGTTGCCAAGAAGATAGTCGAGTATGAAATTGCTGTTTGTCCAACGGTAGGTAACCCGACCTCCCTTGTTCTATATATCTTGCTTAATGCATTCTTAGATGAACACAGCTTGCGTTGAGCATAGCTATTTCTGCCCCTGGGATAGCCGCCAAGCAATCGTCTCAAACCTCACTTCCCTCCGTCAAGCAGGTGTAAAAATGATCGTCGGAACAGATGCAGGTATTCCGCTTTGCCATTTCGAGCGGTATGCCGATGGTTTAACCGTACTTGCGGATGCTGGCTACACAAATCGAGAAATCATCGCAAGTGCCACCGATATTGCTGCCAGCGTTTGTGGACTTAGTAGCGAGACGGGTAAACTTCATTCAGGGATGGCAGCAGATTTAGTTGGGTTTGAAGGTAATCCGTTGGAGGATATTCATGCCTTCTCGAAACCGGTTTTCGTAATGGCGAGAGGAAAGGAACATAAATTGACTCCTATCGCTCCTGTTGCGGATGGGGCAATGGCTACTGCGAAGGAGATAGCCGAGAGATTGAGGAAAGGGGCTGGATTGCCTGCTCAGTTTACAGATACTTCGATTTCTGTCTGAATTAACAGCGTAGTTTACAAAACATTTGATTCACCTTTGAAGACCTTTTCCAGAACTGCTGCCATTCTTTCTATACCGAGCTCCATCTCTTCTTTCTGAAACATGTGTCAGTATTTGAATCAAGTGAGAAATTGCCCAGGTGCTCAAACCGTCACAAGTGAGTAAGCAAGCCGAAAATATCCGATCCCGGTCTCTCCACATCTACTCTTGGTCGTAGTCTTCTTCTTCCCTTGCCAGGGTTCATAGTACGAACCTGGCGTCAGCAACACCAACGCTTTCGCCATCTCGGCCCAAATTTCAGTTTCAAATACAGCTTCAGGATCAACACAGGTCTCGTCCGCCTTCAACACCCTGAACCTAGAGCTTCCAAAATAGTAAAACCGTGCCCAAATAAACATCCCAGCCATAGGAGGAATGAAGCTGAAAAGTGGAGTTGTGAGGGTTGCATCGTCCTTGGAAAAAACGACTAAGCCTGCTGCTCCAGGAACTGAACGGTTGGTTGCGGGTACAAGCGTGAAATTGAAGGCAATTGAATCGCACTGAAGAATTGTAAGTATACCCATGACCGTGCTTGGAGGGGTTACATGCCATCCAGTTACGTCTGAGGAAATATTGACCTCGGAGGTTGGAAAGCCATTCAACATAGCCCATTATACCCCATTTGCTGAGAAGGCTCATTGCGATCGCCTATTTGTAGTCAGTTACTAATGGAAGAGATTGTAGGGAGGGGGACTTACCTGAGACCACCCGCTTGGAGACTGGGTTTCGACTTCTGTAGCTCGGAGTAGTCGCTCCGTAAACAATGGGTTTGCGACGAAATACCCGAGCCGGTTGCCCGGTGCTAAGGTCTTTTCATAGATTTAGCTAGTATTGCAGTAGGATTTAGAGAAATCTTCACCTTGCTGAAAGTGTCGAGACGAATAACCCGTCCTTGGGTATCGTATTTCAAGAATGACGGCACAAGACTATCGAGGTATTCTTGGGGTGTCGTCGGATTCAAGGCCGCCTCTCCCCCGTGAATGCAGGCCGGGAATTGAAGGAATGAATAAGGATCATCTTCACAGATTATGATATCTGTATTCAAGGTTAGCTCAATCTTCGCTAAAGCCCCAGAGTTTTCTAAACATACCATATTTGACGCAGACATCATAAATCTTCTCCCGCCGATCACCATCCATAGTCAAACCAGTTGGATTGGAACCAACCGGGACAAGGTATAGTCTGTTCTATCGTCAGTCGTTCTGAAATATACTTCTGGAAGAGTGAGCTGAACAGATGCGGTCTCTTCACCCCGGGTCTCGCTTCCTCCCAACTCGCTAACACACTCTCAAGATCCTCAGGACTCATCCCTTGAGTATCACTCTTGATTGGAACTCCAATGCATCCCATAGGTATCCACAAAGCTTGAGCGGATGGATAAGTGTACTGCTCAACTAGGATGAAATCTCCTGGTTCGCATAACATACGCACGATTTTGTTCCAGCCATCTGTGTTTCCGCAATTCAGGAGTATCTCGAAATCAGAACAGGCGGGTTTGAAGACTGTTTTGGTGAACTCGTGAGCCCAATCTCGAAGAGATTGATCTCCAGTTCCCGAGCCTATTGAAGTATCAACACTGCATTCCACTGAACGAGACAAGTTAATTCGTGAAGAGAACTTACCATACTGCAGTGCCTTGGAAAGACTTAGCAGCGGTTGAGAACTCTCTTCCGCGATTGAAAGCTCATTACCAAGTTTCTCAACTTCTGGAGTGCTGAGATTTTTGTCATATGGGTAAGTCTGAATTGTGGCACTTTGAAAAGGGAAGAGTGATGGATGCGGAAGTCCTTCTCATATTTAGCTTCGGCTACCTTCAATATTACTGTGAAGATTGATACACCTACCTCCCGCCAGGCTTACCATGCCATCGTATCCCATAAACTTTATAATATCTTTCAACGGACTTGGGTGTCTTGCTTTCGAATGTGCGTTCAGGTGATGCCTCAGATCAACCGAAACGGGCTGTGCTAGGGAGCGGTTCTTTATGGCCGCCATATCGAGTGTGTTATTTTGGGGGGTTGTTGGTTTGATTCTGCTTCCACCCCCTGATTTGGAGGCACAAATATGGTCTTACATAAACAAGAGACAGGAGTGCAGACTTTTCGCTGGTGTTCCTAGGCACGGATAGCAAAAATGGAGCGAGATGGCGGCCCGGGCCAGGTCCGGCCGTGGTGTATTTGTATACAAGAGTGGGGCTCACAACTTCGTCGTGGCCGCCATTATCTTGGCATTACTGATATAATTCGTAATTCTGTAATAAGTGAGCGATACGGGTGGGTGATGTCTCGTCGCGTGGATGTATCGCACATAATTTATAGGTATATTGATATTGAAAGGACTGTCCTAAGCGTTAAGTGGATATTGGACATAGATAATACATGTTTATAAAGATTGAAATAATAACCCTTGAGAGTAATATGTGTAGAGGCGTAAAACTTGTACTTCAGAACGAGTACTTGAAGAAGATATTTTCCAAATCAGTCATGTCCGACTCGGCATTTACTCGACCTTGACGTTGAGCCTGTATTAGCCAGGAGTTAGCATCTTGGTCCTCCAAATATCCAAACAATAAATTATTATCAATCTGTCGGTATCGGGTATCTCACTTCTTCAACTGTCAATCCTAGCTCAGCAATCTTGGTAGCACGCCTCTTGTTCTGCCACATATCTTCGAGCAATACGTCAGCAAACTGGTTTTGAACAACAAGTACTGGGCAACTAACAATAGCCACGCCAGGTAGCCATCAAGACGAACTCAACGCCAAACAATACCCCGCAAGCTGTAAGACCTGGAAGATAACGAGGGGCATCCTTTGCTTGGAAGAGTTGGGCACCAATGGCATTTCCGGTACAGTAAGCAATGAACAACACAGTTGCTAACTTTAGTCAGTATGCATTATTAGAAATTGAAGCGCTTGAGCACCTCACCAGTGACACTCTTTTTTGTTCTTCCCGCTACGTTGGAAGGAAGAATTGTCCAAATTAAAAGTCCCGGGAGGTTGCCGGTCACAGCTGTGGCTTTATTCAGCGGGTGGTCAATGATTGAAGAAGCATTACCACTTACTCATGAGATATAAGCCCCATTTGGTCCACAACAAGGATTTGCCGTTGGGAAGTAACGCCAGTGCAATCATACCTGCAAATGCGGGAAGGAGTGACACCATCATGAAGAAGACTTCGTATTTGGGGTCAACTCAAGGGTTAGAACGGCGAGAGGGGTGCTTACAACGGAGATTGGGCTTCTTCAAAGTGGTATAGCCAACAAGGAGAAACCAAAGAACAGAGACAGCCTGTTGCGGGACCGTCCCTTCCGTCAAAGTCTCTAGTGAAGTAAACCCGAACGAAACGTAAACCAAATTTCCAAAGGTGGTGATACCACCGTTTGGCAGGGAGTTGGCGATGACTACGAAGAAGAAAAAGTACGTTTGGGGGTCTTTGAAGGCAGTGAGAGCCTGAGATAAAGTCAGTGAATGCGACCCCTATTTTCTCTAAACATTGTATCAACATACTTGGCTCCATTTCCAGTGGTCTCGTTTTTGACGATCGGAACCTGTTTGATTTGCAACAACTCTCGCAATAGCCATTCGCTTCTCATCCTCGGACAACCATCGAACTTCACGTGGCGTACCCAAAATGAAGAAGACAAGCACAGAGCTGGTAAGGGTAAGGCACCCGAGAAATATTGAAATTCCTCGCCAGGGGGGAAGTCCACCAGGATGCTTCTGAGCCTGGAACCCAATACTGTAGCTGATGAGACTTGCGATGACCTGCATACCAGCATTTGCAGTTCCCCATATGATGGAACGCATTGTATGCTCGCGTGAGGTGTACCATAGCCCGGTCAAAAGGAGGAACGTGGGAGAGATGGTACATTCACATACACCCTGAAGGGCCCGAAGAACCATGAGGCCAGCAAAGTTCTGAGCAAATGCAATGCAGAGAACAATAATCCCTACCAGAGGTTAGAGGGTCGCTCGCGGCTTGTGCTTTTAAATGAGTACTCACCCCAGACGAACATGTTCGCAGCGAGGAACTTACCCACGTTCACCCGTTGCATGAGAAAGTTAGCAGGACCTTCAGCAACAAGGTATGAAATGTAAAAGATGGTCGTGAGCCCTGCATGAGAAAAAGGTTAGAACTGTTTAAACTTCATAGGCAGTACAGATATGCTAACAAGGGAATTGCTGCCCGACGAGATGTGTGTCTGTGCGAATTCCGAATACAGCTTGAACACTGACCGACGTCTTGTCCGCTTGCTGTGTCCCAAAGCAAACCTGGGAAGAACGAGATCTCAGCAATGTTCTTGCTATACATCTAATTTCTGGGATCTTCTCAGGACGAATACATACCCACATCAAAGGCAACAGCCAAAGATCGATCTTCCATCGGAGTTTCCGAAACTGCTCGGGGGTGTACTCCGTCTCGGCATTGACAGTATCAATAATTATATCATCAATTTTCCCAAGCCCTATCGAGGCTTGTGGCGGATTCGACAGGACTTTGAGCTCCTCAAAATCTCGAGTTTGGGGTTGCGGTTCTGTATTTAGTGCAATCTCTTCAATCTCGGTTTTCTCTGAGGAAGCCATCGTGATAGACAACAACAAGTGGAGGTGCAAAGTTTTCAAAACAGAACAAAACACAAAGCAATCAGATGGAATCAAGGACAATAGATTTAGATTTCAAGTCTGTTTCCCAAATTTGAGGGACCGAAAATTCCTGAGGGGTTGTATGAGTGGAAAGTGGAGTGTTAACCCTTGTTTCCGAAAGTGGGGAGACACGCAGGATCATTGGTCCAAGTTGACAAAAGTCTACTTCGACTCCACCCCGGATCTCTTCCGGACGGCCCTTCTGTTCCTATCTCTATCTAAATAGTGATCGCCGCTATCTAGGCGACTCCGTGTTTATATTGAAGATAGGAATGCTTCCGTCATTGTCTTGTATTAGCTGAGGCTTCGTGTCACGCTGTGCTGGACAAACTAATCCCATATGCAGCGGCGGAGAAGCTCACTATTTAAATTATTTTCAAGTCTCATACTTGACCTGCACAGATAACCGAGGGGCTAGATATCACAATTTATTTCTGCTTTGTCTTCTGCGCTCAGGAGTTCCGCTAGATGGTTATCGCACTCGAAATCTTCTTTCTGCACACCACATTGCACAGTACTTTGGAGGCCCACCTCGATTGACTTCTAATTAAGATAAAACTCATTTCCTGGAAATCCAGATTGATGAATCAATTGTCATTAAACCAACTACCTTCGCCGGTACCCTTCATTCTCTACGAAGACAACGGCATAAAGTATCGAGAATACAGGGCATTTTGACCCTTGTTGCTCTAGAAGGTGCGAATTCAGGGCAGAAGCTCGCTATAAGCCTCTATAACTCTAGGTAGTGCTCCCTAAATCGACGTAAAGAGGTGCTATAAGACATTCATATGGGATAAGTAGATCTTCTAGGGTTATAGCGCTATTGGTAGAGCAACTATTGTGCCTCCTTAGCGAAGACTTCCTTGTAAGTACAGGGGAGAAGCCCTGAAAAGGTGTGGAAGCCCTTGTCGAATGCGTAAATGCTACTCTTAGGGAAGGGCCCGGAAATATAGGGCCTGATAGCGAGCTTACTACCTTAATCTGTACGCTGCAGAGCCTACAAATCTCCTAATGCCCTGTCTTCCCGATACTTTACACCGTTTTCTACGCAGATCGTGAACAAGCCTACCAACACCACCCTACCAACAACCCCAATAGCACAAAAGCTACGAAACTTCGATTGCGATGCCGGCACACTCTCTTTGAGACATACCGGGGAGTGGTGAGGCGCCGTAGGCCCGTATCCACGCTCTCTGAGGTTTGGTCCAGCTCCGAGTTGTAGATTCGGGTGGGAGAGGAGAACCGAAGTTATTTGTTGGATGCATTGCACAAATGGGGAGGAGGAAGAGGAGGAGAAAAAAGGGTTTGCGGATATTGAAAGTCGGAACTTGGAAGGTGGAGGGCGTAGTGGTGGAGAGTCTTTGGGATCAAATGGAGTGCAGGTTCTATGAGCAGTGTGTCAAATAATTTAATTAATTATAATTATTGGCCGGTAATCAAATCAAATCAAGTCAGAATCGTAGTAATCAAATTATAATTAATTACTGGGTCACGTGTTACTACACGTGACTATAAAGATAATATAAGCGTTATAACGCAAAAGTAAAGCATATTTTACCCTAATTTAGATGTCGCCTTACTATTATAGGCTTAATAGCTAGTATCCCGCCTTTACTCGCTTTACTTATCTTTGTAAATAAGTACTATAGGAAGGGTTTTGACTTCTCTAGTCACGTGGGTGCGGTCGTGTGATATCCAGAGCAAATAATTCACATATATATTACCTTGCTTTCCTTCTCTCTTCTTTGGAAATTAATTAACATTTACTCTCTTTATGGTTTAGTCGTATATTATTTAAAGAAAAAGAAGAGAATTTATTACTTATATAACTTTTATATGGGTTTCACGTGATAATTAGAAATAATTAATTATATTTAATTATAATTTTTCTAATAAATTTTTTTTTTGAAAGTCGATAATCAAATTATAATTAATTATTTACTTGATTTAATTAAATATAATTAATTACCTTAATTATTTTTTTGACACACTGTCTATGAGGAGATGTGGGAAGAACAAGGGAGAGGAGGTCACTGGTCGAGAGTGTTTTAGGAGAGGTGATTCATGGAACTGAGCTATACTGCTAACATCTATGCCGAAAGGTGATACAAAGAGGGTCGTGGGTGTCATTAGATGTCCCACAGCTAGCCACGCACCTGCTCTTGAAAGTTTAATTCAAGATGATTGAATTGCTTGGTTGCTCGAGGGAGAAGGCAACCGTAAGTGTGTGGTCTCTCGTACTATTGGTGTCGTAGCACAGCCATTGCCATGAACATAGTAGGAATGCTTCAACGCGTCGTTGTTTCTAGCTATCTGATCAGCCCCTACCGGAGTCTATGAATACAGCCAAAGTCCCGTCCTATTCAGTTTCCTTTCCTCTCCCCACCTCAACTCTTAATACCATCCTGGACGAGATCCTCCTTGAGAACATCCCCCATAAGACTGCCGCTGAGGCCACACATTGTCTTTCTCTGCTTCACCCTCCCTCAACAGCGTATCAATATTCTTAAAAAACTCAGGGCTAAACTCGTAGATTTCAAAGCCCATCTGATTCCTCTCCCCCGACCCTCTCACTAGATCCAATCTCAGACCCCGCTGGAACACCAGAAAAAAATCCGGGTTCGCTGTCATACTTGCAATATCTCCGAAGCCACTTTTGCGCACGGCGTCAGCTATTGACATAGTCTGCCATCTCTCTTCGCTTCTGTTCTGCTGTCCTTTCTCTGCTCGCCTATCCCCCTTTGAAACCCCGTGAGATATCCTTGAATAAACGGGGCTTTTCTCTACTTTGATATCCCGCCCCATCATCTTGTCAACCTCCACGAAGAACTGAGGGCTAAAGGAATACATTAATGAGTCAGGGCGCCCGCCAAAACCGCCCATGTCTTCCCTTCCAAGGAACCTCGCGAGCCCTAAGTCTTCAGCTTCGCGAAGAAGGAGGTACCACTCCTGAGTCTTCGCCCCGTAGCCGAACCCGCACTTGGCGAAAGCTTCGTTCGCAGACATGATCTCCCATTGTGTTTCTTTCGCTTCTTGGGGATTTTGATTCGGGCGTTGACTGGGAAGCGAATCTGGCTTGGGTGAGGTAAAGTCGCCCAAGCGTGTGGGGGGTGTGCCACCGCTGGCTGATTTCTTGGATGCGAACTTGCTGTCGGAAGGATATGGAGGTCTTTTGAACTTATTGTCCATGGTGCTAAGCAGTTCTCAGTGGGTTAGATTTGCTCAAAGGTAATTGAAGTTATGGTTGTTTTCGGGTATGACTTGGCTTACATTCTGGAATGCTTTCGTGTGGTGGGAAGAAGAATGGGAGAAGAAGTTGAGAAGTGGTAGGTACGAAGAAAAGCCAGATTTATGCTTTCGCTGCCGGAAGCGTGAATCCCTGTGCTGCTTCTGGTAGCTGATTGAGTCAACAAATTAAGGGGTATTATGAATTAATTTTCCCTTCCTTGAGTGCCATATGGGGTAAGTAAGCTTCCTGCTCTTGCTCAGGCGCTAATCACCCTCGGCTTAGCAGAGGTTCTGCGACTTGCAATTCGTGCTGTCGATTATGCGAAGATTTTCGGAGAAGGCCAGCATCAATATATGAATGCTGTCTCTGACCTTGGTCTGATGTATTATACTCAGTCTCGGTTAACGGAAACTCACGAACAATGGATTAGCGCTCTTGAAATGGGAAAGAAACCTCTCGGATTCCCAGGCTATATCGATACAGGGATCGGCAACCAGCTCGCACTCTTGTATTACCAAGAAGGCCGGAAACAAATACTGGAGAAAAGAGCGAAGTACATGGGTGAACACCATCCTGAGACGCTAGGAGCCAGGGGTTCATTAACAACCAGCTATAGTGATCAAGGTCTTCTTGAGATAGCGGAACTGCTGTAGCAAGAAGTAATGGTGGGAAGGTAGAAGCAGTGGGGGGAACAGAATCCCGAATATCTATCAGCCAAAGGGTCACTTTCATATACTTATTATCTGCAAGGATGTCTCAAGAGTGCCGAAACTTATCACGAGAAGTTCAGGACGAGAGGATGAAGTTGTGGGGCACACAAAATGTGGAAACCCTTGGGGCCATAAAGCATCTTGCGAAAACATACCATGCCCAGGGTCGTCTTAATCAAGCCGCAGAACTCCAGCAACAGGTAGTTTTTGGGATGGAAAAGCTTTTAGGAGAAAATCACCCAGGAACCTTGAGTGTTCGCGAAGAACTATAAGACACTTACCATGACCAAGGACGTTTTGAGATGGCTGAGGAACTTCGAGACATAGTGTTGAAAGGCAGGGAAAGATTGTAGGGGGAAGTAAGTGAAGAGAAGATCCGCGCTATAGAGGCAGTCTCTAGAAAATATCAAGGTTTTGCCCATTGAGAATGAGGCTAGGCATCACCGGTCTTGAATATTGACCGAAGAGAGTATTCGAGTATTGATTTTGTGGTAAGGGTTTGGACTCTAGCAGGACAGTTTGGCGGTAGCAATAGCCCGTGTAACGGCCACCACCTTTCATTTGAATTAATATTGGGTTTTTTAACCTCGCTTTCGCATTCCGCCAGTAGTAGTAATAGTTGGCTCAGCCCTCCCTCGCTCCGTTTACAGTCGGGGAAAGCAAGTGTCCTGCAATCAGGCTTGGCAAAAATACTTTTGGTATTAATAAAGTATTAATACTGGATAGTGTTAGTCAGGTATTGCAAGAATCGGTATATATTAATACCGAATCGATTCTTACCCCGTATATTATCTCTGTCTTTTATTATTTAATTTATATAATAATATATTTATATATAATTTCTTTAATTTCTAGTCTTTCTATTAAAAGAGTTACTTACTATTATTAATAAAAGTTAATAAAATCTTAAATTTAAAATAGCTCTTACATTCGGAGAATTCAGCTTTGTATTCGTATTGCTTATTAAGATACTTATTATAAGTAAGCCTTACAAAAATCTCAAAAGCTTATTTTTGCTTAAAACAGCCGCATTGAGATGAGTTTTAATCTAAAGTATAAGATAAGTAGCTAAATAGAAAGCCTAAATTAAGTAGAATATTTGCACTACCAAAAGTTCTCTTATAAGAGAAGTGGTTCTAAAGTTAATTGCAATTAAAGGGGGGAATTGGGTTCTGGGAATTAATACTTTATTAATAGTATTAATACCTTACGATTCTGGTATTAATACGTATTAATACCGGAAATTAGGTATTTCTGCCAAGCCTGCCCGCGAAACCATACTGTAGTCAAGTCCGATTATTATATTATTTCCAACTAAATAAGATTATTTTATTTAGAAGTAATTGAGAGGGACAAGTATTTAATGACTTTCGAACTAGAAATGTTTTCAAGTCACGAGGAGATGGTTGAGTTTCATGAAAAGGTTAAGGCGAAAGTGAGGCTGGCGAACTGAGTGGTTTGCCCGATTAGAGAGACGCCCGAAACGAGGCTACTTGGAACTTCATCGCCATCTAAACTGCTTCGTGCCCTCTCTTCAAATTTTACAATTCTTGAAAGGAAGCTCAAAAAGACTTTGTTGTTCATCTTTTCAAACATAAGCAACCCCCAAATTCACTTGGAAATCAATACTTCTCCCTAGCCCGAAATGTCCCAGTCTCGAGACCGAGGCTTGTTCCTCCTCAGCCTTAACTTCGGTACCATCGTTGGTATCTCCTGGGGCCTTTTCGTTAGCCATCTCGTCTCCACCGCACACAGCTTCTACAGTCCAAACCACTGGATCCACCTTGCCCGCACCCAAGCCTACGGGCTCTGCTACGACGGCTGCGGCGACTCCTGTCTCTTCCCAAGCATCATCGCCGACGCCTGCTATATGACGGCCAAGGTGAACCTCTCATCATCAAACCTAGTCTGTGACGCGAGCAAGATCTGGTTCTGGGCCGAGCGCTACCCGATCCCGTGTCTCGAGGCAGTGGGCGAGATATACAAAGCTAATGCGCTGTGGTGGAAGAAGTTCTGGCTAAAGTCGCTGTATATCTTCGTTCCCGTGTTCGGGCTGCTAGCTTTTCTGGCGGCGTACTTGGTGATTAAATGGGTGAGGGAAATGAGATTCTGGGAGGGTAGACCACGTGTTACTGTGCGAAGAGGCGGGGTTGGGATTAGAGCGCCTCTTCTTCCCCGTGTTGCGGTTGCCGCTCTGGCTTTGGCAGTCTTGCTAACTCCAGCTGCTGCGTACCCATGCCCGAACTATTACCCGCCGTATGACAAACCTTTCACCAATGTGAATGGGACGCTGTATGGCGTTATCCATGGCTGGTTATCGGCATGCTATGACGAGACATATACGTGCGGGAAATCTTGCACGACACCTCCAGCCGGTGGCGAAGTGACCTGTAAGCCCATATCTTGCACACGATCGCGGCCGTTCATGCTGCCAACAGACTTCGTCGACAGAGCAGCTTGGCGTGTGGAAAGGTGTGGATTCAGGCTCGTGGACTGGGTACCGGGAGTGGTGGATAAGAGGGTGCCGAATCCGAGGATTGAGGGATCGTTGTGGGTGAAAATTGCGGTGAGTGCATTTAACAGCACGGATGTGGGCGGAGAGGGGTTGGATGAGGGTGTGAGGTGTTTGTATGAGATGATATAGTGGATCTGCCACATAAATCATAGCAGCAACCCCGTACCCCCTTTGTCAGTGAACCGTGCCGCTGGTGTGATTCTGCCTTGCTCTCCCAGTGCTACTAGCCCTTGATGTAACCCCTTCTGGACGCGGTATTGCCGTTGCATGGATCTCCACCTCTGTTTGACCTGTACCCAGCTGATCCTGCGCTCTTGCCAGTCAACTGTGCCGCTAATGTGGTTCCGTATTGTCAGGATTTATATAAATCTCCCGGTGCCATTGGCCCTTCGTATAACCCCTTTGCGGCATTGACGTTGCATGAATCTCCACCTCTATTTAACCCTTACTCAGCTAATCTTACATCCTTTGATTACTAAACTATACGCTGGTATAATTCTGCCTTGCCAGGATTACATAAATCTTCCAGCACCACTGGCCCTTGATATAACTACTTAGATGCAGTATCGATACTGCATAAATCACTACCTCTATCTGGCGTCTACTAGTTTACCCTCTCTCTTCCCCCTTTATTAGTAAAGCTCCGGTGCCAATATGATTCTAGACTACTAGGATTTATCTAAATCTTCTAATATTACTAGATACTAGTGCAATTACTTCCTAATACGGTATTATTACTATCTAATACCACTATTAGTAGGCTTGCTATTAGTAATCCCCCCTTTTTTAGTCTCGCTAATATAATTATCTCTTATATGGCATACATAATCCCTCTTCTAAGCCTTAGTATAACCCTTTAGTAAGGCAATCTTATAACTATATAAATATTACAATAATTAACTCGAACTAGCTATCCTAATTATTTACTGAGATAGAACTAATATATGCCTCTTCCCGAAGCAATTATATATATATAAATAGTATAGAAATTAAACTCGCTATTGGAGTATCCTGGCCCCTTACCCTTTATAAGCAGAATAAAAACTAAGAGAAAAGGAAAGGGAAAATAAATATACGAGAAAAGTATAATACTAAAACATCTAAAGCAAAGAAGATTAAACTAAATACTACCGAAATTTGTATTATATAAAATCCCCTCTATAACTAGTAATAAGATATTATATAATAATAAGGCTAATCTACTTACTATATATATATATATATATATATATATAAGCAAAAGTGGATCCAAAAATGGCCCTGGGGGGATCTCGGTTGCAAGGGAGCTAAAATGGGATTGTACTTGGAGACAAAATAAGGAAAGTATAACCGAGCATTAAGAGGAGCCGGAACAAGTCCCTTGGGGAGCTAAAATTGCCTCTCAGCGCATGCGCAGGCTGACTCAGGGCGTGCTCAGGGCGTGCTCAGGCTCTGCTCAGGCTCTGATCAGGTTAAAGCAGCAGTTGCTCACGTCCAGAGACTAAAACGGAACCAGCGAAAGGGAAAACGAATTCTGAGTCTATGGGTATTCTAATATGCTAATCAGCTGTAATTTACTGTATGCCTTGAGTTTCCAATCTATTCAACTGAATCAACAACCTCGAGTATATCCGTTTGACTCGGAATCGAAGGTTAGTTGGATAACAACTACAGATTTCACTCTACTGGCGTTCAATAATAAGCCTCCACAAACAGCTTAGTTCCCTTTATGGCTCACCAAGCTATTCGGATTCAACATTAACTATGGCTCTGATCTATCAAAGGCCAAGTCTACTATATTGATTAACCGCCCTAATCCCCTCTATCTTTCATAGGGGAAGCGGGGAGGGAAACCGTTTGAGGATAGCCGTCTTAATGGCAGGGCCTCACAAAGGTCTCAACACTATAAAACCAACCTTCGAACCAGGAATAAACCCAATCAAATCTTCCTGCTCAGCGTCTTGAACAAGGGCAGTCCACACACACAAACTGCCCTGAAATCTGCATCTCATGAGTGCCGTGCGGCGCGGCCAGATGCATGCGGATACATCCAGCTTGGTCGCCTGGTGGGCTCGTGTCAATTGAGCTGTGGGGACCGGGAAGCCTCTTAGAAAACGGAGGTCTTTTGGGGACATGTTGTTGATTGTATGTTGCCTGAGTGATGTTGTTTTCCGAAAACCTAGTGGCAAGTTTGGGAGTCGGTAAAAAGACGGTTCGGAGCAGCCTTAGCGGGGCAGAAGTGTCCTTAGATTGAAGAGGTTTTGATAAATAATCCGAGCTAGCTGAGCCGCATACTACCATTCTTCCTGGCCATCAAGGCTCAAGACCGTCATCCACAAACAGAAACTCATCCTCACTGAATTGAAACCGCGATATATGATACAGTCTTGCGCTCACCAGCAGCTCCCTGCAGCACGGTTCCTGCCAATCCCAAGTTACTTCTCATTGTGAATGCTCTTTTCCTTGTAATAATACCAGCTTGACCCTACATGCTCGTCTCCCTTTCTGGCAGTCCTCATGCCTCTATCTAGAGATACTAAACCCTTCCAGCCTTGGTCTTTTAACAACTTGATCAGGTGCAGCTTGAATACTCTGCCCTTTGTCACCTTCACCCTCTTCTCAGGAGCCCAGCGAAACCAAACGTGCCAGGTATTCCACGAAAGGTCAGGGATTTTGTATTCCACAGCCGGGAGGTCATCTTTCTTTGGCTTTTGAGTCTTTTGGCGCTCCCCTTTGAACCGTGGATTCTGTCGAAGAAGCTTTTCTATCGCCTGGATAAATTCCTCTGGCGCGCAAGTCAACCTTAACCGGTTTGGACTGTGGAAGGAGATCGTCATCGTTTCAATCGGTTGGTTGGGAGGTTTAGAGGACTTTTCGAAGAAAAAGGTACCTATGGACTCAAACATCTGGCTCGTGATGAGCAAAGAGTAACCATTCAGATGCATGACACTGAACATGTGTCGCAAGAACTTCTCTTCTCGAGCAGCACCCAGATCACCAACGACTCTCCCAATTTGCCTCTCGGTAAGGTCACCCAACACAACATCTTTAAACTGGCCCCAAGGATCGCCGATGAGCTTGAACTCGTAGCTGAGGCCCCATTTCCTCTCCCTCTCAACGCCGCGTCCTCCATATTTGGCTATCTCTTGCCCGAGTTGACTAGCGAGTTCGTCAGAGAAGCCACAGAACTGCATACGTCTGCGATCTGCGAGCGTGATGCTTCCAAATTCGGGTGGTTTCTCCTTCGGGGTGTTCATAGAGTTCGCAAACCGAACCATTGCAACACCAGATGTCTGGTCATCCTTTGACACCGAACACAGTGAGCATCCGCCGTTGGAAGCACCTTCATCCTTATGTGCTTGAGAATGGCGCTCTTTTTTCGACTTTGCTTGAGAGGAAATGTTATTGGCAGCTGGTTTCCGAACCGATTCCTTGGGGTTCGCTTTATCGTCTTTAGAATTGGGGTCAAAATAGCCGCCAGCAGAAGAGTCACCAAAAGAATCCCCTTCCCGTGTCCGAGGCTTTTGTTCCGGTTTCGAGCGGGCACGCCGGGACACTTTGTTGGTGGTTGTTTTGAGAGCGGACTTGTTGGAGCTTGGGTCGTTGCCTTGAGTGGGTTTCGAAGGTCCGCTGGCATCTTCCTTATCGGTTTTGTGATTCTGTTTTCGTCCAGCCGTTGCAAACCCAGAGCCTTTTACAGTCTTCGCGTGATCTGGAGGGAACTTCGCTGTGGGTGTGGTCTCCATTGCCTGTTTGTTCTTCTTCGACTTGCTCTCTCGCCGGCGTTCAGCCTGCTTGTATTGGGCGTGGACAGTGCCAGCATACTGACCAGACTGATCATTGAGCCCATTCAGTCTCACAGCCCGAAGCCGAGCCCCGCCCTCCTCCCACATCCTCATCTACCCAGTCATTCCGGGCTGATGAGTACAGCCATCGTATGCTCCGCCAATTGCTTCGCTTGTCACATCAATTCCGAGATGCGCTGCGCAACAGGGGAGAATTGGGCTAGAGGTGCCGGTGGAGTGTTCGTGGATGGGAGCCATGGCTTTGGTCGAGATAACCGTGAGACGGAGAGATTGAGGGATGGTCGTGTCGTGGAAGGAGTGATGTGCGGAGTATTAACAATCGTGTAGCGAGGGTCATGAGATAGAAATAACGAGGCTGTTGTTCTCGTCGTTCAAGGGGCAAGGTTACGCGGAACGCCAATCGTCATGTCGCGATGGTTGTGTGAAGGGGAAAGAGAAACGTGGAAGTGGTCGCGATGTTGCAGCAATATTATTGTACCAGCGTCAATGGTGCAGTAAAATCGATATTTGGAATAAGAATAGGAGGGCTTGATAGGTTTGCAGGAGCGTGATGTAGTGGAGTAGAAATATTGATGCAGTGTTGGTGAGGAAGATGGGTGCTCTTGAGAAGGAAGGAAGTCGGCTTGAGAGCTTCGCGATCTCCCAGCTGGTAGCACTTGCCACATCTATCCTCATCAACAACAACAATTCGCGTCGGCCGTGCTGTCAGTATTTCGTATCAGGGATGACCAATCAACTCTGTTCGCTTTAAAGTGAATCTGAATTGCAAAAGCATATGAGTACTGGGAAGAGAGACAGGCATTAAAATCCCACCAAACATGGGGCTTCAGAGTGGCCCGCGTTACTGGAAGCAAATCTGAATTTGGAGGATACCTCGAAAAGGGCTCGATCTGGGACGCCTCATCTCTCAAGTCACTTTCCGTCATACGAAGGCATTTTCTGTCCGATACCACTCTAATCTCATTTTTTTCACGTATCTAGGAGCAAGCCGAATGACGAGCCGTCACGGAGCCCATTTTCCTGTCATCCAAGGTCGCGAGAGAGTTGAGAGTATGATCGTCGGGACCCGCTGTCCCGCTGATCCATTGGAAATTCGACGGCTCGAGAGCGTGCAGGAACAAGAGATTCTACGCCAGCTCGTACCTATCGCTGGCTTGGGGGTTGTCATTCGGAAGAATTGAGGAGATGCGGTTTCAAGGAGGCTGGGGCGTGCTGAGATATACATATTGCGAGAGATTGCGGTCACGTGAACCCTCGACGCAACCTCAAACTTCAGTCGCGAACCGCTTCTCTCACACACTCCATCTGAACTACCCAGGTACCATCTAATTGATGAACAGAAATCAAGCACTTAGAAGAGTTTCCCGTGAACTCGGTACCGGAAATCGTCCTCAATCGCTCGATGTCAAGCAGATGAGGCCCTCGAGGGGACAGTTTCCACACCAAATTTTGCGTTATGCTTCACAACTACTCACCGCTTATTGGCAGAATTGGTATGAGGTATACATTTCTAGCAGGGGTGTGGGTATTTTTGAGAACACCCAAGCGGATCATTGTAACGTAAAGTCCCGTTTTAATTTTAACCACTATTGCAATGTTTATTTGACAATTTGAGATTGGGTTTATGAATTTATAACGGTAGATGGGAGGAAGTGTGGTAGAGCGCCAAAAAGTGGCGTGGAAGCGGGGTCCGTTGTGCCGATCGGGAGTTGAAGGTATGGTGACGGTGACACACCACCCCACTAAGAAAGACGAGTAGGGCATTTTATTTGATTTGAGGCGTGTAACTAAGCCACAGTGCCGACTAATGTGCTTTAACAGAGAGATGTTTGAGATATGAAGTTCAAAAGCAGTGGGACACTGGATACAAAGCTGAGAAAAAGTGGTTTGGATTTGCCTACGGAAAATGCCAGCTAGTGAAGAGCGAAGCCCGATCCACATGACTAAGTGCTCATATTATGGACCATCCTCCGCTTCATCCCCTTTTACGACCCGGTTGAGTTCTGTACCGCAGGTTGTAACGTAGTTGTCTTTGCATGGAACTCCTCGGTGCCTCCGCCACCTCAATCCTCGTTTTTGTTTTTGTTGTGTCCTCCTTTCCATTCACTTCCACCACTACAAATTAATCCTGAAGAACATGTGAGCAAGGTAGGACGGAGAAGGATGGCGACTTACCATTCTACTCCCGACTTTCCCCACCCCGCGAGGGTGGCACCCAGCCCCTACATCGGGCAGAAAATTATGATGAGGGTAATAGTGAAAGGGTCCATGTTTTGATTGGGGTAGATTGAGAGTGGAACTTTGTTTGACCGTGGTTGTTTTGGAATGGAAGTTTGATGCTTCGAGATTTCAGTTTTTGGCTTTGACCTGTGCAGAATCTAAAGGAGGGATGTGCCTTTTATAAAGCCTTTCACCCTACCAAACGCGCCGATAGATGCGACCCATAATCCAGCATGTGAAAACGGTATTATCAACGGCTTCTCCCACTCCTTAGCCTCTCGGCTGTGGTATATTCTCGTTGCCGTCTTGATTTACCAATAACAACTGACAGCGTTATCTACGAGAACCAGGCTTATTTGTGGTATCATATCTCATTCGTCTCAAATTTTAAGATCTTATGATCAACTTTTTGCACCAAGAGCGACCGACGCCGGGTTTGCATGCAGATCAGCCTCACGATACCGTTTCAGGACTATCGGGCTTATCCCTAAGCGGGAGCTCTCACGACCGAGAGCGTGTGACCATTGATTGTTCATCATGCGGCATTTTTCTCATTTGACTATCTCTTTTATCAGTAACTTCTTACATCATGGATGATCAATACCCTGGACGACAGGATCTGAGTGTCGAAATTTGGTTATGTTAGCCGAGCGCAAGGGGTTAAGCGAGCCCCTTAAAGCTCTCATATCTGCGCCCAGGCAGACTTCTCCTCAAAGTTCGGGTTTTGCCGCAACATCCATGCGGATTAGCCTCATCTAACGTCTTTCCAATTTGCCCTACATTCCTCGGAATACGTAAATATGTTTCTTATTGGAGGCTCCACGTGCAGTGGTCACGCCCAACAGCAATTGGGACCCGGGAAGTGGGAATTTGCGTCGAACGGCATGCGAGTGCCTTCTTCGTGGCACCATAAAGATTGACAAATTGCATACGTGTGTGTGCTCTACTTGGTGGCACTCGAGGGCCACCTGAAGTTCAACAGTCTGCCTTGGATGTAAGTTGATTGACATGCAAAAATCCTGCGAGGCTGTCTGATATCCGGGCCAATCATGCGAGCACATGGCAAGGCAAAAGTTGCTTAAATACTGAGCGGGAGACTTATCTATTTTCCCGGCCCGCCACTATTGGGGGAGTCCATAATCATCATCAAAGAGTTGGTTCAAACAGCGTTGCAAGCACGGAACGACCTGCAGTGCATTTTACACCCACACTAGATCATCCGTCCATGCTGTAAGTCTCTAAGGATGTAGCAACTTAACCCGCAGTGCTAATCGCCAATAGCAGTCATCAAGCACAGGTGCCATTACCACAGAAACGGCAATTGTCTGGTTCCATCTTCCACCAAGCATCAAAGACTGAAGCATCACATTCCCCCTCCCGTCTTTAAAGATGCTGCTTACCTCACCCGATCCTGCAGACCTCACACTCATCGGCTCTTTCCTCCTAGCCGCTTGTCTCACTTACTGCTGCTGGTCACCTCCAAATCCCAACCCTTCAGGCCCTAACGCAGCCCTCCCAGAAGACCATCTTGGAATCAACCATGGAGGCATCCAAGTCAAGCGTTTCGTCACTCTCTCGCTCTGGACACTGCACATCCTCGTCACCGTCGCCTATGCCGACGCTCCCGCAATCCTCTGCCCCAACTCAGACAATCTGTCAAGAGCCCTGTTTACATGGTCACCTTATACAATTGTTGTGCTGATGAGTATTGTCATCGCGGCACCAGTTAGATTACTTGCGTTCAGACAGTTGGGAGAGAACTTCACATTCAGACTCGCCAAGCCGAAAGTGTTGGTGAAGACTGGGTTGTATGCTTATGTACAACATCCAAGCTATCCCACAAATTGGCTTATTCTCACATCCAATGTTGCGTTGCTCCTGAGGCTAGACGGTATTTTGGGTTGTCTGTTGCCAAGCTGCGTGGTCAGATGGGGAATGTGGAGTGGTGGACTCAGGGTGTGGCCAACGCTATTGGTCATAATGGGGGTATTTGGACTTTTTGGAGTCGGGATTAGGGTTAAAGATGAGGAGGCGATGTTGAAGAGGGAGTTTGGAAGAGAGTGGGAGAAGTACCATCGCAAGACGAAGAGATTTATTCCGGGAATATTTTGATCGGAGAGTCAACGGAAATAGAAAGCCCTCGAGACAACAATCCAGCGTATAAGTTATTATTACAGAATGCCGCACTGTGTAGATTATCTTGATAAAAGACCTGAGGCGATAATTGGTGCACAAGGTCTTAAGGAGACCATACACCGTCGAAATGAAACGCCGCCTCAAAATCGGCATTACGCCCACCAATCTGAAATTTGGGATGCACGATCACCACCTCAATGCCCATCTCCTTCCCATCAGCAACCAACTCCTCCTCGACCCTTCTCAGCTCGCTAATTCGCTCAGGAGAAACATTGGGCTTATCCACAAATCCGATGATAACCTTCTCTAGCAAGGGAAAGTTCGACCTTTCCCCGTGTTTCTGCTGCTCCAGCAGCTCGCGGATTTGATCCAAAATATCCGGTTCACACCTCGCGACTGCGAGAAACTCTAAGGAAGGCGGGAGAACATTTACGAGTCTCGGCTTCCCATCTCCATCTCCTTCGTCTTCGTCTTCATTTTCATCGTTAATTTGGGAGTCAGCTTTCAGCAAGCAGTCATAATCCATGGCCACCCTCCTGAGCTTCTGAAACCCAGCCAATGACCCAATAGCCTCCTGCTCTTCATCGTTGCCCATATAACCCCCCTGATCGAGAACCGTCAATTCTTCAAGACACCCCTTCAAGTGCTCAATCGCCCTCCCCAGATACTGGGGAAGGAAATCTTCACACCCGACTATCGAGCCGCCATTTTCATAGAACAGTTTCTTGAGATCAGGGAAACACCGAAGGATATTAATGAGGGCGCCAGAAGCGATATTACTACTGTTGATTTGCAGATCTTTGGTCTGATATCGTTGCGAGGAGGGTGTGAACTCGTCGTCTGAGGCCATGTGGATCCGTGCCGCAGTTACAGACGGCAGGGCGCAGAATGGCAGGATTGCTTCCATGGACATGCCGGATTCGGTATCGCAGTACGCCATCGAAACAGTCTTCAGATTCTTCAAAGCCTGTTGGGAGTGAGGGGTGAGCTGCTGATGCGCTGCGTACGCGAGAGCGGTGTTAATGTACCCATTACGCACGAGGTCCGGGCCGTGGTATGATGCAATTACGATTTCTTCGAGACCTGGGAGGAGTAAGATGAGAAGTGCAGCAACCGCTTGCCATTTTCCAGCTTCTAGGTCGTCGATCCAGTTCGACATCTCGCTCTCAAAATGATCTAGAACATCAGCTCTGAGACCCAATCTTTCGATCTCCTGGCGAGAGAGACCGCCCATCTCCATACTCTCCTCCTCGTCAATTTCTGATACAACGATATCCTTGACTAAGGCACCCAACTGGGGTTTTTCTAGAATGGTACGGAGGAAGGCAGGTAATGCTCCGTACTTGGTTTGGACGAATGTTCTGTACAGAACAGGCGTAGCGATGCTGTTCAGCCGACGAGAGCAGAGTACAAGAGACGCGAGGAATTTCGTCCCTCGCTCAGTGACAGAGCTGTAGTCTGGGATGTAGCCATTTGTATTTACCCATTCTGCGATTTCGAGGAGGATGTCATCGGAGAGCTTGTAGAGGGACATGGTTGCGAGATTCGATCAATGAAAAGAAGGCAGGCTAGAGATAGAGGTAGATATGTGATTTATACAGATCGATACGAGGCAGCACGGTCACCAACGGCGCAGCACGCCTCGGTGCTTGGCACGACGCGGAGTCACGTTCACACCGCTGATGTGCCGGTCATGTGCTAGGCAGAAGCCCACTTTGTCCTCCCGAAAATCATTTTCTGGTTTATCAACCCATAGATGTCGGTGATAAAGTAAGTGCCGGATGGCTGATGGTGTGACGTTGCCTATAGGTAGGTTAATGAAACGAGGCTACCACAGGGCTGTTCTCAGAAATACTTCTGCGCCCCAATTTGCGTAAAGTTCATACCGGGTGCTTCCCAAGGCGGTGGGTTGTCAGTATGGCACGCAGCTTTTAGTGAGGAAATGAAAAGTTCAAACTTTTCTCATGTGGGAAAATCCTCATAACGGGAAGGCTAAGAACTTTGAAATCTCGGTTGGGATATCCTCAAATCTACTAAGAGCGTATCTCATTTACGACACCGATGTCCGTCGACCAGACTTTCTTGGACCCCTACTCATAGCCCTGAATATCAGCGGGCTTGAAGCTTCCTAAGAATCGAGACCTCAATGGTTATCCGCTCTTGTCTCCTTCGAGTGCCAGCAGCCGTTCCATTGTTAGAGAGCCAAAAGCTTCCACCTCAGCTGACGTTATTCACGTGATCTTTTCGTTTTGTTGTTGATGATCGCATCCCGCAAGGGTAGGCATGCTTTCCATACCTTGGGATTTTCCAGAGGTATATATTCTGTACCTTATAAATTCCAAGCCGTATACTGATCATACATTACAAAATTCACACCATAATTTCTCTATTGTACCTGCCAGCATAGGACCCGCCTCACCGCCCGGCAGAATCCCCCTCCAAAATTTCCCTAAACTGCCTCTCTCCTTCTCCCCAACTTCTCACCACAACACAGCATACCACAATGGATGACCCAGCATTCCTCCCCGATGAAACAGGGGGAGTAAATATCAACACACAAACCATCCTCCTCCACGCCTCGAACCACGACGTCCAAGCTTTGAAACCGCTCCTTCGAATACCAGGCAACGCAAGCGTGCAAGATCCAGAGACTGGCTTCACGCCACTGCACGCTGCGATTGCTGCTTGTGGGCCCGCCAAATCTTCCACTTCCGAGTCAAATATCGCCTCCAATACAATTTCAAAGCAGACAGAGGATGGGGAAGCCGAAGCAGAAGAACAAGATGCAGAGGTCGACATAGAAAAAGCGAAGAATACAGTAGAAGAATTGTTCTTCAGTGGAGCAATATGGAATGATCTGGATAAGAATGGCGAGACTCCGGGATGTCTGGCTTGGAGATTGGGGCAGGGGGAGTTGTATCAGATGTGTGTGAATGCTGGCGTGAGGGCGGAGATGCTGTTGGGGTTGATGGGTGGGTATGAGGAGCTTGCTGGGGAGGATAGTGAGGAGCAGGACGAAGTCGGCCTCGAAGATGGAGACACGGAGAAAAATAATGGGGAAAATGGGGATACCCATACGGAAGAACATGAGCTTGCGGTGGGGCCTGCAGAGGAGGGAGCAGAGAAGAAGGACGTCAATTCCGAAGATTACTTGAAGTCAAATCTAACATTCACGGAAACGGCATTACTAGATGAGGATTCAAATGGGGTGATGATGGCGTGGGAAACAGATATAATGCGGAAATCCGTCGACCTCCTCCTCCCAGACCTACCTCCAGAAAAACGAATTCTAAACATTGGCTTCGGAATGGGCATCATCGACTCCATGTTCGCAACCACAAAACCTTCCACACATCACATCATCGAAGCGCACCCTGCCGTCCTATTGAAACTGCAACAACCAGACGCGGAATTCGGGCCAAAATGGGAACAACGTGCCGAGGCAGGGCGATATAAAATCCACGCGGGCAAATGGCAAGATATTTGCCCAAAACTGTTAGAAGCAGGAGAAGTCTATGACGCAATCTACTTCGACACTTTTGGCGAAGATTATTCCCAGTTAAGACTCTTCTTCACGGAGGTGGCGCCCGGGCTGCTAGATGAGAAAGGCAGGTTTGGGTTCTTCAATGGGCTGGGGGCTGATAGGAAGGTTTGCTATGATGTTTATGGGAAGGTGGTAGAGCTGGATTTGTGTGAGGCAGGGATGGATGTTGAGTGGACTGATGTTGAGGTGGGGGAGTTGGGTGACGAGGGAGAGGGGCAGTGGAAGGGTGTTAGGAGACGGTATTGGACGTTGGGGCTCTATCGGCTACCTGTTGCCACCTTCCTGGGTTGATGATGGACAACTGGGAAAGTTTTGAGTGTGATACCCTTGCATTGGTGGAGTATGGCTAGAATAAAAGAGAAAGGCATTCGTCGATGGGATGAATTGGAAGACTCTGCTGCGAGAAGCCTCGACTCATGCACACGTGCCTCAAAAGAACGAATGTACGAAAAGCCAGGCTGTTCAAAAGTATCCTCCACATATCCATTCCGCCACTTGTCCTGCCCCAGTCCCGACACCACCCTTTTCCCTTTGCCCCTCTCCAGCATAGACAATCTACTTGAAGTTTTCGGGGTGCAAGATACCCGCCATATTCCCCTCCTTGACTCGCTTCAACGTCAACGCAGCAATAAGGGCAGCGCCGACACCACTTCCATCCTCTGCTGCAAGAATCTCAATGGGGTCTTCCTCCTTAGAATTCTTCTTGGGCGCCCAGTCGAGAATCTCTCGCAGAGCTTGAGCACCACGTTGCTTAAAGTGTGGGTACTTGTTGAAGACAGAGCCGTCGGCGCCAACGTGACAGGTCTCGTAGCCCTTCTTTGTGGCAATGGCTGCTACGCCACAGGAGGACAGGCGCGCTGCACGTGTTCCGATCAACTCGGCGAGGCGGCGGATGAGCTCTAGTTCCGAGTGAGTGGCAATTATGCCGAGTTTATTCTGGAAGAGGTCGCCTGTCTCGGACAAGTTCTCAAAGGGGTCTTCTTCAACCATAGAGAGGAAAGACGAGTCGAGGGTGTATGCTTTGCGCAGCTTGTCGATGTTCTGGCCTTCGAAGATGTGGACTTCCTTGTTGTCGTGAAGGTCGACGAGGACGAGACGGAAGAGCTCGCCGAGGTAGAGACCTGCAATCATCTTTTCAAACGCTTGTTGGCCAGGACGGGGGGAGTCTTTGTCAATGATGATGTCGTAAGGAGTTCGGGGGAGGACTTTGTGCTCGTTATCGAAGGCGCCCCATTCGCAGTTGATGGCCATTGGTGTGTCGGGTGGCAAGTTCATGTGTGCTAGCTTGGGGATTGACCCGCAATTTTCCATGTAAGCTGCATTGCAACCTGTGCCAAAAATACAGCCAATCTTCATCTTGGTATCAGTGTAGGCTGAGGCGATCAGAGTACCTGTGGTATCGTTGATCAAAGCGGTGAGCTTGATGGGAACACCCTTCACTAGTATTAGCCAAGACCAATCGTGGTGAGCAGCTACCATACTCTCTTCGCAATAGCAGCCTCAAACATAGGTACAACGTTGTGTCCTTCAACACCATCGATATCGAACCCCTTGGTCCAGCGTTGAAGAACGCCATGATCTATGTAATCCTGGGTCGCTGGGTATGAGAACGTGAAACCAAGGTTCAACTTTTCCAGATCTTTGGTGCCATGGTGAGATTCGACGAATTGCTGAAGACAGTCTGCAATGTATTCCCAAAGCTCATCTGAAGTGCCAGACTTCAGCTCCTCTGGCATGCGGTATTTGGATTGAATGATGTCGAATTCGGATTTCTCGTCGGTCAAGATGATCTCGCAAACTCGAAGGTTAGTTCCTCCCATGTCCAGAGCAAGGAAAGTTCCAGTCTCATAACCAGTTGGGAAAGCCATACACCATGTTGGGTTCATGGGCTGTGATAGGTCAGTTTCTACTGAGAGGATCCACAAGGCTGAGGAAATGTACAATACTACCACCCTCAACACTCAAACCTGATAAATGTCAGAAGATAACTTTCAAGGTAGGAGACAGTCTCACCTTTAGCGAGCTCCTTAACGAAATGCTCCGTGATGGACTTGAGCTTGGCGGTGTCAACTGCGAACATCTCCTCTAAGCGCTTGATCTCCTGCATGAGATCCTTTGGCACATCGGCCATGGAGCCTGTAATGCCATGTTAGTAAGAATCTGGAAGGACATTAAAGCAAAATGAAGCCACGGCGGACGGAAGGAGGTAAGGCTGGCAGGGGTCGCCCAAGGTCACACATGCCACTGGCACGTGACAGCGGTGAGATGGGCGAGATTGCTAATTGCTTTTTCTCCACCACCGCATGACCTGAAAATGCCTCCACCTGTTGCGAAATGGTGAGTTGGGTGGGTGCATGACTGTGCTGATGATGTATGAATGTTCAAAGACACCCGGAAAGGCGAGCTACGCGACACCTCCGCCTCGAATCGAATGTCCCAAACGAATCTGTGGACATCCTGGGAAGAAATGATCAGGAGCTAGGAAATGCTTAACGTGTACAGGGTTTGTAGTCTTTGTTCGGTGATTGCGACATCCTGGAACAACCAGTGCATGCGGTGTCGGTTCGTGTTGCTCGGATATCAAAGTTGTTGAGGACTTCTCTCAACCTTGAAGCGACGAAATAGTCGGGGGATGTGACGCAAGAACAACAAAGTGAATTGGAAATCTCCAAAATTTCGTAACAAGGTGAAATATATACACATGCCTTTCCGCGAAGGCGGCTTCCTATAGAAAGGAGTCGGAGTCAGCAGTTTCACAAGAGTACATTTTGCGGCCGCCGTCCCACGCATTTTGAAGCCACCGTCTGACATATCGTGAAGCCTATGCTCTCGAGACTCGTCTGGAGAACACAGACCTCGCAACACATGCCAGACAGGGGGGCATGACCCGGGAGTTACACGTACCTGGGACCAAGGCCGACCATCTTGATATATTCCTAGGGTTCCGGTGTTGAGTTTGGATGAGAGTGCCCCGCACCAAGAGGTTTTCAGCTGAACTTCGGGAGCCACAAACACACCAGCAAACGCTCTGAGGATGCCAATTGAAACGAGGAGAAGAGATTGTACAAAAAAACATGCGATGAAAAAGGAACTGGGAGGTGTTGCGCCTTTTTCAAGAGATTTGTGGTGGGATGGTTCAAGCAGTTCCGTCACCGACGTGGGGCAGCTTGACCCTGGGCAAAAGTTAAAGGGGCTTAGTCATCCCCACGCTTCCGACCTAGTGGAAGCACCCCAGCCACACCTGAACTTTGTGATATGGAAGCCACAGTCATGATTTGGTCTAGCTGTGGCTGGTGCGACACTCTGAGGACACCTTGGAGAGACGTAAGCTACAAGCCCAAGATCTAGTATTTCTTGTGCACATCACAACCTCACAGTCGCCAACCCGCGAAACCTGTCTTTTCCACCTCTATTCGGTTCTTCGGCGCGTCTGCCTCCATCCTTCAAAATGAGGTTGCTGGCAATTGGGGCCGCCGTCCTTTCCTTTGCGTCGACAACTCTCTGCGCAGAGAAGGGGAATTTAACCAAACCACTTGCTTCACGATTAATCCTACCTTCGACCTTCAAGCCTCCGCAGAACTTCAAGAATGTCAACCTTGTGCACATCATCAACCTCGAGAAGAGCTACCCCAAAGAGCAGATCAATGTGGTGATTGAGAATATTGCGGGCACGCCCCAGGATGAATACTTTATACCCTTCACCTCTCAGCAGATGGCGACAATTGGTGGACTGGAGGTGAAGGACAAGAAGAATCTGGATAGAGGTCTGTTCGAGGTCAGGGCTGTCGAATTTGATCCAGAAAGGTACGAGCATAGAGGGAATATGCTGCCAGAATTCCTCACTTACACTTCTCGCAGCGATACCCAATTCTACCGTGTCCGTTTGGCTCAGCCACTTGCGCCAAAGGCACAAATAACTCTGGGAATCACATACTCCTACCTGTCCGCTCTCCACCCCCTTCCTAAACACATTGGCCAACAAGAGTCGCAATTCTTGGTCTACGAATTCTCTGCATACTGCCCCTCGGCTTATGTCACACTGAAGCAGAAGACCGAAGTCAAATTCCCATCTGGAAATGTCCCAGAGTATACTATCGTCCCGGGAGGCGAGGTAGAATCCCCGGTCAAGGCTGGATCGAAGTTCACATATGGATCATTCGGCGAGGTTCCAGTAGGTGCAGTGGAGCCAGTCAAGGTCCGATACGAATTCACAAAACCACTGATCCACGTTTCTCGACTGGAGAGGGACATTGAAGTCAGTCATTGGGGTGGAAACGTCGCTTTCGAGGAACGGTACACTCTCCACAACCACGCAGCAAATCTCACCAACCAATTCTCTCGTGTACAATGGGCAGCTCAGCAATACTACAACCCATCATCCACCGCAATCAAGGAGCTCAAGTTCCCGCTCAAGGTTGGGAGTTTGGACCCATACTTCACTGATGTGATCGGAAATGTCTCTACCTCGAGATTCAGAAGCAACAAGCGCGAAGCAAACCTCGAGATCAAGCCAAGATATCCAGTCTTCGGAGGATGGAACTACCCATTCCGTGTTGGATGGAATGCGGACCTCAAGAAGTTCTTGCGCAAATTGAGCACCGGTCAAGGATATGTTTTGAATGTGCCGTTCCTCGAGGGCCCAAAACAGCCGGAGGGAATGGAGTATGAGCACATTGAGCTTCGCGTCATTCTCCCAGAAGGCGCTAAGTACGTTCCCTTTGTATCCTGGAGATATCCTTACTAACCTGTTGCAGGAACGTCAAGTACAGCACCGCCGTCCCACTCACCAGCGAAGCAATCTCCCTCCACCGGACATTCATGGATACCACCGGCCGAACAGCACTCACACTGAAAGCCATCAACATCGTCGACGATTTCAGAGACCGAGAATTGATCGTCACATACGACTACCCTCTCCTCGCAGGTCTGCGAAAACCACTGGTGATTTTCGTTACTGTCTTTGGTCTCTTTGCTGCGGCGTGGGCGATTGGGAGTATCAATGTGGGTATAAAGGGCAAGAAATAAAATAAGGGTGCAAAATGGGGCGAGATATTTGTACAGCTATGTAGAATATAAAAGCCGGGGGTTTAGTGGTCAACCGTTTGTTGCAGAGTTCCTCGGTGCAATGCGTACTCGAGATGTCCAAACGGGAGGCGCGAGGTGAGACCTAGATATCGTTACGTGAAGAGCGAGATCTCAGCGAAATCGCACAGGTTTCCAGCAGCTCAACTCTTATCTCAACGCCCTGCATCCCAGATATTTGGACGAGGCTGTCCATAGGCATTCATATTTCGAAATGTTGTTTGAGGACATCAGAAAATGGAATATGTTATCGCAGCAACTGTTTCTCGTGCTCGTGGATGGCGAGCAAAGCTCTCTTCCCCTCCAACTCACGACCTCCAATGGTCATGCCCCGAATATTGTTTCTTCCCAATTTGCACTGCCTGCGCATGGAGAATATCATACGCAGTCACAAGATGGAAGACATCGGGGATTACCCAGTTGAAAGCGTAAGCTAACTCCTACCAGTCTTTCGCATTCTTCCGCTCTTATCTCGAACAACCCCAGCCTCAAACGAAGAAATCATCACGAAAAGAAAAGGTGCTTACTCTTTCCGGTAAACGTGACCGGCCCAGCCCCGGTCTTAAGCACGATCTCTGCATCATCGTTCTTATTAATATCCTCTTCCTACGTCCCATTAACGCCATATTAATCCAAACCCGGTGGAAGGCAAAACCCGTTGCCTTTATAGTTTCAAGAAATCTAATCGTCAATATATCTCTATGTATACTAATACAATCCACCCAAATCTCTCCCAACAAGACTCAAAACCAGCAGCAACCTCACATCCCCTCAATATTCCACATCGGCGCCCTTCTAACCTCAACCTCTATCCCCACATTCCCCACACTTCCTTCTCCATCCACATCCACATCAGCCACACTAAAATCTACAACCCCTCTCCCAACCAATCTCTGCACATCCGTCCTAACGCTCCCATTAACCGCCTGCACCTTCCTGTAGAATAGCTCTGTATCGGGTTCCATGCCCAGTGCGCCTTGTGCACTCACACCACCGAACCTCATTTCCTGCTGCGTACTCCCAAAACTAAGCGATTTATTAACATCCCCGGGCGTCAGCAGTAAGGTTGCATTGCCGGTTTGCGTGTTCGTGAGAGACGTGCCGGCAAGTGTGAGGACCAGGCTTGAGGATTCTGGGAGCACGGCGAAGGGTTGAAGACCGCTAGGATAGATTGTTGATCCTGATACGGACTGGATTTTGCTTCGGCTCAGGGAGGCCAAGAGAATTGTTGAGCCATTGCTGAGAGGGGTTGCGGTAGTGTTTGCGAAGAATGGGTAGGAGTAAGTGTTTTGGTAAGGGTGGAGGCCGAAGGAATTGTCTTTGCCGGTTGTGGCGATGGTGTTTAATTGTGTGTTACCGAAGACGCCGATGGTGCCGTTGTCGGTGTGAGAGAGGGCTTGTGACCATTGGGCTTGCCAGGTTGAAGTACCATTTGCGGTTTTGAGAGTCGAGACTATGGTGAGCGTGCGTTGGACCGAAGTGGAGTATGTGAGAGTTTCGTTGGACCCGGTAGAGTTTTTGGAAAGGGATTGAGAGACGAGGATTCGAGGTTGTGGAGCGGTGATTGATGGAAGGGTGCCGGTGGTTATACTGCCCTCCGCGTCAAGCCATATAAAGATTTTACCGGTGAGAGACCAGCTGTTTCCAACGGAATCAGAGAGCGTTGCGGCGCTGCCGCCGTTGTCTTGCAAGCCGGCTACTTTCATGGTGAAGGTATGTTGCTTCCCATCGCAAAGAAGTGGAAGCCATGGAGATATGTCGATTTCGTACTCTTTCAAATCGAAGGCATCGATGCCGACAATCGGACTCCAGAATGCAGGCACCACGCCTCCTGTGAATATGATTGCGTACGGCCATTGGACACCAGCCAGCATCCCATCGATGTATAGTTGAACTTCTCTGAAAGGCGAGAATCCGAACGTTGTCCCGCCCTCTGCCGTAAATGTTGCGTTGTCTGATTGGAGGACATTGCTCCACCAGAATTCTTCATCCCCTTGACCGCAGGAAGAGATGGAGAATACAGCACGATTCGCATTCTGTGGAAAGGATATAGTATTAGTTGCATTGGCTGCTGGCACGCTGAAGACACTAGGCATAGAGGCATTCAAGCCCAGTCGCGCAGAGATCGGTAGGATCATGTCGGCGGCATTCACTGATTCTTTGGCATTGAGGAATGTTACCGTTAGAGTTGTGTTGTAAGATCCTGTCAACTGCTCGAATCAGTACCGTCCAAACTTGAAATAGGACAGAAGAAACTTGCATTTGTGGTGACTTGATTAGGTAGGTCAAATATCAAAACTTGGGGAGATTTCCAGAAATACATGAGACTGGGTCGCAATTAGAGAGAGCCTTTATCCTTGACGAGAGGACATACTGTGACATATCTTTGACATATTCCCACACGATTCCACTCTTCTTTGGCTCAGCAGTCGAGGTACGAAACACTTCGGTATCTCCGAAATACCTGAGGGAATATCAACCATCTTTCTTTACTCCATGGAAGATCCGTATTGAGCTTACATTAAAGCAAGTCTATCAAACTGAGCTCCTTGAGAAACGACAGAGAAATTCATCGTCACTGTATTCGCATTTCCCATACATGCCGGCGGGGTATAATTTCCTATTCCACCCATCAGCGCCTGGCTTTCAGCGACGTTTCATCCTTCAACACACCCACAAACGGTTTCCCAAAGGAAGTAGCAAAGGAATGCTCCATCAGTTTAACTTGGCAGCTACTTCCACTCGCATCTGTCACGTTCGTATTTGCAACCGTTCCATTCGATTCAATCAACCCAGTCGATCCGAGGACCGGGGGAAACACCTGGAAAACTTGAACAGGAATGGTCGAGGCTGGAGAAGCTGAGGGCGCGGAGGAGGAATCTGTCAAGGAAGAGATCGTCGTCGTAGTAGAGAAGGTCATAGTTGTGGATGCGGTGGTCGTCATGGCATCTTGAGGATCGGCAGATCTGGGTATGAAAGCACTCGGCAGCTGATTCTCTGGAGATGGGGACCGAAGGAGGAGCAGAGCAGAGCCGAACAGAGCTATGCTGCATGACAGGATGACGACGTAGATCTTGGTGAAGAGTTTCCTGAAAGAGTCCTGCTTCTTGCGTTCCCATGGTTCGTAACTTTCTCCATCGAAGTCCTCCCACTTCGCAGTCATCTCATCAAGAGATGTCCGCTTTTTTCCCAAGACCTCGTACCGAGGCAACATTTCCCCACATTTCCTGTCTCCAGCCATGACACTTCTTCCAAGAGGATCTCACACCATGGCCCGCGGCCATGTTTATACTCCCTGCCCTCTAAATAAAACGTAGCGCGGCCAGGGTCCGGTAGACGTCAGAGCGGCCGTGCCAGCCTTGTCACGCTTGCTTAAGGCCTGTCCTGCCACTGCCATATGACCTCCATATACCATACACCATTCCAAATTTACTATTCCCACGATAACAGCGCCTTCTGCAAATAAGCCCTCTATCTGAAATAAAATGCCGCTAGTAAGGATCGCTCTTTTTATATGATTTTAAAAGCTAGTCGCGATTAACTTTTGACTAGGGCCTTTTAAATCTAAGGTAAATGCCTAGAAGTAACTACTAGACCCTCGGTTTATTTCTTAATGCTTAATTTCTCTGTAATATTCTATAATCTAACTCTTAGACAAAATCTTGGAATTAAGTAAAAGCGTAATACTTTTAAGTCTAAGGGGAGTTTCGTGAGCCTGGAGGACCCGAAGAAAAGGAAAGAAGCGAATACGACTGGAAAACTGTGTGGAGTGAAGTTTAGCTGCACGGACCTCTAAAACCTTTGACAAAAACAGCTGAATGGTGTATGGTGGTGAAAGGACAGGCCTTTAGTCCGGAGTATCAGATTTGAGACACCCGATGCACCGATGCCGTCGCAGATCTCCCTCCGCCGTATGACGCGGGATCACCTTATCTGAAGAGATCCCCATCTATGTAGCCAGATATTCCATTCCGCATTGGGGTTCGTGATAAATTGCATTTGAGATGTTGGAAGGAGAAAGGCGCGAGGTGGAGTCATGAGAAAGAGCACGCCACGCGAATTTCGCTTCTTTCCCTTTTGTGGGGAGTTCAGGGGCTCCTCGCCTAAGTTACGGGCGGTGCTCGCTTAGACGAACATTACCCCCTTCAACATTCCGAGTTGCAGACAGGTACCGTACGAACCATAGACCTAAACCTTCTTTCGAACCATAAGACAAAAACTCGTAAATAAGGTTGTACATCCGGCATTGAAAACACGCGTAGACAGATAGCGGGTTTGTGAATCGATGCCCGCACGTGAAATTCAAGGAAAGTTCACGAGTTGAAAATGAAGTGTATAGTAGCGAAGAATATGTATATGTTAAAAAAGAACGGAAACAGAAGACGAACTATAGTACAAATTAAATCCAAGCTTAATCATATTGCCCTTCAACCTCTTTCAGCCTGTTCCTGCCTCCAAATCTCAGGCGAGAACGATCCAAATTCAATCAAGCAAGGACAGCGATAATAGTCGTGACGGCCCCGTAAACCGCTTTGGCATCGTTGATAAGTTCGTTGAGCAAATTGCCCCCTATCACCGCATTAGCATCTACTCGAGCGAACTCCTAAAGGCAAAACAACAAAAAGAAACAGTAAACTGATATGCAAGGAAGACTCACAATCAATGCTCCCATGCGCATGCCCGGTCCCGTAATTGGAAGCCACCCAAGCACGCCAATCATAGGCAATCTCAGGATTATTGACCCATCGATCAATATTATTGTCATTTGTCGGGCCACCAAAGATCGGAATGCCACTATAGTTAGGACCCACAGTGCCAGACTGCATCAGCGTGATGGCAGTGCCATCCGCATTAACGAATAGCCATCCGATCTGCCAGTTAAATTGAATTGCAATATGGTCGTGCATGCTGGACATCCAATGTGCGTTGCCGTCGCTGTAGAGTGTGACGCTGCTGGAGCCGGAGATATCCGTGAGCGAGATGGGGTTCCAGGTCCAGGTCAGGCTAGAGGGAAGGCCGCCTACATGCACCCAGCTTTGCCCGGCGTGGTAGTAGATCATGCCGTTGCTAAAGTCGTTGAAGCGACCTCCTGCTGAGCCAGAGCCGGTTTCATCGGTAATGGGGTAACCGATTTCGCTCTTTGTGTCGCCGATCGAAAGCCAGCGCTGATAAATATCGCCGTAGATGAGGAAGGCGCCGCGTTGCCCGGTCCAGTAGATGGCGCGGTTGTCGGAGAAGACGTTGTAGCGGATGTATGTTCCGGAGTTGTCTGTTGTGCCGAGTTCATCGGTCTGCGGGGAATTAGGATAGGATTGTCAAAAGGTGGTTCAAGAAGAGGGAAGAGCTTTCGATTGTCAGGGGACAATAGACGGGGCACATACGAGAGGGTAACCGTAACTGCCTCCTTGAGCCTTCCACTTCAGCCAGATTGCGCCGTAGACAGCGTGAGCGCCGTGTGAAACGTCATGGCAGTAGATGGAACCCCAGGCGTAGTCTTTGTGCACTGTACCCCAGGAGGGGTCCGAGATGAACCCGCTTGCAGGTGTTCCCACGTTAACTTTGAGTAAGGTGGCTTTGGCGTCGATGAGATCCTGGCAAGTTATGAGGTGGATTGGGATTTTTGGCCAGCCGGGGAGGAGGTGAAATTCTGGATTGGTTACTGTAGAGGAATTGTGAGTGAGAGTAAACGTTCTATGGGTAGTCTACTCACATGGCTTTGTGAGCGACTGGATGGTTATATTGGGGTTGATGGTTGGTTTCACATCGGTGAAGTTTGAGGCGGAGAATTTGGCAGTTGCGGTATTGTTCTGCGGTGCAGTCGTTGATTGAGCAGGAAGGACAGTGGATGAAGTTGGTGTGGAAACCGTCGAGGTTGCATTGGAGGAAGTAGGAGCAGCTTGGGACAATCCAGCCAAAAAGAGAGTAATGAGTGTGGTAGAAAAGAACATTTTGATGAACTTTCAGGCTTTTGATAATGAAGGTGGTTTTTCTTGCTGATGGACTTCTTTCCTGGTGGCGACCAACGCTTCGTTTTATACAACTCGAGAGCCATGTCGACTCCTCTCTCCATCTCTCTCAGGAGTCTCCAATTTCCGATATCTTGCGCACTCTGCTTAGGGTGAAGCTGTTCGGACCCCGTAGATGTGAAAGTCTTGATTAAATGCATGGGTTCACACGCCATCTCGTTTCAATACAAACACCACATAATGGAGTTGAGTTGGGGTGTTCGTGATGCATAGCTGTAAACTTTTCCCAACAGCCAAGCTAATTGGATAACAGAATGCTCTGTTGCACACAGCTTGTCCCCGCTGGAATGTCCATCGGACATAAGGTGAGGCTGTGAAATCCCAAATTTGGACAGAATGACTTTTGATGATAGCGGGAAGGAAGGGAGGCGCAGTGTCAAGATGGCTTTGAGCTTTTAAGATGATGCCGAAAGTTCTGGATTCGCGGTAAGTTTAAATGAAAGCTGGAGAAGACTTGAGGTATTGGAGCTATCGGTGCTCAAAGGATTTGAAGGCTGAAGCAAAGCCTGGAGCCGGAGAGGCTACCAACCGATGATGACGCCATGGAGGATCAAGATTCAAAGTCCCAGTGGCGGGGAAAGCTGAAACTACAAATGAAAGGTTGTTCATTGGTGATGACAAAATCAATCAGCCTCTTGGGTAAAGGGCAGTCTGCCTTAAGCTTGCGGCTGCGGCTTACCTCCGATGAGACGCAGGGACGCGAGCCGCCTGAACGTGGTGCAAGCCACAAGCCATGCCAGAGCGTCGTTGTGGTCTCATTAGATAGAGAAGTGCAGGTGATTTGGGGAAATGCCGTTGTGTGTGAGACACCTCTGCATCGGTCGATGATTGGTTCAAGCGAGAAGGAAGAAAAGGGGTTACCCGCCTTTGCGTTACCCAATCATAGCTGCGGCAATAGGTTCTGCCCCCGGGTTGATTCACACTCCACTATGTCCAGAGGCAGTGCAGGCGCTTGATTGACGATACATTTCCATAGTTCAATTTCAAAAGACAAGAAAGATCTGAGTTGGGATGCGTCACGTGAGACCGCCTTTTGGCAGGAGAGGAAACATCTAGGAGGCGGATGTATACATAAGATACTGTCAACCGCAATGGCTTGTCAATTTACTGAGGCACTCGTAATAGAATAAGAAATCAGGAGTAGTTGATATTTATGTTGAATACGATCACGTGGCTAGGGCCGAGGACGGACTTTGATATTGTAATGAGGACAGTAGGGTATGGCTCAACATGTCTCCCCGTCTAAGTTCCTCTTGCTTTCCGTGATTCTTGTAGCTTTTCCCTCTAGTGCCTCACTAATTAAGATTACATAAGATATCATCCAGAAATTGTAACCACGTGCAGTTTTGCCTCTGGTCGTTCTCCAATATACGTAGCTGCACGCATAACGCATACCTCCGCGGCACCCCACTAGATAAGATAAGAGCTGTCAAGAGCGCATGCCAAGTTTTCACTTCACATGGGCGCCAGAGGGCATGTCATTGGTCAATTGGTCCCAACGATCGCCTCGCTGCTAGGTGCTGCTAGGTGCTGCAAAATCGGGGTTGTTTGCTGGTTAGCTCAGGCTGGCGTGCGGTGACAGGCCAGCGACGGAACTCTGCTGGTGAAGCGGGGATCAAGAGCTGAGCAGCAGACAGCAGCAGACAGCAGACAGCAGACAGCAGCAGCTCCCGTTTCTCACCCACCTCAACCTTCACTCCGCAGCTCGCTGACTCTGTTGCACCGACCAGGTATTTCCCCCATCAGAACATCACCAGCACGTCACACAAATATCTGCAATCACCTCCCGCGACTCAATTGATCGCAACACGCAATTCTCCCAAGAATGAAGACCAAATGCTAATCGTCGAAGACCTCAGGACCAAGCAAGTATCCTGGCGACCCACCGCGCGCGGCGTGCGCTACAAATTCGAAGCCGGCCAGATCATCATGAAGTTCGGCGAGCAGCTGCGCTCCAGCGTCATCAAGGAGTACGAGTGGTCGTACATCGACTACGAGGGCCTCAAAGCCCTGCTGAAAGTCGAGGGCCCGAAAGGAGAGAAGAAATGGACCGAGGAGAAGGAGACAAAGTTCATCGACGCACTCGATGTGCAGTTGGATCGTGTGTATACGAGGCAGAAGAGCAAGGCGGGCGAGATTGACAGACGCATTGAGTCGAGTCGGAGGGAGGTCGATGATGTTGTTGCTAGGCTCGACAGCAGAGGCCCCGTGGGCAGAGATGGCCAACGAGAGGATGACGATGCCCCGACTGAGGAGGAGTTCATGATGCTCGAGCAGGATCTGGGGGATATTATTGCGGACGTTCATGATCTGGCCAAGTTCGTGCAGGTCAACTATACCGGGTTTCAGAAGATTATCAAGAAGCATGACGTGAGTCTGCCACCTGCTGGGGGGAGAGGAGCGGAGCTGACGGTTGCAGAAAAAAACTGGTTGGATTCTCAAGCCAGCCTTTGCCACGAGACTGAAGAAGAGCCCTTTCTTCAAAGACAACTACGATGCGGATATTGTCAAGCTGTCGAGGCTGTTTGATATCGTGCGAACGAGGGGTAATCCAGTCAAGGGCGACAGCTCTGCTGGTGGCAGTCAGGGCAATTTCATTCGACAGACCACCAAGTACTGGGTGCACCCGGACAATATCACTGAATTGAAGCTTCTCATCCTTCAGGTCAGTCTCCGCCTCCCCCGGCAGTGCCTGTGCTAACCATTTGCAGCATCTGCCTGTCCTCGTCTTCAACCCTAACAAAGAATTCGAAGCTAAAGACTCTGCTATTACATCTATATACTATGATAATCCTAAGACCTGGGAACTGTACGAGGGTCGTCTCAAGAAGTCGGAAGGTGCTGAGGCAATTCGAATGCGATGGTACGGAGATGTCGATACCGAGACAATCTTCGTTGAGAGAAAGACACATCGAGAGGATTGGACTGGAGAGAAATCCGTCAAGGCGCGATTTAACTTGAAGGAAAAGAACATGAACGCATATCTCAGCGGGAAAATGCTGCCCGAAGCCATTTTCGAAAAGGCACGGAAAGAGGGCAAGAAACCTGCGAGGCAGATTGACGAAGACGAGAGACTAGCAAAAGAGATCCAGTACTCGGTGTTGAAGCATGGATATGTTCCTGTCTGCCGATCATTCTACAACCGTACGGCTTTTCAGCTACCTGCCGACGCACGAGTCCGTATTTCCCTGGATACTGAGCTTACCATGGTTCGAGAGGATAACTTGGACGGACGAAAGAGAGCCGGCGACAATTGGCGACGAACAGATATCGGTATCGACTTTCCATTCTCCCAGCTTCCACCCGAAGATGTTGAACGCTTCCCGTATGCTATTTTGGAGGTCAAGCTGCAAACACAAGCAGGCCAAGAGCCTCCGGAATGGGTTCGAGAACTCATTGCAAGTCATCTCGTCGAAGCTGTGCCTAAATTCTCCAAGTTCATTCACGGCACAGCTACCCTTTTCCCGGATCGCATCAATTTACTTCCTTTCTGGATGCCACAGATGGGCACTGATATCCGCAAGCCTCGCACGCTTAATTTCGGCATTCAAAGACCTGGTGGACCGTCGACACAGACGTCTTCAAGTGACGATGAAGACGACGATGATGATTCAGATGACGAAGAACGAGAGGAAACCGTTTCTCCAACTACAACTGCCGCCGAGTCCACCGGTAGCCAATCTCGAGAGCACGAGAATCGAGCTCCGGGAAATAGCCTCGATATCGAGGAGCAGATTGCAGCCATGCCACTGGCAGAGGAAGAAGAGCAATACTACGATTCCGATGACGACGACAATGATTCCGATGCTCTCGAAGAAGCTAGGCAGATTGGCGGATGGCCCTATTACTCTAAGCTCATCAAGAGAAATACCAAATTGGCAGGCTGCTATCTCGCCAACGGTTTCCACTCACTCATGCGACCAAGCCCTGTTCCTGGAAGCAGTTTAGATCCTCTTAATTCAACCAGAATCACCAGCAAACGCTTCCAAGCTCCAAAAGGAAAGAAGATCCATGTACCAGTCAGAGTAGAGCCAAAAGTCTACTTCGCAGCCGAGCGAACCTTTTTGTCCTGGGTACGCTCTCCCTTCCCCCTCCTCCTTCGCCTTACTAATCTCTCACAGCTCGAAAACTCAATCTACATCGGCTCCATGGCGGCCCTCGTAATAAACTTCGGCGCGAAACCCACCCGCGCCTCCTTCCTCGCCGCAGGCGCTTTCACGATCGTTGCCGTCCTTGCTCTCGTCTACAGTCTCAGCATTTATATCTACAGAAGCTGGAGTATTAGGAATCGGAAGGCGGCGAGGTATCATGATAAGTACGGTCCGACGTTCTTGATGGTTATTCTGGTATTGGCGCTTGCGATGAACTTTTGGTATGAGGCGGGGAGACGAGGATATCTTGGGAGTGAGGTCCCGATGTGGTTAGTTTAGTGGTGATTGAGTGTGGAAAGCGGTGGGGCTGAGATAGTAGTGTGCATCTTTGGCGGGTTGATAGACCAATGATAAAGAGAGAGGTGCGAGTGCGAATGCATAGTTTTCTGTGCCTTTCGATATCAAATTGTGTTGCATTACGGAGGCATTGTGCATCGGCTGGATAGGAAAGGTTGTCCCGTATTGAATTGCATGTCTATATAAAATAAACCGAATTTTGGTATATGAAAGAAACACTTGCCCTCAAACTCCTTCGATCGTCGCTTTTCCTTTCATTCATTTCGCATCCATTTACTCCGTTATCCACTTTCTTGGTTCATCCATGATAGAACCTTAAAACCCGATCTAATCCTCCATTTCTCTATCTAGGCAGTCTGGTCTTTGATTTGGTCTTAGTCTTGGTCTTGGTCTTCCCCATCTCTGAGTTCAGCCTCGCGCTGCAGAATCTCAACCAGCCTCTCCGCGACGAGGGTTCCAATCCTGGCATACCCGGCAGCCGTGAAATGCAGCCCATCGTCCCAGATTTCTTTTCTCTCATCCTTGGACATGGAATGGTAGGGCATCTTGGCGTAGAGGTCGAGTGTGAATCTAGGATGGTCAGTGAGAGATGGGAAGTGTATAGGTCGATCGATGGGTTAAGCATGGCGGCAAACGTGAGGCTGGATGATGATAGGGATATAGTTCTGTACTTACACGTCGTCACGGGAATCGTCCCAGATGGCTTGGTTCAACTCATCTCTCCTGGCATCCAGACTCGCAATCTTGGCAGAGCATTCAGGCACGGTCATGATCAAGACGCGAGCTGAGTACGAGAGAGGGATGTCCGTCACGGCTTTGATGGCCGAATGGATCTCCTCTGTAGACTTTCCCCAGCCGAGATCGTTGGTTCCGCCCAGGAAGACGACCCAATCGTATGGCAAATGCTTTGTCAATGGATGATCGTCTTTTAGATATTAGCCATGGGTTTTAAAGTTTGGGTTTGAAGCGGGGGAGATACAGCGATCCTCCATTCGTCCCAGAAAGCTTCCAGTCACCTGATCCCCGCTCATTCCATCCGTGTCAATGGCAATATTATATTGAGAGGATAGGGAGAGGTTGGTTCGCAGTTTTTCAAGCAGTGTGAGTGAGTAAGGGGTGAAGGAGAGACCGTGGTGGGTGTAGCCTTCCGTCAAACTATCTCCAAAGCAGAGAATCCTGAACTGCTTCTTAACTGTCGCCATTCTCGTGACGTGCGTTCTCTGAACTAAGGATTAAAGGTACGAGGGAATCAAGAAGGGGGTTTGGTGGTTGGAGATGAGGGGTACACAGCGCAAGGAGAGGGGGATTGAGATGGGTTGGAGTTACACGAGGCTGAGGTGCAGGCTGCCGCCGGGTATTTTGCGTGACACTCTGTGACTGCTCACCGCTTATGGGCAGAATTAGGATGAGATATACGCAGCCGAAAGGGGAGGGTGTGGATTTGGGTACAGCGGAAGGAATTCACAAACTAGCTATCCTAATTTTAGTTATATAGCATTGGATATCTTAAGTATTCTTGCTATGTTAGTTGTCCCTGAGTATCTGTTTTCTAGCACCAAGTTTCTAATTTCGGAACTACAAAATAAACTCGGTGTAGATATTATTAAGGCCTTTGAGTGCTTGAAATTGTGGTATAAGATCACAGGGTGGGAGGCTAAATCAGAGTGGTTAGAGAAAATCATTGGTATTAAACCTAGTGCAATCGGGTAGAGCCACGTGAAACTGGTCAAATTGAAGTTTAAACCGCGGTTTCGAGGATATAATTGTAGTTTAGTTTAATGGAGAGATGCCTCAGTTTAGTATACTTAAATCGCACCACAATTTGATAATAAAATCCTGCACCGTAGTCTGAAACCGCAGTTTGCACTATACCCTACTCTGAGCACAATTTGCGCCAGTCGCCAGCAATGTTGCCAATACACTCTGGCGGCCATGTACTGCCGCCATTGCACTTAGAGGAGCAAGTGCTGCTGCCCTGCGAAGCTTGGACTACCTGTGAAAATGAGCAATAATTCTCATAAGGTAAGAATATTTTTAGTTACGTACACAGCAGTGAGATCCATCCGAGTACTTGCACTGATAAAAACCTCCGCAGGCTTCTATTATAGTAATGAGAGCGAGAAAGCCCGCAATAGCTGACATAATACCGACCATATTTGGCTATGTAAGTAAGTAAGCAAATAGATTGGAATTTTTTGAGGATTAGGCGTATGAATGTTCTCTTGGAAATATTGAATGGCAAACAAAGTCTTGCGTTTATACTTAAGAGAACTTCTAACCGAAGTTGTTCCTTTCTTTCTAATGTGCTTACTACTCTATTTTACACGGGATTTAGTACGAAACTCAGAATTAAAGCTATTTGTTATAAGAGTAATTTATTGGGTAGGACCTAAACTATATTCTAAGCATATTAATCAGAAAGATAAGGTATTATTAATCTTTATTAGCTGCATTAGAGATAGGGATATAATCGATATTATACTTAACCTTTTAAGCACGCACCATTATAACTTTTGCGTAACTTAACTTTCTCAGCACACCACGAACCATATAGCCGCGCATTTCGTCTGGGAGAACAGGAGTAGATATGCCTAAACTGAAATATTCTGAATTGCTCTTGGATTTATAAACCTGCCCTGGATATCTTTTAATGGTACTATTTTGTTTATGGCAGCCGTTTGATAAGGTTGCAGGTCTAATCATAGTAGAAAGGAAAAGAACGAGGTTGACGACGGAATACAGTGGAGTACGATTACTGTGCCCTTCGCGATGAGAGAGCTTGGCCGGGAATTTCACGAACTCTGGATGTCAAAGTTCGTTTTCCAACGTGAGGAAAGTCTAATCTTGCTCCCTCGATGCGATACGCCACAGAATGAGAAGATCTCGTGGAAGTAACTCATTGTTTAGCGTCTCTGATATTGAAGCTCGATTCTACGAATTAATTTCATCGCCAACGGATGCTCTACACGAGACGCACATGTGATTGTGAGTCTATTGCAACGAACTGACGAATTGAACCTCTGACTGTCAGCAATTTCGACGGAGAAGCAAGGCGGTGAGGCGTATTTCAGAGCTTTGATAGCGTCACTGTAGTTCTTATTATTCATATGACATCTTGACTAAACAGTGATTTTAGTAGTATTTGAGGCTAGATTTGCACCGGGCCGATATACTATAATTTGAAGTTCTCAAATATAGAAATATGCTATTATTTAGAGATTTAGTAGTATATTATTATTATATATTAGTAACTTAATATAAGTATTAATTTTTAGTATAAACTTAGCTACTTATATATTACTATAATATTAAAACTAATTTCTATTCTTATACATCTTTAGTTTTCGACTTTGAGTTTTTTTGAGGGCATTTCAAAGCTTATTATGCGACTATAGAAACCTTATCAGGGAAAAGAATTCACTAGCCAATTACTTAAACCCCTCAACTGCCCACCCCAGAAATTCGATTTTTAATTATACTATTATTATAATTACAAATCCTATCACATTTTAATACTCTATAGTATTTTCGACATACTCACAACTATATATTTATCTTATCCTAGTAGTGCAGCTAGAATTACTTATAAGGTATTATTTTATTATTTTTTATTATATATAATAAAAATTAATAATCTTAAAAATACTTGTAATTATATTTTTATATTATATATTAAAACTCAATTAATATCTCCTAAATTTAATTAACTATTAGAGGCTATTCTTATACTTCTAATTTTAAAATATATTAATAAATTATTACTTTTTTTCTTAATAATATTTATTATTATATTATTATAATCTTTGACTTAAATATAGCTTCTCTAGTCTAATTTTAAAGTATTTACTAATAAAGAGTTTGCTTATTAGTGCCTTAATATATTAATTTCTTTTTATTTTAATTAAAATAATAAGTATATATTATTTAAACCCATATTACTTTAGGGGGCTTATTAGAATTATCCCTGAATTTAATATAGTAATATTTCTTAATAGGTATCTCAATAAGTAGCAAAAGCTTTAGAAGATAATTTGTTTGGTATTCAAATGAGTTATAGTAGTTAAATAATTATTATTTAAGTAACTATTGAATTTTTTTGGGCGGTTAGCTAGTGGATTCTTCTAGCAATATGGTTAGCGCTAGAGAACCTTAATGCGGTAGAATCGAGCTTATCGGTCGAAATTGCGGACAGTCAGACGTTCAATTCGTACTGTCCGGTGGCGCGTCGTCAACGAACTTACTTGAGGAGGGAGATCGTCGCTTCGAGCAAGTTTGTTCGAGTTCCTGGACTGCCCCAACTGTCTCCCTTTAATCCTCATGGGAGTCCCGTTTCGTCTCGCGGTTGGTTCCTTCCGTTCTTTCCTTCCTCTGCCGTCCCTGTGGGTACACGAGGCTCTGTGGTCTGAAGAAGCGGTGCTGGTTAGAGCTGTCATCAGGGTTCGGCATGATTCTTTTCTTCAAATTATCCTTTGCATTTATCTGTCTCATGTTCATACACGTGGTTCTGCTATGTAGCATATATCATCGCATGGGATAGCTCTGATCTGAACGGGAGAAGAAAGATGGGCTGCTTGTACTTCCTCTCTCCTATCTAACAATTTTTCCCTTCCCTCCTCAGAAAGACTTCTCAACCTCCTTCCTCAACTCCTCCTGCTTCCCTTCCAACCCCCCCCCACACCCCCCCCCCCCCCCCCCCACGCCCTCTCCAGCACGACCACAAACCTCCCCCTCATCTTGCCCTGTTTTAACCCACTCCCTCATCCCTTCAGCATCACCAGGCAGTTCAACCTCCTCCAACGCCCCCCTCGTCTTCCCATCAACAAACCATCCCACTCCGTCCCAACCACTCACTCCTTGTACCCTCCTCATAAAAGCATTAGCACCCGTATCACCAACACCTTTAACATTCTCCTTCAACATCTCCCTCAACTCCCCTTACATCCTTCCCCTTTTCCCTCGCTATCCTAAGCAATCCCTTCAAACTCCTATCGCCATCCTCATCCCATTTCTCGGCTTCCACAGTCTTGCCAAGGTCTCTGAATTCGGTGACAGTCCTTTGTTGGCGTTGAGTGCGCGACTCCTCCATCGCTTGCCAAATCATACTCTTCCCTTCCCTGCTCTCCCCTCCCTGCTCCGGAGCTACTTCTTTACTAGCCTTGAGCATCGCTTTTGTGTTGCTCAATTTACATGGTGTGTTGAGGGCTGTTTTAATTGCCCGTTGGCCGAGAGTATGAGACAAAGATTTTGACAAAACCAAAACGCAGAGGACGTTTTCGAATGGGCTTAGACTCAAAGAAAAGTAGTCATTTTCGGCGGAATTGGAGGCCGTTGAGGGAGGGATCGGATTTTGAGTTCTCGAGAAGGTGCAGTGCCCTGGGCGAGAGAAAGGATTTGACGGCCTTCACGGCGAAGGAATCATTGATGGATAATTGTGAGGCTTTGGTTGGTGGTTCATGTTGGAACTGAGTGTACGCTGGTACACTGTAGTTTATATACCAGGTGTATATATGGAGTGCTTACCCCGCGTAAGCTGAAAAATCAAGTCGTCAACCTCCAAAACATTGCAACAGTTCAGAGGTGTTTGCATTTGATAGAGGAGACTTGCGTTTCACTCCTGGTTTTGAGAATTCTTGGTTCTCTTCTTGGTCTTGATCCTTTATTGACTCTAATTAACGGTCTCGGGGTCTGTATTCCTCCTTCCTTTTGCCGTTTATTTGAGTGCGTTTGGACGTGTTCGTCTTCTTTGGAGTCATTTTAAGATTGTGGGAGGTGATGCATTTCACTTCGAGATTTTGCGTCTTGGAAAGAGGTAGAGAGAATTGTAATTGATAGAATATATTACCACATATTGAGCTTTTATAGTTTTATATGTCATAGCTTCTTTAGGTGTCCAATGATGAGCCTACATCTCCTGATATTAATGATGAGAGTATCACGTGATCTCATACACCACACTCAAGATATCTGAACGGTTTAAAGCCAGTTCATATTCGAAACTCTCACACTTCATTCACTATTACCCGTTTATTTTTGATCTCCTGGCTGTCCTCTACCTTTTGTGGAGAGCATACTGCAGCTTTAGGTGAGTCAGCCCTATTTCGATGACTTGCGAAGAGCTTACAATTTTCCGTCTCGGGAGGTCGGAAGATAACTTGAAGTATTGGCACCTACCTTAGTGGCACACGATCATCCATTCATCCATCTTTCCAATCCCAGTTGTAGTTGCGCACCTTATTCAGAAGCGAAAAGGGTCATAATTCTCGTGATACTTATCTAAAACCGGAATAGCCGGAGAAGCGCCAAGCAAAATCTCCCGCTTCCTTTTCTAAAATCCCTCGTCCGCAACGTGACTTCGACATCCCCAAAGAACTTCCCTTCTCAGCCGCCTCAAGGGACCACGGGAATGTACACGGATGCACGGCCAAGATCCACAGATCTGCTTGCGATCTGCCTGGGGATTCCGGAGTCATCTGATGGCCTGTGGACTCGAGTTAGCTCTTCGTGCTCGTGTGTCTTGACACTTCACCATCCGGACTTGCTTCTAGTGCAGCACAGTTCAAACAAGTTACACCCGAGATTGTAAAGAGACGAGCTTGGTCGCGAGCAGCTTGAAACATCGCAAGAATCCACTATCGCGAGTGTGCAACCCCGCATGGAATCAGAAGAATCAATCCGGATTTCGTTTCACAGGATGAATCGGGTTGCACGAGAGACATTTAGGCCAGCAACAGGGTTTGCGTTCTTTATACCTTTCCTAAGTAGGAACCCTGGATAGGCGTAAAAATATAGCGATTTCAGGAACACGGCCAATTGTAAGTACTCGCTTGACGCTTTAGGAAATGTAATTCGGTAATGCAAATTCGCGTACTAGAAAATTATAGCGATTACTAGAGACGTAGCAAACACTACGCCCCTAATACTACGCAATTTACTTTTTATAAGGCTGGATTGGATATGGCCCTTGTAATCCTGCACAAATGTCTTCTATTATTACGCCGTTATCAGGGATCCATTTTACGAAATAGAAACCAAATTGCCAGGGATGCGGCCTAAATGTCTCCACTGAGATTGGATTGCCGGGAACGATCAGCCATGATGGCTCAGCTGCTGATTAAGGCTGCACAGCCGGGAGGATTCTTCCACAGTGGCACATTGATGCGCAGCTCCATCGCATTGGTCCATATCCTATTTCATCATTTTGCCGACTGGTCAGCATGCGCCTCGGACTCCGATCTGTCAAACAGGAGTAAGAAACGGCCCGGATGTCCGCTTACATTTAAACCTCATGGACAGCCTTGCTTCATCCCCTTTCTTCCTGTTTGGCATTTCCTTCGACATTCACGACATTTGTACACTGGGAATACGGGTTTGGATGTTTCGCCAGTGGGATATATTTAATGCACCTCGGGAGCTGCCGCACATGATCCGATGACAACTGTTCCTGTATGACTCCGACGAAATGGATCCCGTAGTACCGCAGGACGAGTATTTCGAGTGGGAAGACATCGTGGCCTATCAGCCCGTCCGGGAAAATGGGGACGAGAACAACTTGCCGCAATCGGAATCTCTGGCATCATGCGTCCGAAAGATAGAAAGCGTGGGGGTTCGCCAGGTCTCAGACGTCCCACCTCCTGGGAGTCAGAGACTAGCAATGGCAACATCTACGACCTTACACTCACCGCGAGCATCTTTGACGCTGGATACCAGTTCTCTGGGCATCAACTCTACGGAAACAACACCGACGAGGAGCTCGCCCATCATTTTTCCGCCTTATGCCGAATTCAGTGAGGTTGGAGGCTCCTTCCTAATTGAGAATTGCGCAGCCGGAGCTGAGGATTTCGAGATTGTTCGGGAAACAATGGATGACATCTCTCTTTGTCCTGATCCATCGAGGCATGTTGATTATCTCTCACACCATTGGAGTGAAGAGGATATTTGGACAACATGGAAACGTCTTCAATCGAAAGGACGGGCTCCCAATGTGGCAGAGCGATTAGAGAATGCTACGTGGAGGGCGTGGGCGAAAGTTAGGTTAAAGTTGAAGACAGTATCTCCAGAGAGCTTTAATTGGTATGTTTCTTCCCACTTCTATTTGAATTTCGTCTAACAGTGTCACAGGATGAAGGATCTCGATGACACTTGGCTATACGGGCCCTTCCACAGCAGCATCTCACGGACTACCACATTTAATAAAGACTACACAAATAATACCCACTCCCCCCACACCGCCCTCGCAGTCAAGAAAACAAGATCAATCCTAAAACGACCACGCCTCTCAGAAGTCCTCCTCCGAGGCTCAGAACAACTCAGGAAATTCCGCTCCAAGAGCGTCGAGCTCGACTCCTGCCCATTCTACGGCTCTCCCGCGAAAAAACGCGTCGAGTTCCGTGAAGACCTCGAAGAATACGCTGCCATTCAAACCTCCCACCATGACGACGAAAGAAAAGACAAAATCGGCCACTGGACCGAAACTTACGAATCCAATTTCTTGTACGAGTCGAATGATCCAGTTGAGGACTTATTATCAACAACCCACTCACTCCGCCGCCACGTGGAGCAAAATATCAAAATCTTGGAAAACTACCGCGCTCGCTCTGCTCTCTCTCAAACGGTGGAGAAACTCGTCCCCCCTCCTTTGAAAGGCCCGAGGAACCCGGAGTCTGACTCTCCAATGCAGGGAGAAGCGACGAGTAGTCCGACAAGACACCACAACGAACCACTCCGCTTCTCCGCACTCTCGGAATGGACGTTGCTTAGCGGGGACTCGTTCTTCGATGAGGAAGAAGATTGGCTTGAGCCGGCGAGTGCGCCTTATACGAATTGGAAACCTACCATACCAGCTGATATGGATATTACGTCGCAAATACAAGGACCGACGCGACCAGCGAGACCAGACATAGAGGTCGATATCGATAATAGGATGAAAGATGAATTAACGGCACTGATGAGATACGAAGAGCTATATCTTGAGCCTCCGTCTTCCACGTTCTCGGAGCCGTCGTCTTCGAGTGATACGAACAGCAGTGGCTCTTCTTCGGATGAACTTGAGCGCGATAATATGAATCATGTCATTGTTCGCGATCTTGAGGAGGATGAGAGTAGAGAGGGAGGCAGGGGGCTCATGGAGATGAAGCAGGCGTTTGTGGATCGGGTTATGGAGGACTTTTATCTCTCCGAGAAGGAGGAGGGGCAGAATTTGAGTAGCTTGGTGCCGCCGGCCTTGATGCTTGTTGCAGGCTCGCAGGCTACTTTGGTTTAATGGATGAGTGAGGACTGGGGAGGATGTGACGGGTATCACGTGATGAAATTTTCGCGATGCATTTTGAGGTTCACGGGAAGGCGTTTGTCCTTATCATGCATGGGGTCGGATCTTGTACTTGATGTGTACACGACGGAACGAGTCATGATATCTTGTATATTACATCTTTATATACACTTTTACTTGCGAAAACTTTACAATCTCCTCGGGGCTGACCCTCCTCTCCCGTGCTGAATTGGATCTCACCGGAGAGAGTTCTCCGAACAGACACCTTCTTTGCTTTTCACTCATGGTGTTACTTTCATTGCGTAAATGGCTTACTTTTATTTGACGGAGGGGTGCAGAGTGGCGTTCCGGACTCATCATGGGGATCGCCCGAAGTGTACACCCACCGTCACTTTAAACTTTAAACTTGATCGCCGTCCGGGGGGGGGGGGAGTTTGCCACTGGTGCCAGCTCTTAACCTTATGCGGGGTCACCGCTTCGGGGACCGTCGACCACTTGGAGGGTTGAATGACGTGGTTGGCCTCGGAAGTGCTTTGTGAACCAGAGTGTCCAATCAGGAAGTCAGGCAGTCATCAGTTGAAGGATATATTTGAACTTCTCGACTAATATAATTGCCTCCAACTGACTGACTGACTGAGTAACTCAATTGGGTTGTCGCTGGTTCGTTAAGATTTGTACATCGGATAGTGTAGGGAGGCCACGGAAGTAAGAAGAGAAACTTGGGGTAGGTCACGTGAGCCGAGACTACTAAAGGAAGGTCTTACAATAAGTACAAGAGTACTAAGGGGTAGTTACGAAGGGAGTAAATTGTGGTGGTGTTTTTGCGGTGAGAAAAGGAAATGCTCTTATATTGTATAAGAATTCTCACATATTGACAATGCAGTTATCCTCGACGTTTCCCATTTCTCCTCCTGCTCCTTGCCTCTTGCGAAATACTGCTTCCACATAACTAGATATATACCATCTTCACTTCTCCTCTTGCTCCTCATATTTTATTACAGATCACAAATCTTGCCTTGAGAACTCATCTATTCACCTCCCCTCGTCGCCTTCCTAATTTGACGCACATCCAAATCTCATCCTGAGAGCTCATCTCAAGCAGAAACTCATCTAAAACCAATATGAAAAATGAGATGTGCAACAAAACATCGATTTGGAGATCGACTCACTCTCGACCATCGGAATGAGGCTAAGGCACTCGGTGAGTCGGTGTACCAGAACTTTTGGGACATTCAGTGCGATGTTCAGCGAAACATCTGACTCCATAATTCATCATCTTCTCTCATCAATTTGTTGCCTCCTTCACTATCAAAAGAAGATCTTTCGTCTCTCTCTCTCTCTCCCCCGCTAGTCTATAGCTCCCTCTCATGATACTTTTTATTCAACATGTAAGACCATCCCTCGCAACTTTAACGGCCTCCTTCCACACCTCACCTCCTTCGCCCCCGCCACCCTCGCAATAAAATGCAACCACTGCGACCCCATGCCTTCCGCCCACCCCCCCTTACTCGCGCAAAGCTATCCCCGCTAGAACCTCGCTTGCAAAGCGGGATCTTATTGCCATACGGCTGGATCGCAAAACAGCCGGAGCCGTAGGTGCAAGACCGACTTTGGTCTCGGTCCCCGGAGTTGAAGTAGGTGTTGCTGTCGTTACTATTTGGGCATAGCGATGGCCATGGGCTTGGGAAGACTCTAGCCACTCAGCAGATAGCCGAGGGATCTGTTGCTCATCAATACCCCAACTTCGGAAATTCAATTTATGCTGGAAAGCTAACTATTTTTCTTGAAATGTTTCGCAAAGAGGCTACTCAGAAGTCTTGCACATTCTCCCATCCTCAGCCACAGTCCAAACCTCGCTCCCCACAGCTTTGGTAGCGTAAAAGAGATGGTGCGGATCCCACTTATTCTTAATCGCCAATAACTTCTCATAATTGACCCCAAAAAAGTCATCCTGCCAATTAGGTTGTCTGAAATCAGCTTCATTGATGTACGCGCCACTTCCGGGGGTCACGGCCTCAAGCTGGGGAATGTATTCGTCAGTCATTCTGTCCTGTAACGCGATCATTTCGGACCAGGGCGCGGTAAAGTTCCATGGCGTGCTTAAGATTACGTGGACGAGTGCTTCGCGCCAGGCTGGGAGGACAGCATTTGAGACTCCCGATGTGATGGCAGGAGAGGAGACATTAAGGGCTACTCCAGCGTACATGCAACCATTCTCGGTAATATTGCGGGTGACAGCCATGAATGCCGTGAGATTATTTTCGATGGAAGAGCGAGGAATCAAACGGCCTCCGTATTGAGCGACACCGACCTGGATATTGCCGAAGGGGAGTGGGCCCAGATACGTATTGTAGTGATCGACGTAGTTTGCAGACTGTGAGTATGAGGCGGCATACGTTATATTGAGGGCATCGAGTGCCGAGAGGAAGTCTGCCAAGATAGTTTTAACTTCAGTTGAAGTCTTCCCATATGCTGTCAGAGCGAAGATTTCGAAGGAGGTATTGCTTAAGAAGTATATGACCATAACACCGGCATCGATAATTGCTGGAAGAGAGGCGTGAAATGTTGCGACGCCTTCATAGAATGTATCTGCAGTCGTTGATGAAGACAAGAACGTCAACGAAGCGCCGCCGACAATATTATCAGGATGCGCTTTTGATGTAAGAGATAACACCACTCCATAGGTACCTCCCCCTCCACCGCTCAATGCCCAATAAATCTCTGGATTTTCGAACCTTGAGGCTGTGATTAACTTTCCTTCTGCCGTTACGACCTCCCATGATAGGGTCTGATCAGCTCCAAGCCCAAAATTTGTACTGAGAGCAGAGTGGCCACCACCTTGGCTGTAGCCTCCCGCAATACCAACCGTTGGACACTCACCTCCGACGATAACTAGTCCATTGGCTTGCGCGGCTGCCATTGCCTCATAACCTTGTACCCCTGCTCCCATTTTGATTGCTTTTCCGTTGTAGTGCTCGTCAGACCAGTTAAGAAACTCAATGTCTTTGAGATGATGAGTCCAGACAGATAAGGCTCCGGCCCCAGTGGACTTGCCAAGATAACTAGAAAATGTGTCACTAATTCTTACTCATTTTGTTTGAAAATGAAAGGTAGAATGCATACTCGTGGCCGGTATTTCGTATCACAAAACGTAAGTTATGCTGATGGGCAAATCCAACAGCCGCACCAACTTCGCTTGCCGCGTTGGAGGTGGAGAGATTTACCGCATAATCGACGTAGTTCCCAAGTAAACAGGACCTAGCCTCTGGCTGGAAGGGGTCACAGCTTTGGTTTGCGAAGAATGGGGCCATGACCGAGGACGACGAGTTCATACTAAAAACAGAATCAACATCGTACAGTTCTCAGAACTAGAATAAGGCTCACTGAAGCTGTGGGTCAATCCAAAGACTCTGTAAATTGGCACACTCGGTAGCATTATATACCGGGTCGTGGCAAGGTGATCCCAAGGGAATAGTAGCAACAAGCCGTCCACCAACGGTTGCGTTGAGACTATCCCAAGCCGGTAGTGATGGCCAGCAGGTTTCGCCTGGGAAGCAACGGCACGAAGCGGATTCTGAGGCGGTGGAAGTTGATGTAGCTGTTGCATAGGCGTAGATAAATGTGGAGAGTTTCATTGTTATTGACTTAAAAATCTTGGTACGTTAGGCAATGTATAGAGTTACCATGAGGAATCAAGTGAAGAATGAAGAACATTTCGAGAGCTCAGAAGGCGTGTACCCCTCGCATGCGAACATAGAGTGGGTCGAGGGCGGGGAAACATGGATTGGGTGCATGTCAGCCACGGCGCGGCTGCGGCATGCATTCGTACCTCCGGGTCCATATCATGTGGTGTCTGTCCCTGGTCTTTGCAGATACGGTATGCTGGCCAAGGCCTTCTCATCCAGATAGCGATGGACTCTTTGATGAATCATGAACTCACACGCTAGCCCACATTGGATTGTGCCGACCTTCTTGCAGACGGCTCTGAGCAGCAGCTCTTCAGCAACGTAAGATAATCCAGCCTAGGATCAAGGGGGGACGTCTCCCAGCACGGGCGGAATCGTTCCGGTTGCCCGGCGCACGCCTCTAAAGTTCCCGGGTGTTTGAGGGTGCCTATAGAACTCCTTCATCTCGGCAGCATACGATGCATTTCCCATAATACGCGTCAACAGGATGTTGAATCACAAAAGACGACCTTGAAAATATTACGTTCGCGGAGAGGAGAGGACGAAGAATAGGGCAGACCAAAGCCGTCGCAACGGTGCAAGGTTCAAGCGACTGACGTAATTACCGGCCTCTCCCTAGGACCTTCGTATCTACCGGTAGTTCTATCGCGCGAAGGCCACACGTGACAAGCGAATGTAAATTTATGCTGCGTAAGCTGTTCTCCAGATGCGTACATCTAAGAAGGTTCGGGAGGAATCCTTGCCGGAGCTAAAGTAGGACCTGCCTTTAGAGACAAGACGAGGAAAGTGTAACCGGGTCTCAAGGGTGTGCTCAGGCCGTGCTCAGGAGCAGGCAGAAAGCTGAGCTGGCCTGCTTGGCGTCTCTACCTGCCTATTCCAGGGATTTTGGAAGGTTGTTTTCTAAGCGTAGCTAGCCTTTGATGCCTGAAAATCACTTGTTTCTAAGTAACTTGCCATGTAACGGCCCAAACCGGCCAGCTGGGAAGGTTTCTGGAATGCTTCAAAGACACTTCACCACATACAAGTTTACTTCTAAAAGTCCTTATTGTTAATTATTCTTAAAAAACTCGTAGAAACATTTCTAGAACGCTTCTCAGTCGCTCGGGTTAGGGCTCGGGTCAGGGATCAGGGTCAGTCCGGGGGGTCAGGGAGCGGTGGGAGCCCCCCGCATTAGGAATGCCTTAAAAGCGTCTTAGTACCGATATAGAAAGGAACAAGGAGTATGCGAGGGTAATTAATGCTTAAAAAGTTGTAACTGGCCATGGACCATGGCCTGTTTTCTACCCTTGCAACAGGCCAAGTGGGGACGATAAGCAGGCCAGCTCAACTACATATTCCTCGGGACTGCTCACCCTTGGCTCAGGTTAAAGCAACAGTAGCCCATTTCTAAAGATGGAAATGGAAAATGCCCCGAGAACATTCCAATGTGAGACGGACTGCACTAGCACATTTCGCTTTAAAAGCACGCCTCGGAAATACTTCAAAAGTCCAGCCCTTTCTTACACATGGAGAAAAGAAGAACCTGGCATCTAACGATTCCTAGCCATATTCAGAACTGGCCTTTCATTTTGATGTTGGCTGTACTTGAATGCTCTGCGATCACGAGTTTGCTCTAACCCCCGCTTAGCGGCTTAGCCTGTACTTTCTCAGAAAGGACTTCGGTGCATTAATTCCAGCTTTAGTCCTGGCTCAACTCTAGAAGTAAATTTATCCGTCCTCACGATCGCAATCACTCCCAACAGATAAATCTCCCTAATGGATCATTTTGCGCATATCATAATTGCTGGTGCGCAAGTTACTCAAGATGAAGCCTCCCCAAAAAACGTTGAAGGGCTCTTGTCCCATTCCTTCCCTTGTTCTTCCTTCCCCTTTTCTGGTCAAGTAGCGAAGCTCGGGTGGCGTGTTCGAAGACCTCACGGACACCTTCATTCGTCTTGGCAGAGCATTCCAAATATTTGTAGGCTCCTATCATCATTTGAACAGCTTGGCCCTATCCCACTATCAATAGTGCTCTTCACAGTGAGGCCTACGAAGTAATTACCTGCTCATAAGTCACTGGTTTTTGACCGGTCTTGCAAAGCTTTTCGATCGTTTTGGGGTCATATCGCCGATCTTTCTTCAACCCGACAAGTATAATTGGCAACCCCGAGCAAAAGTGCTGCACCTCACAAACCCACTGCCATCAGTCAGCATGTATCAGGTAATCTTCAATTAAAAATAATACCTTCTCTTGCACATTATCAAGGGTGTCCGGGTCGTCTATGGCAAAACATATTATAATCACATGAGAATCTGGATATGAGAGAGGTCTCAGTCTATCATAATCTTCTTGGCCACTAGTATCCCACAACGCAAGCTCGACGTGTTTTCCATCCACTTCGACATCTACGATGTAATTTTCGAACACTGATGGGGGAAGAAAGTACTAGTCAAGTTTGTAAGAAGAATCATCATAGAAATAGACGGAAGGTGTCTATCCTAACCTGACGGTTCGGTCCTTTCAAAAAGGCACTATTGAAGTCAGTTTGAAATAAATTCCAGGACAGATATGGATCTCACATGAGGAGAGCTTTCTTTCCGCAAGGCGCATCACCTACAATTACAATCTTCTTGCGGAACTCAGCACTTGATGTCGCAATTAACGGTGAAAATGATGAGACTGCCAATAAATCTCCACTTCCCTGGCCCTCTGTCTTGCTACTTTGCTCCTTTTTGACCATGGATGTAACTTCGGTACTAGAAGTTGTAGCAAGATCCGACTTTAATTGATCCCCATAATGGTCAGTATTGCCATCTATGCTCGATAAACCGAGGAATCCTCTCACCGCGGCAGCCTTCTGCATTGACGGTGCTTTGGGGATGGATGAGGTAGAAGTAGTTGAAAATACTGTGATACCAGAAGTCGCTGGATTGGATCCAATAGAGCTATTCCAAGTTCGTTCTGAGAATTCACTGGAATTAGAGTTCTGGGTCAGGGCAGGTTTGAACCGTAAGCCGAATTCGAAATCTTCCATGATATCTCCCCTAGAAATCTCCTCCACCATTAGTGCACCTTCCTCGGACAAATCTCTATCGACGCCACCATTAATGGCTGGTTGTGAACGAATGTTTCCCATGGTTGGTATCCCAGGGAGAGGGGAAAGCAAGCTAGCACTTAATGTCGATGAAGCAGCTACTGGCAATGAGGAAACGGTTGTATGGCTAGCTTCTGCTCCCGGTGAGGCCGAAAAGTCACGGAAAGGATCGTATTCTGCATTCTTCCCCCTGCTTGTTTCTGAGCCTGTACTTTTGGGCCGATGATGACCAATGGTCAGAGAAGCTGATCGCGCAATTGATGACAAGTCAATAGCCGAGGATGAGGAAGCACTTGGCTTATCTAAAAAGGGAATACTTTAGCAAAGGACGGCTTGAAGGGTGTCGCAATATACCTGAGGTCAACTTTATTGATGGAAACCCTTTGGGTAAATCAGTCACGACATGTGCCTTGCCAGTGACGATACCCCTGATCAATCGACGTATTCGTTTCCCTTCAGCTCGCTCCCTAACCTGGTCCCAGCCAGTACCACTAGTAGAGCACTCCTTTGCAAGCCGAGGGAAAACTTGCTGGTGCATCATGCCGAGGTTTCCTCTCCCTCCGTGACCACTGCCCAATCCAAGGAAAACGGAACCGTAGATATTGAGATACTTGAAAGTTTCTTGCCAATCACTCGAGAATTGGTTGGAAGCAAGCCAAAGCAACACGCGGTCCATTGTCCACTCCTTGTCAGCATCGCTCGAGGAAATTGGCGGCGTCCTATCAAGCTTGGATGATGACATATCTTCGAGGGCTGATTTTGAGACTGCTTTTGAAGGGGTTTTTTCTTCGTCGATGATAGGACAAAGACGCGGTGATTCAGTCAAGAGATCAGGTACTAAAGCCGGAGGCTGTTGTGTACTATCCGGCATCGGTTTCCGAAGCGTGGTTGGAGGTTGGCTCTCAGTCGGTAACCCCGAGCGCTCAAATATCAGCTTTGCATCTTCTCTTTGGAGGACACCATTCTGCGCCGGCGACTTCTCGAACAATGCCGCGTATTGGCCCGCCTTCTCCGGCGCTATTTGAGGGATTTGAATGGGCCCAAAATCGCTCGGCTTTTGATTTGTCGCCGTAACATCTAGGCTAACTGTGTTTAGTAACTTCTCGCCGTCCGATCTATTTGTTTCTCGTTTGCGTTCTCCTGGTGGACCTTCTCGTGAATTTTGTACCGGAGAAGGAGATTCCGGGCGTTGTGCGTTTGATTCGGCGGCACCTGTTGAGTTCAAATTTGACGGGTTCAGCTGCAAAAAGTCCGAAAGAATTTCCGCGTAAGCGTCTTCTTCGTCGTAGTTGCCATTCACGTGGCATATACGCATGAGAGCCTCTAGAGAGCGCTCCACGCCCGGCACACCTTCTAAGCCCATTTTCCTATAGCCCTTGAGAGCCCGCCTCCCGTAAAGATGTGCCTCGGCATAGGAGCTTTTGTGAATAAGAACATCAATCAAGGTTAGTATATCCTTGAGGACTGGGCTGTTATCACTTGATTTGTCTCGCGATCCAACACCAATTTTCTCCAGTAACAGAGACTGGGCTTCGTCCCATTTCTCTTCAGCCAGATAGACATCCAAAAGAAGAGTCATGATCTCTGTCTTTGATCTCAGAATGTGGTGCAAAGATACCATAGATAAATTTGAGCAGATCCTAGTAAGACAATTGCGGAAAAGACGTTCTGCAGCCCCAAAATCTTTGGCTTGAAACTTTTCCTTGCCTCGTTTCAAGAGCGCTTGAACTATTTCCATTTCTAAATCAGTGTCTGAATCAGATTGTTCTGGTTCTGGGCTTCCTTCGACTGGGTGCGGGTAGTCCGACCTGACATTATGTTGCCTCGACGACGATTCTGCGGTGGGTTCCTCTTCGAATTCATAGACAGTGTTAGATGATATCCATCTAAGCATTGTTTCTCCCGGTTCGGACGGAAATAGGTCACCGAATTCTGAACCATGGGCAATGGAGACGTGATCCGCATGCTCCACACCTAGAGTAGTTGAAGCCGAGGAAACGACACTAGCGGCTGATTGTATGCAATTGCTCAGGTTCTTTAAAGCGAGCAGCTGAGTGTCGCTTGGGTTAGATCCAACGGCATTTTGCAGACTAGTCATGCGATAATTGATATCAAGAGCTATGCGTCGGATAGCTTGATTTAGTTCATCTAGGTTCGGCAGGATCTTGTCGGTTGACTCTTTGACAGTAATCTGGTTCCAGCTACTTTCGTTAACGAAGGACCCTCATGACAGATAATGTGAAGACTCACAGTATCACTGTTTGCAAGGATAGTTGCAAGGTGTCCCGATACGATCGAATCTGTAATTGGAAATTCCCAATTTCCTCCGTTGCTCCTTTTAATCTGAGATGCTTCCGTGCTCCATTAAGCAAGCCCACGCTCTTGTTAACTCGCTCGAGAGTTTCTTGGAGGTGGGAAAGCGTATTTTGACTATCCTGAATCGAAGCTGAGAGATTGTTCCAGTGATTGCCAATATGTCCCGTAGTCTGAATGGAGGCTTGAATCTGTTCTTGTTCGAAAGTGTTTTTCATCAACCGCAAGACTTGGGTAAAGCTCTCGACGTCAGTGAGCAAGCCCTTGACCTTAGTGTCCGCAAAGCTGGCACCATCGTAGAAGTCCTTGAGCGTAGAGCCAACCTTGACACATGTTCCCAACAGTCCTAGAACGCCCGCGGTTATGGATAGAGGATCAGGCATGCCGCCTATCGCCTCTCAAGCCTTCCCGGATGGCTCTTCTGGTTTTGTGCTGTCTGTAAGCTTTGTCATTGGCGACAGAACCTTGCACACGCGGGAGCCTGGTATCAAGTGAACAATCTGTTCAGGTGTCTTGAACGACCCATACGGGTCCGAAAGCGCCTGAACAATTCAATGTACCTGTGAGTGGGAACAGGGAATAACTTGCAGTCATCGAACCGCGTTGGGACCTCGAACTCGTCGTTTGTTTGATGTTGATCGCTTCAGCCTCACGAGTTGAAGTTCCCGCTTGGAGGTGCTACTGCAAGCCATTCACGTGAGCTCACGTGAACCATGTGGCTTCATGGTTTCCTAATGGGGTCTAGCTTTGCCCCTTTCCCTAGAAGACCCAGCCTTCTCCAAAAACCTTTCGTCTTCACACCCCAATCTCTGAATTAACTGTCATTACTCACTTCGCCGCCTCTGCTCCAAACTTCGCCAAGCTTTCATAAACAACCGTCGTGTTGTCCTGACATCTGTCTCAACCTGAAATTATCACAATCCAGTCACTTTCCTTGCCGTCAAATTCGCAACTCACGAAGAAATTCAGCAGTGGTTGGCAATTCTTGAATGGGAACATTCAAAAATGGGCTGTAGGCTAGAGATTACGACAAAGTTTTCTTCAGTCTCCCGAAGCGATTACTCAATTTATTCTTCTACATTTCCCAGTTGTGACGAGGATATAAGATGGATTACTTGCTAATTCTCCTCTCAATGGCATGCCTTCTTCTGGGGGGTTGGCAATTGTGTACAATGCGACTGTTCATCATCCCCCCCCCTGTTCTCTCTTCGGAATTGCAATCCCCGAAACGCCCCACATTACGTCCTGTACGGAAAGCCGTAAGGATCAAGTGATCAAGCGATTTTCGAATCCGGTTTTCGACTTTCAATGTCAGATTTGTGGCACGTGCGCACCCCACCAAAAATCGCAAATACTATACACATATCACGCCCACATACTATACCCTCTCCCTGTGCCTCTATTACTACTTCAAATATCTACTTTCTTTAATTCTTCTCTCTCTCTCTCTCTCTCTCTCTCTCTCTATAGATAAGAGAGGGGGCTTATAGGGGCAAAGGGGAGGGGGGGGGCAAAGCGAGGGAACTTAACCAAAAATTTATGTCGCTAAATTTTTAGTACCTATAGCCTATAACTTAGTGACCGTAGCCCTAAAATTTAGCGATAAGTAGCCTATAATTATAGGGCTTCCTTTTTCTAGCGAGTCGCGTGCCTCGACCCTCGCTCTTCGCTTTTCGCTTTCTACTTTTTTTTCACTTTTCACTTTTCATCTTTTCCTCCAACCCCCTCGCCCCTCCAACACCCCCCTACCCCTTACCCCCTCTCTTCTCTTATATATATATAAATAAGAATCAAAGAGAGAGTAATATTTTAAGCAGTAATAATAGGTAGAGGTACAGGGAGAGGGGGGTGTGGTATGTGGGCGATTTTTGGTGGGGTGCGCACGTGCCACAAATCTGACATCGAAAGTCGAAAACCGGATTCGAAAATCGCTTGATCACTTGATCCTTATCGCTTTCCGTAGTCCTCCCCAGGGCGCTCACGGGTTAAGTGGCACTCTCCCCCGCTACGGGCTCCTTTAAGGACGATGCTGCACACTATAATTTTTTTTCGCAAAATCAAAATTATGATATTTTTAAAAATGTACTATTATTAATAGTCTAGCTAATTTCTATGGTAGAATACAATTAAAACAGTCGATCTATATGGTGTTTTATTGCATTCCATGGTAGGAATGCAATAGGGTAGGAAAAATCAATAAAATGCACGTGATATGCCCCCTGGCCTACTAGCCATCTGGCACACTTCGTTTATACTTTTGTTCCTATATTATTATTTCTAATACTATTAATCTATTATTATTAAACTCTTTATAATAGGTCGTTTCAAGATTA